AAGCTAGCCAGCCCGAAGGCTGGTGCTCCCCACCTTCTTGCTGTCTTGACAAGGGCTTCCCTCTGTGCCCGTCTGTGTCTTCCACCCGTCCACCGCCTTTGCACACTATCTTCACCACTGAGACCCCTTCAAACTCTGTGCCCATGTGGCCAGTTGCTCCCTGGGTCAGAACTTGAGTGGAGACTGTTCCTTCCCCTGCTTGGATCTGTCTGCTCTTTACTTTAATTGGTTAATTCTTCCTCAGCGTCCTCTTATGCACCTCATCCTCCTATGTGTCTAGAGCTGGTGCTCCTCTGTTGTATCTTCTCCCAGGGGAAGGCACCCCTGTGCAACCATCTTCACACACAACAAGCTGAAAGTCACTTGGATGTCGCACTTTCCTTTCCTCACACAGTGAAGCCTGGCCACTTTTGCCTCTGAAGGACCTCTCGAACCATCACCTTCTCTGCCTCCGTTGCCGCTGTGCACACTGACACCCTCGTATTTTATTTCTGACACGGAAAGACAGTTTGTATAGTGCAGTTGTTGCCATCATTTTTTAATACTGAGTTTTCTCTCCCAGGAATGTGGCATACTTTTTGCATATTTTACAGTCTTTTGTGCACACCAATAACACTTACCCTTTGATCACTATGAGAGTTGGACATTTATTAATTAATTAATTTTAGTACTTTTTTTGTTGTTGTTGTTGGTTAACAAAAAAAAAAGCAGAAATTACTCTGGCATTGTTTTTTAAAAAGCTGATTTAAGGAACTATAAGGTACACTGTGACCTTTCAGAAATAGTGTCTATCTTATCAGGTTGTTCTGTAGCTTAATAAACTAGTTCATAATCTATTCAATTAATACACAGAAGACACTGATCAGTGTCTGGCATGTAGTGCTCAATTAAAAAAAATTATTTTCATTATTAGATGTATTTCCAAGGCACTATTTGAAAATAATTGTTAGATAGTAATTAATCATTTACTTAATAGTAGAGTTGCTACTGAAAAGAATTGATTTTTTGTTTGTTTGTTTTGTTTTGTTTTGTTTTTCTGGTACCGGGAATGGAACTCACAACCTTGCGCTTGCCAGGCAGGCGCTGTGCCGCTGAGCTACATCCCCAGCCCCAAGAATTGATTTTTTTGCAAAACTTGTATTTCAGAGACATTGTGGTAGACAAAACAAGCTAAAGAGACAAACACATGAGATTACCCTAATTTACCTTTTGTATTGCATTACATCCTGAGAATCTAAAACACCTTTCCTCAGCAACACTCACACGTGAGCTGTCCCATTGCAGGAGACGTTCGGAATGACATTTACGTCACCCTGATCCATGGCGAGTTTGACAAAGGGAAAAAGAAGACGCCCAAGAATGTGGAGGTGACCATGTCCGTGTTCGATGAGGAAGGCAACCTCTTAGAGGTGCGTGGTGTCTCCTGGGACCCCCAGTGCTATCGCACGCTGCTTTACAATGTGATCGACTTCTGGCCTTATTCATTGTTCTCCATGTGGGGGTGGGTTTGGTTGTTGGCAAGGAAACCATAGAAAACCTGTGAAATTTGCCATTATCGAGGACCATGTTTACTAATGAGGCCATTTAGAGTCCTACTTCTCCTGGGCTAGGAAATAGCTCCAGCCACTGAGCATCGGGGAGAAGCCTTGACTGCATGGGTCCGCCGTCATTTTCAGTGATTCTTAAGCTTAGTCGTTTCCGCTGGTGCTTGAACAGGGTGGCATGGATACTCTACCACCTTGAAAGGCACCTCGCTTCCCAGTGGGCTAGTGGAGTCTGGGGAGGCTTACCCACTGTGGACCTGCCGAGCTCCGAGGGCCCTGGGGCAGAGGTCAGCTCTGCACTGATCTCTGCTTAATCATTAGGAGTCTGAAGCCCCAGAGAGAGAAGTTCCTTTGTCTGGAAAACATAGCAGTTAGAGGCAGAGCTGGTATGGATCCAGCCGTCCTGACTTCTAGTCTGTAGCTTCTCCAACTCTGGCAGCTTTCTGCCTGTACAGACAGACCACGTGGACAAGACTGGGAGGCCTTGATTCTGCCATTAAAGAGCAGGAAAGGTAGGGTAGTTACGGGAGGCCACCACCACCTCCACTGAAACCTCTGTCCTCATGGATGAGTCATAGCTACACTGTGGAATCTGAGGGTCAAACTCCTGGTCCACAGGATTCCTGGTCTTTGGACATAGGACTGTCCAAAGGACAAATGAGTGTCCTTTCGTAAAGGTCCTTGAGGGCACAAAGAGCTACAGTTCTCCTCTTCCCCATGGATGTTTCCATCTTTGAAGGAAGCAGATACCCAGTTTACTAAGCCAGGCCATGTTCTATATTAGAGGGATGAACAGTGCTGTGGACTATGGACAGAGCCTTTGAACTCTCTGAGTCCAAGTACATATCCTCTCCTGGTTGCTCATTTCCTAGCTTTGCTAACCGGCTAAGAAGCGCCTCCATCAAGTCCTTGTTCTGCTGATCTGGGTGATTCGTTCCTCAGGAAAGGCATAGCCCCGGGTTTGAACGAACATGCCGAACCATTACACCAAGTCCCTAAAGCAGCACACAGCCAGTTGTGGTGTTGCCAGCCTGTAATCCCAGCACACTGGGAGGCTGAGGCAGGAGGATAGCAAATTCAAGCCCAGGCTGGGCATCTTAGCAAAACTGTCTCTCCCCAAAAAGGCCTGGGGATGTATCCCACTGTGAAGGCCCTGGGTTCAATCCCTGGTGTACCACAAAGGGGGGAAGGAAACGAGAGAAGGACAGGAGGGAGGAAATAAGGAAGGAGAGAGCACATTTGTATACTTAAGCCCTTTAAAAAGAGTGGTAGAAATTCAGTCCTGCTGTACTTTTCAGCCCCCATAATTGTATGCCAGCTTGTATGCCAGTATAAGGTGTGCACTCAGCATACCGGGGTGGGGACTCAGGCATAGCATATGAAGTACTCTTAATTTTCAAGACGGAAGTGTCTGCTCCAAATTTTTTCTTTCCATCCAAGAAAGCGATTCATCCTGGTGCTGGATACGAGGGCCTGTCGGAATACAAATCAGTGGTCTACTACCAAGTCAAGCAGCCCTGTTGGTATGAGACTGTCAAGGTAAGCATTCGCTGTTCGTCACTTCTGTCGTCTAGTGAACTTCACTTACGTGCCTGTCTTCATTTTGCTCCCCAATCACTCCAACCTTACCGGGAGTTTTAGATGCGCTAAATGAGTTGGTCATTGTCATTCTATGTCAGAGCATTCATCCTTAATAAACACAGCGCTCTTCACCAACATTCTTATGCACGAATATATAGAAATGTAAATGAGACACGTGGGGTTTTGTAACAAGGTAGAGGCCTACCACAGTGGCCCAAAACCCAATGGAAATTTCACACTCTGAGAGCAGTTTCCTAACATACTTTTTTCTTGGCCCCTACCCAAGGCGTCTGGACTTCTTTACAGTTTAAAAGACATTTTTACAAATTCCGAAGTGCTCCTCAGATGAGGCATCTCCTTTGGGCCCACAGTGGCCTTGCATTGCATGTGACTAATCAAGCAGGGGTTGTAAACCCCTCTTTCTGACCCCGTAACTGGGTTTTAAAGGAGACATCTGAGATGCTGGAGCTCCTCTGTGTCAGATCCTGAATTGGAGGCACTTCTTCTCGGCATAATCACCCACTTCCTCATTCATCTTCCTAGCCAGACCAGGGGCTCTGGGTGGCAGTGGCCTGGGTGGCTGCGCCCCACCTTCTGATTGCCAGAGTCTTGGGAGTTCTTCACAGAAAACCAAAATGAAAATAAAGCCCCACCCCCAAACACAGCACTCTATCCCACTTCTGAACCAACTGTTGCAGCAGTCTTAGAGCTCATGTTTTGAATGATGCTGTTCATATAAATTCATTTTGTGTTTAAAGCGAATTATCTCAGGCATTGTGCATTCTCCAGAAATACATTTAGATACTTGCATAGTGTTCCATTATAGAATCACGCCATAGTTTATTGAACTATTTTCCACACGTTGGCTGCTCCTCTTGCCCGTGGCTCTATTTCCCTGTCCCCTCTCTGTATCTCAACAGCAGCCTCCTTTGTCTTTTCCTTCCCATCTAGACCCGGATTATTGCTGTATCATATACAACTTGCAGTCTGGAAAGGTTCTGCATGGATCTCAAAGTACTGACTGGTCCTTTCCCACTGAAGTATTAACTGTTTTATAATCGAGAAAATACTAGAAATTTATAGTATCTCCATACTCTGAATTCATGATAAACACCAAGCTAATCTCAGATTCTTGTATCTTACAGATAACTCAATCTCCTGTTAATGAAACCTTATATCAGCCTCACTCTGTATTTATGGCATAGTAAGATACTAAATTTGAATCTAACTATTGTTGTATATCTCAAAATATCTGGGAGCAAGAATTTTGAATATACTCACCAAAACGAAAGGATAAGGGAGGTGTACATGAATCAACTCTATGATGAAATATAATCATTATGCATGTACCAGAAACATAATAAAAATTTTTAAAAGAAAAGGTTTGAAGTAGAGATGTGTTACCTTGTTTTGATGATTGGGTAATGTATACGTGAATGGAAACGTCCTATTTTACCTCATAAGTACCTACGATGTTGTGTCAGCATCAATAAATTCATTAAAATTGGACCTCCTTCTGTAAAATGGGCCTTGGTTGCAAGGTACTGAGCATCTCTAAGCTGTTAACTCCTGTCATGCAGGTATTCATTGCTATAGAGGACGTCACACGCTGCCATATACGATTCACCTTCCGACACAGGTCATCTCAGGAATGTAAGTATTAGGAAAACTGTGACATAGATCTATTTTTAAAACATTTCCTTGTGCTCGACAGCGCTTTTGTGCTCCAGTTTGATGCCTGGAAACTAGAAGCTCGGCGACTTTATATTAGAATTTATTGGTGGAAGGGAAATCAGAAGAGTTTATCTTGCTGGGCTTCCAAAGTTTGTGTTGTGACTGTGTGTCAAGCGTGTCCGCCGTGTGTTCTCTGAACATGGACATTCTGTAAGACACGGGTAGGTGCTGTATGGCAAAAAAAAAGGTTGCACAGTTAATGAGGTGTAGGAAACTGTGTTTCCTCTGAGACAGTCCCAGTGTACCTTGCCACGCAGCCGAGATGTCCTGCAGCAAGAAAACCACTGGGTCTCTTGTTCCTCGCACTTGTCGTTTATCCCATGAAAGAACTGTTTCAAATGTTCAGTCCCAGTTCATGCAGTGGCTTCTCTCAAGTGGGAAACGAATAGAAAACTGATTGCTTTGAGCTGATGACAGCGCTTCTGCCAGGGTCTTGCTATCATTCAGCACAGTCCAGAAACAACCCTTTCGTCCAAAATGAGTGGACTGGACAGGTCCACGTGCCAGGCTGCAGGCAAAGCTCGGTATCTAACAGCCAGGAGGACAGTGCCATCCAGAGCCCCTGCGTCTAGCTAGGAAGATGAACCAGGAAATGGGTGATTGTGTCCAGAAAAGGCTGACTCCCACCACACGGGCGGAGTTGTGAGGGAGTACGAGGCAGAGCTCCTCACCCGATCTGCGTAATCATCATAATGTTTGTGACGTCTTAGCGGAGACTCGAGGGTGAGCAGAAGTTGGTCCGGGGAAGTGTGTGTTTGGAGATCCTAAGTGAGCTCAGCATGGGTAAAGTGGGAATAGTAGAGCGATAATATCTGGTTGATGGCGAATCCCTATAATCCCAGCACTGTAGAAGGCTGGGGTGTGGGGATCACAAGTTCAAGCCCAGCCTGTCAACTTAGAGCCTTAGCGAGACTCTGTCTCAAAATAAAATAAAAGAACTCGAGATATAGCTCAGTGTGGAGGCTCTGGGTTCGCTCCCCAGTACCAGAAATAATAATAATAGTAGTAGTATTATCTTGCTGAACTTTATGAAATTGCCATTTTTACAGTCTAAAAAAGTTCCGTATCAATCATTTCATATGGTTGTACATATGTCCTTGGTCTCTCTTCTGGGACTACATGCAGATACTAAAATCTGGATGTTCAAGTCCAGATAAAATAGTGTAATAGTTCCCTGTAACCCGTGTATCCTCTGCATCGCTTGTGATCCCTGATTCAGAGCAGTGCTGTGCACATAGTTGTCATGCTGTACTGTTTAGGGAACGATGACAAGGAAGAGGGTCTGTACGTGTTTCGTGCAGATGCAGCTATCCCAGCCTAACCGCATGGTCCACACCAGCAACAACATGAGATTACACCTACAGTCCCAGCACTCTGGGAAGCTGAGGTGGGACGTCACAAGTTTGAGCCCAGCCTGGGTAACTTAGTGAGACCCTGACTTAAAAGAAAAAACAAAAGGGGGTTGGGGGTGTAGCTCAGTGTGAAGGCCCTGGGCTCAATCCCAAGAAGGGGAGGAGGAACAGGAAATGCAAGAGGTGAGGGTGGCCTGGCCTTAGGTAGGGACAGAAGAGATGGAGAGAAAGGGAGAGGACAAACCCCACAGGAGTTTAGGATGCAGCGTGGGTATGGGTAGAGTCTGTGGCAACTCCAGCATTTCTGTTTTGGAGGATTCTGTGGATGCTGGGCCCACTTATTCGGGGATATAGGAAGAGGCACATGCTTGGAGTAGCAGCTAATTTCATCGTAGGGACCCGTGACACACGCAGGCTCACTATGCCTTTCTGACGTGTATTTGTTATAGTTTGATTGAGCATCACACTTCAGAGCAAATGTGACATTAGCTGTCCCAGCCATCGCCTCCTGGTGTTTTCCACACCACTCAGACACACATTTCTGTCTTTTCAGCCAGAGATAAATCAGAGCGACCTTTTGGGGTGGCCTTCGTGAAACTGATGAACCCCGACGGAACCACGCTACGGGACGGGAGGCACGACCTGGTGGTGTATAAGGTGCTGCTCACAGAACAAGGTCCAGAGCAACCCAGAACGTATTATTCCCTTTGAAACTGGCTTCTAAGCCTCCTTCAGGGGTACACCTACAATAACATCAGAATCCTGTCATGAGCTATATGCGTTTATCCATTGAAGTCTAGAAATCCAGCAGGTTCTCATCATATACACTGTGTGCTTTCCGGTCCCTCCATGGGAGCGAGTTGCATTATTATTAGGCCTTGGAAAAGCATCTCACCCACATGCCAAGAGCTGCTGTAACCCCGAGTAGGGAAAGGGACAGCTTCCTCTGCTCTGTATCACCCCAGGTGGTAGGCAGATCCCAGTGGGGCCTGGTTAGATGGTGGTGGGCATTGCAGAATGTGGTTTGCGTATCACCATGGACCAGGCACCATTCCTGTGTTTGCGGGACCTCGCTTCCTTTCCTGGTGTGTGTATTTCCATCCTTTCCTTCTACCATTGCTGAGTTGTTGCATCTGCTGAGATTGTAAAGTATAAAGTCGATGCTAGGAGATCTCATGCATCCAGGAATATCTGGGGCAGGAGGAGGCTACACAAGTGTCAGCCCTCAGAAATGCATCCACCTGAAGAATGTTTTCCATAACATTGCCATCATTTGTAATTCTTCTAGAAGGCATAGCAAACTATTTCTCTCTCCCTCACCCCAAGGAAGTATAGCATTGACCATTTGTACGTTCAAGAGGATGAAATAATCCAACCATAATTCTGTAATATACTTACTTCTGGCAGAGACTAGGTTAGTCTAGCTTCTGGTTTACAACATACTCTATTTTCATCCTGTGTAAAAATTACTTCTGGGCTCAAATTTAGCCAAAAGATATCACAGTGCCTGGGTTGGTGAGGTCGTGAGTATAAACTGAGGAAACCATGCATCTCGGGTGGCCCTGCCCTGGATCCGGTGGAAGCTCTCTCACGTGTGTGTAGGAGCTGCTGCCTGTTGTTTGGTGTCTCTGACACGCTTCCTCTTCAGGGTGACAACAAGAAAATGGAAGATGCTAAGTTCTACCTGACGCTGCCGGGGACCAAGATGGAGATGGAAGAAAAGGAGCTCCAGGCATCCAAAAACCTGGCCGTCTTTACCCCCAGCAAGGACAGCACCAAGGACAGTTTTCAGATTGCCACCCTCATTTGCTCCACAAAGCTCACCCAGAACGGTAGGCATGGGGATGACAGTGACACACAGGAGCTTTCTGCCTCAGCCTCCGGGCTCCCTGGTCAGGCTTATGGGGCCGGGCCACGTGGGCCAAGTCTTTGGAGGCGGGTGCTGCACAGCTGGGTTCTGCTGCGTGCTCCTCAGTGATGTTCTAGGTTGTGCTGATCTAATCAATGCTGCTTCCCAATTTCTCTGTCCATGTTTCCTTCCTTCCTTCAACAAGAATCCCAGGGACATGCTCTGAGAAGAGGCAGCAGGAGGGCCTGGTAGGAAGAGGAGAGTGCTGGCAAGGACAGAGTCAGTCTGCTGCCCAGTGGAGGTGCCAGAGAGCAGGGATTCCTGTTATCATTCATTCCTTCTCTTCCTTCCTTTCCTTCCTTCCTTCCTTCCTTCTTCCTTCCTTGTTTCTTCTTATTATTTATGCTTTTGGATGCAGACTCTGTGTCTGTAGCCCAGGTGAGCCTTGAACTCACAGTCCTCTGGCTTAGCCTCCTGAGTGCTGGGCTGTCCACATGCGCCTCCTGCCCAGCAGTTTTTCTTTCCCCTGTGTGTTCTTTCCTTTTCTATTTTATCCAAGAATTCAAGACTTTTTCATAAAATCGCTGAATAGCTCAAATAGGGCTTCATTTTTCTTTCTCCTTCAAACCTGCTGTCAGTTGTAGCCTCGCTGTGCACCGCGGGGCACGTGGTACCCATCAGCGACTTCTTAGTCCTTTAACCTGCAGCACGCGAGGAAGGAGGACTGCAAATCGGAAGTGAGCCTGGGCCATGGAGTGAGGCCCTGCCTTTTAAAAAAGAAAAGAAAGAAGAAAAAAAAGAATATGGAGTCCTACTGAATATTGCAAGCCAAAAATGTCCTGCCTTAGAAATTCTGTATTCCCTGTGATGTGTAGACCGTCAGTCCCTTTGGCCTTGTGGGTGACTTGGGTGAGGTACCTGCAGGTGTACAGCCTTACAAAAGGCAAAGATGGACCAAATAATTCCAGTGATGGCGAGCCTTTAGAGCTTTCCGTGATAACAAACAGGGGCTGTAGCACATGGGTCAGAGGTTTGCCACATGATAGACCACGAGCTGCACTGAAGGGTCAGATCTGGGCTGCTGGTGGGAAGGGGTCAGTCGTGGCTGGCTAGAGAATAGGGATGGGGTTTCTACTTGGAGAAACCTGGACTTAACAGAGTGAAGGAGGGGCAGATCCATAGGGGAAAGTAAGAACTCGCTCATCAGAAATGAAGCCAGAAAACTTTATGAGCTTCGTGGAAGACATGACAATGTTGTACCAGTCACATAACCGTGGTTAAGAAGAAGAGGTGGCATAATAAACTGCTAATAGGTGCTCAAAGGGTCCAATATATGTGAAAAATGAATGTGACTTAGAAATTGAACCTTGGTAACAATGATTTATGTCCGAGCATGTTTCCCTGTATTTATAGTAGGAAAATACTAGACACAACCCCAATGTCCAGTAGTTAAGACCAGTTTGAATTTCATGATTTTATTAATTTATACTTTTATAATTAAATGATAAAATATACATAGCTGGTAAATGCTAAATTTAAAACATAGTCAAGGACATGGCATTTTTTTTTTAATCACATCCCTGTTTTGTTTAAATCTGTGGGGACGATTTGGAGTCAGACTCCTGGAAATCAATGGGTACTCAAGAAGAGAGACAGCATTCATTGTACGTCTAACAGGTTATCTTTCCGGACTGGAGATCAAAGATGAACAGGGAATAAGAATTTGTAAAATTAACTGTAGTAAAAAGGAAAAGGAATTCTGGCAGTGGGAAAGATCACCACTTGGCAAAGGTATTGTGAGTGGGAGAGGACTGGCTGTCTGTTCAGGGGACAGTTGTGAAGGGCTCCTGGGTTTGCTGGAAATCAGAGAGAACCAGTGTCATTTATTTGGGGAAAGGAAGAGCTGAAGATCATGAATAGCCATCAGCGGGATGGAGGGGACAGCGTTCCCTGGCACTGAGTCCAAGGCCCTCTCCACAGCTGAGGGTCACCGTGCAGGCTCAGGAGACCACCAGACAAACCCCAGGCACTAATTACAAATTTATCTTGTTGGCTCTTGTGTTTACTGACTGATTTAATTTGTTTCAAAAAACCCAGAAGAGACCAGTTTGTATAGAGCTGTTTGGTGCATGGCCTGGATGCGGGGTGAGAACGGTTTGTGGTCCAGGGAGAGAAAAGAGATCTCAGGCTGTGCAGGAGGAAGCCTGGTCCCAGGTGACTCCCACACACCAAGTCACCTTACTCTCCGCACCCTGGGACGAGAGGGCACTGAGACACCTCTTACCATTCCCAAATTAATGACCACAAAATTTTAAGCACTGACCGCAGGAACTTTGCTTTGATCTACACCCACAGCCATTTTTAGTTGCTTTTTTTTTTTAATTTTGAGACAGAGTCTTGCTAAGTTACCCAGTCTGGGCTAGAACTTGCTATCCCTCTGACTCAGCCTCCCAGAGTGCTAGTATTACAGGTGTGCGCCACCACCCTGCTCAAAAATCAGATTTTGCACTGGGGAGACTGATGCAGGGGAATTGCAGGTTTAAGGCTGGTGTGGGCTGTGTAGTGAGACCCTATCTCAAACAACAACGAGAAAGATCGAATTTATTTGTGTATTTACTGGTCCTAGTGATTGAACCCTCAAGCAGGCTAGACGAATGCTTTATCGCTGAGCCACATCCCCAGCTCTTTTTATTTATTTTGATGCAAGCTTTCACTAAGTTGCCAGGCTCGCCTCAAACTTAGGTTGCTTCTGCCTCAGCCTCCTGAATAGCTGAGTTACAGCCATGTGCCAATACGCCTGGAAGAAATTAAACTGAGGCAAGAGGATCGCAAGTTTGAGCCCAGCCTGAGCAACGTGGCAAGGTCCTGACTCAAAGTACACAGTACAGAAGGGCTGAGAGCGTGGAGCAGTGTAAAGGCCCCGGGTTTCCATCCCCAGTACTGAAAAAAAAAGAGAAAGAAGAGGAGGAGCGTGGAGAGGGGGATGAAGGGAGGAACAGGATAGGAGCAAGTGGGAAGGAAAATACAAAAGAAAGGGCAGAAAAAGATTCATTTTTCAAGTGGACAGTATTTTGCCTGAGCTGTGTGATAGGATTTGGCTTTGCAAACATATTTGTATCTCCAAAGCTCATAGTCTATCCTTACATGTCTTTTCTTGTTTAATTATGTGGCCTCTAACTCTCTCCCACCAGTATTACTTCCCTGAGCTTGGCGATTCTCATTCCCTCGCTGTTCTTCATAGCTTTATCACATGGTCATACCCCTAAAATCTGTGCAGTGTTACTTGCTTTGTCACCACTTCCTATTGCTGCAAGCCTGCTTCTGAATTTGCTTGTCTGCTTGTTTCTCTGAAGAACTCTGAGGGAGGTGAGACATCAACTTGTGATTCGGTTGTATTTCTAGTACCCTCTAGCAGTTATGTGACCTGTAACAAGTAATTTGATGTCACAAAGACACAAATTTCCTCATCCAAAAAAATGGAAAAAATAAAGTTCCTGCAGTGCCGTTAAGGCAGTGAAAGAATTAATTAGCATACTACAGATAAATTCCTCCTCGCCCTGAATCCACCCAGCCACAGGTAGTGGGGAGGGAAAAAGTGAGCAAGGCAGCAAAAGAAAGACAGGAAGGTTACTCAGGACACGAGTGCTTTGCTTTCCCCCAGGACTGGGGATTGAACCCAGGGCCTTTGCACTGAGCTACACTCACAGTGCGCCCCTCCCCCTTTTGAGATGGGGTCACAGTAAGTTCCCCAGACTGGCCTTGTACATACTTGCAGTCCTCCTGCCTCAGCCTCCCAAACAGTTGAGATTACAGCCATGCCCCACCGCCCTTGGCTCCGTATCACTGCTTCCTACATTTACTTTTTTATGATTATAATGTCATTGTTTCAAAACTGTGAGTTCTAGTCAGATATTATTTTATGTTCCTGTTGATTAGCAGTTAATTTTTTTTTTCTCTTTGAAGAATGAAAGAGGATCACAAAGTTTTCCCTGGCAGAGATAGGAAAAAGAACAGATAAGGCATTCTTTTTTTATTTTTTTATTTATTTTTTTTTTTTTTGGTTTTGGTTTTTCTCCGGTACCAGGAACCGAACTCACGACCTTGCACTTGCCAGGCAGGCGCTTTTGCCACTGAGCTAAATCCCCAGCCCCCAGATAAGGCATTCTTGAATGAGCTACCATCAAAAGCAGTTGTAGCTGCATCCTGAAGTGGTCTGGATTGCTCCTTCTAACATCTATGGTTTGTCATCCTTCTTTCCAGTTGACCTGTTGGGATTGTTAAATTGGCGTTCCAACTCCCAGAACATTAAACACAACCTAAAGAAGTTAATGGAGGTGGATGGAGGAGAGATTGTTAAGGTATGTTTATATCTTTGTATCTAGGACTCTACCTAATATATAATTCATTCAACCTATTAAACCAGCCGTTGTCACTATAAGGCTTGTTACCTATATTGCTAAGCAACTGTGCTGCTATTTAAGAAAATGCTATTTTTAAGCCTGTTCTGTTGAGACCTAATTGTCCCCAAATTTCTACAGCTTGGAGCTGAATGACTGCGCTCAAATAACGTATCTTTCTTATCTTCAGTTTTTGCAAGATACACTAGATGCACTTTTTAACATTATGATGGAAATGTCAGACAATGAAACATACGACTTCCTTGTGTTTGATGCGTTGGTAAGCAATTAAATGTATTACCTACTATTTCTTACCCAGTGTTTATTCTCACTGCTGTGTAGTTTTCTGTGTCAGCTGCATGTTCACCTCTCAGTGACTTCTTTTCTCTGGATCATTTAGAAGTAATTGCCATAAATCTGCTTTTGCATAAATATTTGTGCACATCATCAGGGTTTCTTTAGGCTAAATTCCTAGAAGCAAAATTAGAAACAAAGAACTTATTTTCCGGGCCTTTATTTCTTTGTTTTCTTTTAGATCTCACTTTTCAGCATGCTTTCACTTTCATGGGGAAATCAAAGTGTTTAGTTAAGGTAGAAAGCAAGAAGCCGCTTAACTCACTCTGCCATTGTCTGATCAAAACCTAGGAGATATGTGTGACCAGCAAGGGCGTGGCGTGGTCTAGGTATTTGCCCTCCTGTGTTCAGGTGAGGGAGGCTGAATTCTCAGGTCAGGGAAGACATTCAATTAGCATCATTAGGTGCCATGTGCAGCCCAGCAGACAATTGAATTTGTCGCACAAAACACTGAAACCCATTCTAAGGACTGAAATCAGACCAGGGGTAAGTGATGGTCAGAATCTGGGAAGAGCAGAGGTGTTGGTGGAAGCCATGGACACCTCCATAGCAACCATCATTTCTTCCTGTTTGGGGAAAGTTCAGGGAAATTTGACTTGAGTATGACAGCTGAGGAGCAAGGTAAGCGCAGCTGTGGCTCGCTCACCATCTTGGAGAAATCGGTAAGTTCAGCAAGCGATCAGGACATTAAAGATGTAAGGGGAAGGTGGAGTCAGATTTCTGAGAAAGGGAGACTGTGGGTAATGAACTCAGTAGCACGAGGTCTGCAGATCCATCCCTGTGGGACAGAGCAGCTGGCCATGGGCCCATGTGCAAGTCCTAGGTGCCTTTTTCCCTGCAGAATTCCGTCATGTGTAGGTGCAACGTGGTGATTTGTAGATTACGTACTTCGCAACCGTAAGAGCTAACGTGAGGGGAGAATCAGGAGACAAAACTCTGGTGAAGTTCAAGTTGTTGGGGATACTTGTGCTGCACTCAGGATAAAAATGTCATGGGCTGTGCTCCCTGTGGTAGCACATACACCAGAAATGTCACAGACCATTTCATTAGCTGTGTCCTTGGGTTAGCCATTATTATTCCCATAGATAACCCGTCTCCATATCCTCCTCCTGCTGTGCTGTTTTGAGCCCAGACTTAAGTTACCTGTGCATGACTATTCTCCCTTTGACACAGTAGCTCCCTGAGGCCAGAGATCCTGGTTTGTATTGCTTCATTTATACCAGTGATGGCGAACCTGTTGGAGCTTTCAGTGATACAAACAGCCCACTGCGGCACATGTGCCATAGGTTCGCCGCCACTTTCTTATACCGTGCACTGCAGTGCCTGACGCATAATAGTTCCTGCTTCCATGTTAATTAAATATAAACCACAAGACTTGACTTTGGTTCTGTGATAATAGAATAGGAATGTTGTAGAAATGATCCAGAGAGAAAAGAAGTCACTGAGAGGTGAACATGCAGCTGTTGACAGAGTGCCTGAGATTGTACAGGGCTGCCATTGATATTTTTCTGCTTTGGCAGGTATTTATTATTTCACTGATAGGAGACATCAAGTTCCAGCATTTTAATCCTGTACTTGAAACCTACATTTACAAGCACTTCAGCGCCACTTTGGCATATGTGTAAGTATGACTCCAGAGACCTCCATGCAGTTGGATCATTGAATTTGTGCTCCTAAAGCTGGAGTTTTGAAAAAAATGCAAGGAACCTAAATTCTTGTTTTTTTGGTACCGGGAATTGAACTCAGGACCTTGTGCTTGCCAGGCAGGCACTTGTGCCACTGAGCTATATCCCCAACACAATGAATCTAAATTCAGTGAAGTGGCTTTGAGTACAGAACCTGCTAAGTATTCTAGCCTCTGAAGGAGGCATCTGGTTCTGACCATTCCCTCTAGACAAGGCTGTACCTCTCTAACAATCCAGAAAAGTAGTGGTTGAAGCCAGTTAGGAGCAGACTGAAGGTCAGGTGGCCAAACTCAACATCTTAGGAGTTGGAGGTCGGCGAGATGGGTGCAGTACCAGTGGGGTCAAACAGTGAATTAAGCAAGACCAAGTCTGATGGAAGAACCGGGCATGCTCTCAGCCCCACTCCACAGCGGTGTGTGGAATCAATTAGCCATGGGATGTAAGATTTGATTTTTCTTCCTTTTGTGTAAAAGGAAGCAGTTTCTGTGTTTCTTATAGTGCAGTCTTCTTTCTACATTTGGTTTATGAAGCCCTGAATGAAGAAAGCAACTGATGTTCGCTGTGTTTCTCCCTGGTGTGCTCAGGTCACCCTGGTGCATGTGGCCTGTCACCCCCACCTCCTTGCATTGCAGTCATGGTACAGACCAATGCAATAAACAGTGCCAGGACTGTAGCGTGGGTTGGTAAACAGTCTTTTGGACAATGACTTGTGCTGATTGCTGCTGGCTGATGTGCCCAGTCACGTCATTGATCTCTGGTTTCTTTCCTAAACTGAACAAACACGATGGTGCAGAAACACAAGTTCCATAAAGGCGGTGTCGTGTAGCATAGTCACCACCTAACATGATGGCCATGATGCCCCCTCGGTTGGGGAGGTGGCACTACACCAGTAATAGAGATCTTCCCAGCCAGCAGCCTCACTTTCCAAGTTGGCAGCAGCTACAAGTTAAATCTTTGTTAGCTATGGATCCTGGCTACACTAAGCCAAATGGGAGCCCCCAACTAGAAACAATCTCGATTTATCCGTGGCATTCAATTAATTCCACATTTCCTTTAGATTCTGTGCTAATTCTAGAAAAGCTCATAGATTCTCAGAAGAAAAGCTCACACTATCCAAGCCTTCCAAGGTCTGAGTTACCAGAAGATCAAGACCATCCATAGTCCAGGGACTGGAAAGACAAAGAACAATCTAAAATCCCAAAGGGTTTCGTCTGTAGACATGTTCAGAGCCATGGGTGTTCTGGAAATTCGGACTGGGCTTCGCTCCCCACACTCAGCGAAGTTCCCATCTGGCGCTGTATTTATGGATCGCAAAGGGTTGGGGCAGAATGGAGGGAACTATATCTGAAGGTGACTCCCCTAGGCTGTCATCATCACTCCTTCCAGGAGCATCTGAGGATGTCTGTCTTACGTGCCAGAGATGAAAACACCCTCACGCTTTGCAACCTTTCAGCTCTTTCATTGCTTGGTCCGTATTTTTAAGGAGGAAACTTTCCACCATTTGTAAGCAGAAGAAGGCACGTTCCAAACCGACACTGCAGATGACGAAACTAAATTGCAGAGGGGTTAGTTTGCCTGTGAAGGGCACGGTCTAAAGGACATAATGAGAGCTATGACTCCCACTTCCCAGTGTGCCTCCTCCTGCTCCACACAGTGTACCCCTCCCTCAGGGTGCCTACCAGGTTACCCATTTGCTTGAGTCTCCTTTTTTTTTTTTTTTTTTTAAGGAAACTCTCCAAGGTACTGAACTTTTATGTGGCTAATGCAGATGACTCCAGCAAGACAGAGTTGCTTTTTGCCGCTTTGAAAGCCTTGAAGTACTTGTTCAGGTTCATCATCCAGTCCCGAGTGCTGTACCTGAGGTAATGGTTCCCGGGGCTTGGGCCCATCGCTGCCCTCTCCACACCGTCTCCCTCACTCCTCATGCTTGTTTTCAGCTCTCTGAGCAGCTGCTCATGGATTTGCAGGTTTCATAACTTGAGTGCCAAAGATGGTGGTGGATGGTGGCCCCTTGGAGAAGGTCCGTGTGGGGTACCTGTGCGTCGGCAGAGTGCTGAGGAGTCATGACAGCAGGACTGAGGGATGCTGGGGGTTAAATGTGCTCACTGCTGGAAGCCTTTTTTTTTTTTTTTGTGATTACAGCTTTAGAGAGGCGACTTCTTGTGGCTAGTAAAGAGCTTGTGTTTGATTCCAAGTGTGGTAGGAAGCATGGAGGGGCTTCAGTTGAAAAGTGGTACAATCCGATTTATGTTCTAAATGATCATCTCCTCTCTTGTGTGGAAAAGGGGTTATGGCGGGCTCAGAGTGCAAGCCAGTGGCCACTTCACGTGCTGTTGCCATTCAAGTGTGGACGTGGTGGCTCTGCCTGAGGTGCAGATGAGAGAATGGCTGACAGGGAGGAGGAGCCCATGGGATGTGCCGTTGGATTTGATGGGGGCAGGCAGCCAGGGAAGGCAAGGACCACAGACAGCCTCAGGACTGGGGTGGCTGGTGGTGCTGTTCGCTGAAACTTGGAATATGAAGTGCCTAGCAGGACATCAGACGGCTTCTGTTCAGCTGTACTTTGAGATTCTCTAAGAACTAACTTCCAAATAAAATTCTTTTCTAATTCTGGCAAATGAGTGAATTGAGAATTACCAGTCACCTTCTGATGGAATAATTTTCTTAGTGGAGTTCTTACTCTGTGGTTACCATAAAAGGTGCAAATCCCTCTTCCATAATGCTTGGGATTAGAAGCATTTTTGGGTTTCAGATGATTTTGGTTTTGGATGATGTCTTAGGGACGAGATCCAAGTCTAAACACAGTGGATTTAGGTTCATACACATCTTACGCACGCAACTAGAGATATTTCATACAGTATGTTTTGTGTGCCTGCTTTTTGACTGAAACTGTCGCAGGTCAGGTGTGGAATTCTCCTCTCGTGGCATCATGTTGGTGCTCAAAAGGTTTTAGATTTTAGAGCATTTTGGGTTTTGGATTTTCAGATTGGGGATGCTTATGGTGTGTAGGTAAATGGAAGAGGCTCGTTTAAATGTACTTACATGTGTGTTTGTGTTTGAGTATAAAACTCTGACTTCATAATCCCTGCTCTTGACTGTTCAGTGTGGAAATTGCCACCTGGTGTGTACTCACGTACACTACTGTTAGACATCTACAAATTGGCCAAAGGCTTTTTGATTTCTTTTTGATTTGGGGAAAAGAATCAACGTTTGAGTTGATGGGCACATACTATGAGGAAAAGGAGGACACTTTAATCAGAGCAAGTCTGTGTCAGTGCCGTTGAAGACCCTGTGGTAGAAGAGATCAGCACCCAAGGTAGACAGAATGGATGTTGACTGCTTCTGTAGGCCCAGTGGGTTCAGAACCCTTCTGGGCTAAGGAGCTTCTGTACCCATTGTCTGCAACCTCAGCTCATAGGATCAAGGCTTGATTAGGTGAGAGAGGGTCTTGCTGAGTTATTGAATTGCCCAGACTGGCCCTAAATTTGTGATCCTCTTGATTCAGCCTCCTAGAATGCCAGGATTAAGGGTGTGCACTCTCTGTAGCCATTCATCACAGAATGGATGTGGAAGGAAGGAGGGATGCTGAGGAGAGAAGGTGATGGGTGTGTGTGTTGGGGACGTTTGCTGGAGTCCCTTACACACTGGACCTTCTGCTAATGAGCCGAGAAGGCAGGCAGCCAGAGTTCCCCTATTGCATCAGGCACTGTGACTTTCTGATGTTCTCTGTCCTGCTGGAAGTGCCCATCAACCATTGGCTGGACTGCCTCTCCCTACTCAGGGCCTCTCAAATCCCTTCCAGCAAGTCCTTACCGATGGGCTGATCTTCACTGACCAATAGGAGAGCCCTGTGTTAGGGCCTTGCTTACAGATGGCCACCCTGCTCTTCTCTAGGAAGTAATGTCCATTAACTCTATTGAGGTAGATTCTGGTCCCTCCAAAACCACCTTAGGGTGCCCCATGAGACATCTCTCTACACAGTAGGAAGAGGTACCTAGTGAGGCATTGACCTCCGGTATTGTTTTCATTTTGGTTTTCTGGGTTTTGTTGTTTTTTTTTTGAGGCCACAAATCTATTTTAAAATTTCTTTTAAAGATGGGAAACTCTGACTACTTTTCTCTTCTTGCTTTTAAGATTTTATGGCCAGAGTGAAGATGGAGATGAATTTAATAACTCAATCCGCCAGTTATTTCTCTCCTTCAATATGTTAATGGACAGGCCTCTGGAGGAAGCCGTCAAGATCAAGGTCCGCTTGGGGTCCTCGTGGGTAACTCTGTAAGGCTGTGGGTAAAGATGAACTTAGAACTAGCTGAGGCTGGAGAGAAACAGAGCGAATCATGCTTCATGGGAAGCATGTGTGTCTTCGTAGGACTTAACAGCAAGTAAAGATTTAGTGGCAGTTTGCAAAAGATAAGCTACCTGTTTAGAAGCCAAAAGAATAGCTGTTATAACCATTGTGGCACCCCTGCGTCCACCAAACTGATCCCCATGCTGGAACAAGGGATCGTTTTCTATTTCTTATTTGTCTCATTACTGCCAGAAGCACAAAGTTACCAGTGTCTTCAGCAGCAGCAATTTTGTAAAAACATAACATAGCAATTTTGTGAAATAAATGGTTTAAACTTTATCATATAACCCTTGTTCTTTATGTAACTATGTGAGAACTGGGGCTGGGGATTTAGCTTAGTGGCACAGCGCCTGCCTGGCAAGCGCGATGTCGTGAGTTTGATTCCCGGTACTGGAAAAACAAACAAACAAACAAACTGTAGCTATGTGAGAAAGACTTCCAGAATTTACCTCCTTAGAAAAATAATTCCAAATGAGTAGGACACAGGATTATCGAAATGGATCAACTCCTCCTCATAGGGAGGAGGAGGGGCTGTGTCTCCCCTACTTTCAGGAGAAAGGTTTTAGGAGGTTGTGTTTGGCAACGTGAGCTTTTTCCTCTTCATCACGAGGGCATCTGCATCCAGTTCCCTGTCTAAGATCCCAGCGCAGCCCTTTCTACCTGGGATCCAGCAGGAAGTTCTGTATTTGTCTTGTTCAGCAGCTGAATTTGCCTTTGGTGCTTTTCGTACAGGGGGCAGCTTTGAAGTACCTTCCTAGCATCATCAATGATGTCAAACTGGTGTTCGATCCCACTGAGCTCAGGTAAGTGCCACAAGACGATTTATTTCCCGCTCTCGCGGCAGCAGTCCCCTGCTTGGTGGGGACCGGGGCGCTGCACATGCTGTCATTGTCCTAGCAAGAATTAGTGGAGCCCTTTTTGTGCTGAGTTCCTGCGGTAGATACAAAAGAACACACAAAGCCTACCTTGAGCGAAGTTTGCACTTTCTCTGGGGAAAAAAGACAAACAGACATAAAATTAACTCCAAAGGAAAGTACATAATAACACGCTTCCAGCCCTTCATCTAAGTACCCGGGAATGCAAAGTCAGGCTGCAGTTGGCGTTGGCGTGGAGTTGGCCAGAAAAGGCCTCTCGTGGAAGCTGAGCGTTGAGCAGGCCTGGGAAGCCGTGATGGACGTGGGTGTGCTTTCCATCTGTGGAGCAGGCATGTGTGGCCCTGGGGACATTCTCGGGCCTGGGGCCATTTCAGAGTTTTCCAGGTGACCTTCCCCACGCCCGGCTCTCACAGTGGAGGAGGAATATTTGTCAGGACGCCTTTGCTTTGGCAGAATGAGAATGCTGACCCTGGGCTTTCTCTCTCAGCGTGCTCTTCTGCAAGTTCATCCAGAGCATCCCAGACAACCAGTTAGTGCGGCAGAAGCTCAACTGCATGACCAAGATAGTGGAGAGCAGCCTTTTCCAGCAGTCGGGTGAGTCTCCACTGAACAGCCGCTTCCTGGACTGCCAGTCCTGTTTCTCAGCGCTCGCTTCCTCGCCTTTGTAATTTTAAATGTCAGTCATGCCCTTGCCGCTTTGTCAGTACTTGAGGACCTCTGAGGCACCGGTTTTAAGAAGCCGAAGCCAGTTTAGCGGTTCCCATAGTTACAGGAAGAGCACAGTCCTGTGTTAAAACTTGAATTAGAAAAGTCAGCAGGTGGTTCATTAATTAGAGACCTTTGTTCTCAAAAGAGGAACTCCAAACAGTGACAAGCAAGTAAGACAGGTGACTTTTAATCAGATCTACTTTCTTTGACCTGTGCTTAGTGCATAAACTTGCCCACCAGGAGCCAGGGCGGGCAGAGATGTGGCACTGTGCAGCTCAGGGGGCTGATTATGGCTTCTCTTCGCAAATCTGTTCAGTGACGTCATACAGGTGTATTTACACAGAAATTGGCCACCACTATCCATCGGGGATTTTTAGGATGAAGGAAGCCAGATTACTGGTATCCATTGGGAGGGTGCACAAGGGAGAGAAATCTCTTACTCCTTACGCTCACGCTATTACTGTAGTAAGGTTTCTTTTTGTAAATAGAATGGAACACGCAGCCACCAAGTCTGAATCGGTGTGCTCTTGCCCTTCTTTTGAAGCTCCCGTAGCCAAGTCAAGAGTCTGAGTGTGGGGCCTCATGCTTGGTGTATATCCTAAGCCTCCTTAGCAACTGTTGAGGGTGGGAGAAACCTCCTAGCCTTGCCTTTGGTGAGTTGTGCAAAGGCTCAACTTCAGGTTTCTACACAAAGGAGAACGTGAACTAGGTGATGTCAGTAGCCTTTGTTTGACTGTGTGTACTCTGGCCCTGTTAATTTGTGCTTAAACTTTCAAATGTTCCCACGACATAGTCAGAGGTAGTGCTGACTAAGCCAGTGGATGCTGTTGAGGGGAAAAATAATTTTTAAACACCCTAATAGGTATGATAAACTCGGCCTCTGTAGACGCAGAGAAGATAGTGGAGACAATAAAGGGGGGGTATTTGAGTGCAAGAGCGAGTACACACAAAATAATTTTTTGTTTGTTTTATAGCACTAGGGATTGATCCCAGGGCCTTTACTAACTACACCCCCTGCAGCCCCTAACCCCCACATTTATTTAAAAGAGAATCTTGCTAAATCACTGAGTACCCCAGGCTGAGCTTGAACTTGTGATCCTCCTGCCTCAGCCTCCTGCAGTGCTAGGACTATAGGAGTGCATCACCATGCCTGACTGCACTGGGTAATTCTAGTTAGAGGAAGTAGGATCACAGCTAACAGGCACTTCTGTACTGTCCAGAGAACCTGGACTCCTCCTGACAGGGTATATCTTCATGAAAGGCCCAGAAGGAAGACATAATACATTATCCTCTACTTTCTGTAAGCCCCGTATCTGCAAAAGCGGGACTAGAGCAATGGACTGGGGAAGCTCTGTGTTCGTGGGAATTAGTAACTTTTCCCCGTGAAGTAGGAAAAGACATTAGAAAGTATATGACTTGCTTAGTTCTTGTTGGTGTCATAGAGTTGACATTTTAAAAAGCAAGAGAGGAGCTGGGGTGTAGCTCACTGTAGCACGTGAGTGAGAGGCCCTGGGTTTAATCCCAAGAAGCAAAAAACCCACAAAATTTAAAAGCTGGAGAAATTGTAATTTGCACATTGTTAGGTCTGGCTGTAGAGTACTTGCATAGCATGCGAGAGGCCCTGGGTTTGATCCCCAGCAATGCCAAAAACTAATTTAAAAATTAACATTGTGCTAAATGCTGGCATTCCTGTGCAGGAAAAGTATTTCTTAGTCTGTGTAACTCAGGGGTAAGATTAAAGTTCAGTGCCTAAAACCACCTGCTCCTCAGTCGCCTGGAGAGGCTCCACCTCGCAGGGCTGCATCCAGAGAACTCCGGGCAGCCAGAGAGAGTCTCGGAGCGAGTGGGCAGTTCCAGATGTGCTGCTGCGTTTCCTCCTCAGAGTGCAGAGAGGTGCTGCTGCCCCTGCTGACGGACCAGCTCAGCGGCCAGCTGGATGACCACTCGAGCAAGCCTGACCACGAGGCCAGCTCGCAGCTTCTCAGCAGCATCCTGGAGGTGCTGGACAGGAAGGATGTGGTGAGTTGTGTCATCCTCAGTGTGGCACAGGGCTCAGCTGGTCCCTTCTCCCCGGGGAGGGGGACTCCAAGGCCTTCCTGGTCTCAGCAGTCCAAAGCTCCAGTACCAGGGAAGCTGTGTTTGTTTTAGAGCTGCCTGGAGAGGCCAGCGCCTCCTGTACAAATGTGGGGCCTAGTGAAGTCAGCTGGCTGCTGGGGCCCCATTGGTGGGCTGTCCCTGCCACTGCTGAGATCCCAGTGAGCCTCTGAAGTCCGCGAGCTGCTCAGAGACCCTTGGAGATTTGGTCTTCTGCAGAAGCCTCTGCCTCCCACCCTCTCATGCCTGATGCTATCGTAAACACTTCTGTGCCTCTGAGGTCTGTTTTTCTGCTCTCTCTGACACTGCTGCTTTCTCTGGACCCTGGTGGAAATTATATTTTCTTATCTTGTGTCTCTTCTGTGATCTAGATCCAACGCCTCCTGAAAATACAGGGCTGAGCCTGCCCGGATGTCCCATGTACTAAAGATAGCACCGCCCATGGGCCTAGCAGGCCCACAGGAGAGGCTAGAGGACAGAGCAGAATGTGTGCGGTTGAAGTTGAGGGCTCAGAAGAAAACATCTCAGCCCAAACGACCCCCATGGCGGCTGCAGGCCTCGGGGTTCCTGCAGAACAGGGGGTGGCTCTTTGATTTTGACTACAACCAGAGCTCACCTGTCCGAGGATAGCACTTTGGCCCCAGACCTTATCTCCCATTCCTTGTCTCCCTGGTGTTTCCCTGCTGCTTCTGCCAGCCCCGCCCGAACCTCAGAAGCACAGGAGGACTCCACCACTTTCTCCTGCTACTCCCCGACCTCTGCCCTCTACAAAACACAGCATGTGTGACCTCCTTACCATTTGCTCTCTTTATCTGATATTTATTCATTAGAGGCCAGCCTTCACCCTTTTGTTTGTTTGTTTAAGTGTGTTTCTATAGGACCATATTTATAAACTGGAATAAATTTTCCCAAGAAGTATTTTGGTTAGGATTTTAGTCCTTAACCAAGGACTTTGGAACAAATAAATAAATGTGACTGGCAGAAATAAAAGGAGAAAGAAAGAAAAATTTTCAGGAGGACAGGCTTTATTTAAAATAAAGATCCGAGAGGGGCCATTGGCTCCAAAATGCCAAAAGCAGCCCTCTCGTACAGAGCAAGGGTTAACGGGAGTGCTCAAGGTAAGCCCCTGGTATTCTCAGGCTCAGGTCTCTGAATCTGTGGTCACTGGTTCGTCTCATGTTTGTGAAAGGTTTCTCATTCAAGAGGCTGAATGCCCCTTGATCAGGAAGGTTTTTTTTTTGTACAGTACGTACAGAGATTTCATGGGCTCCATAGTTACAGGGCACAGAAGAATGCGGTAAAGGTCACAACTTATGGGTAAACATCCACTGGCTTTTCCTGATAGTGACCAATCATGGTATAGACATCATTATTTCTTAAAGTAACTCTTTTGACTCAGTTTTATTTAAAATAGTAGAATCAAGTTGCAAGCCGTATAAACATGGCCTCATTGTACTAAGAACGGTGTCCCTTGGCCAGGGTTTTGGTGTTCTGGAACGCACACATCTGGGATCTAAGGCTAATCTGAAACGAAGGAATTAGGGTGTTTGGTTTGTAGTCCCACTGTGAGCACCAGGCAGCAGTTTATCCTTCGGGACATCTCAGTGCCTCAGTTTCCTTTTCTCTAATGTGTGAAAAGTGTTGTGGGTAATTACAGGTCTCTTCCACTGCTGAGCTGAGAGTTTATAATGTCTCTCCCTGCCTCCGCCCCACACAGAATTCTCTAGAAATAGCCTGAGCAAGACAGCTTTGATGGTGCATCCCTCCTAGGGTGCTGAGACAGGAGGACCACAAGTTCAAGTCCCACCTGAGAAATTTAGTGACATAATGACCTCGTCTCAAATTGAAAAGTAAAGAAGTTTGGGACATGGCTCAGTGTGAAGGCTCTGGGTTAAGTCCCCAACACTGAAGTAAAACAAAGTTTAGCCCAGAAGCAGAGGCTAGAACAATAGTTACCAGGTAGTGGGCGGCAGGGGAAGAAATCTTAACGAAAGTGTATGAAGTCCCAGTCATAAAATGAACACATTCTGCACATGTTCTGCACAGCATGAGTGTGATGGATGTGTTCATTTGGTTGTTGTAATCGTCATACAATATCCATATATGAGGGGCTGGGGATTTAGCTCAGCCTCAAAGCGCCTGCCTGGCAAGCACAAGGTCGTGAGTTCAATTCCCGGTACCGGAAGAAAAGACAAAAGACAAAAAACAAACAAATATCCATATATGAAATCATCATATACACATTGATTATGTAGAATTTCACCAGTTAAATACTTTTAAATAGTAAATATAATATTAAGGGAAAATTATAGAGCAGTTGCTAAGCAGGAATGCTGAAGTATCTGTTGTGAAGCAAGAATGGATAAAGACTCTGAAGAACCCACAATGAACATGGATAAGTTGGAATTGAGTGAGTAAAATCTAGCAACAGAAAAGGAAAGAAGGGAGAAGAATGAATGGACCCTTTAGGTGCTATTTTAACCATTGGCCTAATTATTAGATGTAAGACAATAGTAATTATCCTCTTTTTGCATTTCTCAAAACTAAAGCTTCTTAAGTTGAGTAATGACTTAAAGTCACAAATTAAATCTCACAGATCAGGAGGCTGGAAGCGTGAGGTCGGGTGGAGCCATGGTCGAGTTCTGATGAAGGCTGTCTTCCTCCTTGCAGTCGGTCATGGGTGTGAGCCTGCACCCTCCTGTGTGTGTAGGGGGGTGGGGGGTTGCTAGTGGGGACTGAACCAGAGCGCTCACACTGAGGTACATCCCTAGCCTTATTTTTGCTTTTTGAGACACAGTCACTCTAAGTTGCCCAGGCTGATCTTGAACTTGCAAACTTCCTTTCTCAGCCTCCCAAAGTGCTGGGATCACAGGTGTGCAACATACCACAAGAGACACCACAGGCTTGGTGTCTCTTCTAATAAGGGCACTAATCCCATCAGAGCAGGGCCCCACCCTTTGGACTTCATCTAACTTTAACTGCCTCCCAAAGCCCCCAACCCCTAATATCATTAGGCCTTAGAGCTTCAAGATAATTATTTGAAAGGAACACAAATACTTCATAGCAAATCCTCTTGGCTTGAGTTTCTTTTCTATCTTTCCCCTACAGAGAAGGTGGCAGGAACTGTGTAGCTTTGCTTTCTCCTCCCTCATGTGTGCCTGATGTCCTGGCAGCTTTCATCTCCTCAGCACCACAGCCTCATGCTCCTGGGCCTCCCCGTAATAATTTGTGGCCATAGAGAACTCACAGCAAACCTGAGCTGTCCAGGTTTTTATTTAGGGAGCAGTGATTTCATTCCTGTACGTCCACGTTCACTTTTAAAATTTTTTTTTACATTCACCTTTTAAATGATTTAAGTGATTGTTCTGAACTGATTTCCACTACAAAGTTACATATTGTTTCACCATTGTCCCTTTTGGAGAAGAGATTGCTTTAAGGGAAAAGTAGGATAGGTTCTACCGAGAGGACTCCTCTGTCCAAGGTTTCCTTGGGAAAAGGGAAACGAAGTGAGAGGAAATGATGTCACATCCTGTGTTTCTCCTCCAGGGCCCCACGGCAGCACACATCCAGCTGATCATGGAGCGGCTGCTGAGAAGGATCAACCGCACTGTGATTGGGATGAGCCGGCAGTCTCCCCACATCGTGAGTGTCCCTCACGGCAGCTTCTGCTGCTTCTGTGTCCTGTTTGCCTTTGAGGGACCAGTGGTTGAAGACTCACTCCATGTGGACCCTCACATCTCAGTGTATTGGGTGCATTCTCAAGCAGATCTCAGTTCTGACAGGGGTTTTCTGTTCCCTGGTGTGTTTTCCCTCAGTAGAACCACAAGCCCCTTTATGTTCAAGGAAGAATAGACAAATGAGTCGGGCATGGTGGCCCACACCTTGTAATCTCAGCACTCTAGAAGGCTGAGATAGGAGGACCCTGAGTAAAGAAAAGGATGAGGACCAGACATACAAAGAGACACAAGCACAGTCAAAAAGACAAATACATGAAAAGAGTATAAATAGTTTAATATAGTTTATTCTGGTTATTCAAGAATGGTTAAATATTAGAAACTACATTAATAAAATGTCTTAATTCAATAAAAAGGAAATAAGCCTTATGATTCTGTCTATAGATACCACAATGGTGTAACATCTACTCCAAGTTAATAAGAGGTAGAAATGTTTTTAACATACAATCACAAGGAATCATAATACTCAGTGGTCATAGAAAGGAGATTCAGAATGTTCAATCTCAACACCATTGTTTAACATTCTTTGTAATCTCTAAACAATTTAATAAGAAACAAATGCTAAATATAACTGTTGATAAAGGAGCCATCATGATCATAATTGTCATTCTTTGTTGCAGAAATGGCCAGCATTTTGAGGAACCTCAAAAGAGCTGAAATTTTCATAAAACTGAAGAATAATTTCTTAAACTAGCTGATTTTACAATAGGCAATATTCAGGACCCTTTCTATGTAACACTGGTGTCTACTTAGAGACTGTAAAGAAAAATTCCATTTAACTGAGCCACAAATACATGAGAGTAAAAATAAATAAGATTTATGTCTGGGGATGTAGCTTAGCTAGTAGAGTGCTTACCTATGGTATATGAACTGTGGGTTGAAAACTCAACCATGCAAAAAACAAAAATCAAGATTCAGGTAAATGAAGGGCTTACTTGTCAGATTGGAAAATAATAATTAAATAATATTGGACTCATGCAGTACTGTACCTGTATCAACAGAACTGAGAGGATTGAAAAGTAGACTTGATTATATGAACATTGCTTTACCTTTAGTAAATTTTGGAAAAATTTTGTTTGATTTATATCTCCAAAAAAATTTTGGAGATTTATATTATCCTTTCAAAATAAATGTCAAAGGAAATGAAGAATTAAGTGTAAAAAATTAAAAAGCAGCTGGAAGAAAAATGTAGATGAAAATATATCTGATCTTACAAGAAAAGGGATTCTTAGGCATTGTGGTTCATGCCTTTGATCTCAGTACTCTGGGCAGCTGAGGCAAGAGGATTGCAAGTTCAAGCCCACCCTGGGCAACTTAGTAACTTAGAGAATGTCTTAAAATTCTAAAAAGGCTGGAGCTGTAGCTCATTGGGTTAAATACCCAGTACCACACACAAAAAAAGAAAGAAAACAGATTCTTGAATTTCAGAGAACTGAAAAGGAAAACAAAGTTAGATTTTGCTAAATAAAAAAATATAAAGCCCTACATGGGAAAATGCATATGCAAATTAAGTGTCAAGTGCCAGACTCTAAAAATTATAACCTATGCTGCAAGTAGCTAGTAGCCACAATCACACTAATAAAAAGACATGTCACATACATAAACACATGGCAAGTGGCTAACAGTCTTACCTGTAATCCCACTACTCAGCAGGCTGAGGCAGGTAGGTGAAGAGTTCAAAGCCAGCCTGAGCTACACAGTGAGACCCTGTCTCAAAACAAAACAAAAATACACAGTGATATTTGGAAAGGGCACTTAACATACAAAACACTAAGAAAAAGATCTTATTTAACAGAAAAATGAATCAAGAATATGAGCAAAAAGCCAAATGAGAATAATAAATGGTACAGGAAAACCAGGAGTGCAAATTAACCAAAAGTACTCAGAAAATACCCAGTAAAGGCAAAGGCATAGAGAAACATACAGTGTTAGACTGTTGTATAAACACAAACTGTATGAAAATTTACAGTACATATCCAAAGCTTCAGCACAGTAAGTTTAGGTTGCCTTATAATAAGTAACATTTTTTTTTTCCCAGCAGAAAAGTGCAAGACATTCATTCAAAAAGGGAGCACACAGGCAGTCTTGCATTGTTTTTGTGCTCAGGGAGACAGTCCCTCCCTGCAGTGACTGGACATTCATCTCCTCTGTGTCAGACTTATTTGGATGTGTGACGTTTTTATATCTGCATGGACACAAGATAGTAGAACCTCTAGGCTTTTGGCTCTGGCTACAAACTAGTATGTGACTTCTTTGCACTTACGTGTACAAACCATGGTAATCATCAAGTTACTCATTTTTTGGTCAAGTCTGGGGCACATTTCCATGTGGGTCACATACCATGTGGGTTCTCGAGATAGCAAGTGTTAGAGCAGGGAGTTGGTATAACCCCTATCCTCCTTCCACCCGTCCACTCTCGGTATTGCTACAGCTTGAACAACCCTTATTGAAAATTCTCGGGACCAGAGTGTTCTGAAGTTTAGAGATTTCTGGATTGGACTATTTGCAGACTTTACTAGTTGGGCATCACTAATCTAAAAATCAAAAAATCCAAATTCCACAGTGCTCCAAAATTTACAATTACTTGGAATATTTCAGATTCCAGGTTTTCCAGTTAGGGGTGTTTCACCCGGTCCTCTTGTTTTCATACTAGCTCTCCTCCACATTCAGATATGTAAACTGATGTAAGGGTTTCAGGCATTTCTTCACGAATTTCTATGCACTGCTCTGCTTTAACACGAAACTCAGAGCTCAGTGGGTGGGAAGAACCAGAGTGCCTGGCGTCCAAGTCCTGGCCTTGTCTGTGGGTGGTCTGTGGAGCCTTGGATCTGTGTTTCCGTCTTCCCTTCCAGGGCAGCTTTGTGGCCTGCATGATCGCTATCCTGCGGCAGATGGACGACAGCCACTACAGCCACTACATCAGCACTTTCAAAACCAGGCAAGATATCATCGTAAGTTGCTGGCACTGGGTCCTGATAGCCTTAAGATTTCTTACAGTTGCTAAAAAAAACAACTGAAGCTCAGCACTCAAATCCGGGCTTCTCTTCCTACCCACCTGCAGTGCTACGGGGCTACATCCACAGCGGTTATGAAAAGGAGAATTGAGTCTTACTTTCTCTGCTTGATAAGGAAGAATATATTACATACACTGCATGGTCACGTCACACTCCCTAAGTCTCATGCATTTAGAGAAAGCCCTTATTTAGAAACATCGGGAGATCTTTCTTACTCAGAGAAGAGCTAGTGTCTCATGTAAAAGGACACTAGTTGCCTCTCCCTGTCTCAGCTGGAAAGCTGTTCTTATTGTTACTCTGAAGTATTCATGCAAGAGGCCAAATTAGGGCCCTGCTGTTAGTAGAACTGAGCTGTCCATGAAGATGTCATCTGGCCTTGTGGAACAGTGGCCTGGACAGGGGGCTGGACTAGCAAACTATAGCTACACTATACTAGGCCTTGTTCACATGACTTCGTCACCCATAGGTATCCTAATCTTCACGTACTAGATTTTCTCTTTGTGTGGCCATTGGACCTGAGGATGTATAGCTACTTCCTCACTCCCATCCTTTTTTTTTGACGATGCCCAAGAGATGGATAAACTTAAGGAACTGGAGAAAGTACTGTTTATTGTAATAGTTCGGAGATGGAGCGTCCTCATGCTGTGTTGGTCTGGGCGGCTCAGGTGGGGAGCCCGAGTGCAGGTGGCATGGTGTGGGGAGCACAGCCATAGGTGATGTGTCTGCAAGTGCCGGGTGGGAGGGGGAAGCGAGAGTTGGAGGCCAAAGGCAGCTGTGTTTTCTCCTGCACAGTTGGACTGTATAGCAGATGAGAACACAGGGTTGAATTCTTACTCTTCTCCTTCCTCGTAGGAAACTTGGAGCAAGTTATTTAGCCTCACCAAACTTTGGTTTCCTCACCTGTAATATAGTACTTAGCTTGTAATATACTTACAGTATACAGAGGGTTCATGTATACTGATTAAATTCCATGCATGGAAAATGCCTAGCTTTGTGCTTGGCATGGAGTTAATGCCTGTTAAGAGTAGCTGTTTGTAATAACTGTATTATTTTTATCAGAATCTAAGATAAAATTATAGTTAATCTATAATTGGCGGTGGCAGAGAATAGGAGCTCCCAGATGCTCTGCTTCCGGACGCCAACCCTCAGCTTAGAGGACCGGGTCCAGTGCAGTCAGTGTCAGAGGCAGGTGACTGGCATCTCAATCCAGTCTGTGCCTCACCAACTATGAACGCTTGTTCATCTGAACAAACAACTGTAAAGGGCAGTTAACTAATGGGTGAGCACTTAAAATATGTGCTGTAATAGTTGTAAACTCTTGAAAAAGTCTGTCATTTCAGAACTAGTGATGGGTAAGTCATCTTGCTCTCTCATCAAAAGGACAAATTGGTAGCACAGATTTTCTGGCCAGACAGGTTCCCATCCCAGTGCCCATGGGCACTCAGCGTGCAGGAAGTTACCAGATTGACCACTGGCTCAAACAAGGTCGCCGGAAATAGACCCCCGGGGGCTTCCTGCCTCCCTACTGCCTTGCGCTGATCACTACATGAGGTGCTTCACAAAGTCGAACTGTGAGGAGAAAGCAGACTGGATCCCAGGAATCCCAGTGGGAAGGGTTTAAGGTTAGCTACCTCAGGAAAATGTTTTCCAAGCCAGGCGCAGTGGTACACGCCTCCAGCCCAGCACTTGAAGACATTCAGGAGCTGTGTTCAGGCAGCACCTGGCAATGAGAACTAGACATAAAGGTTATGAACTTGTGTCCAAAGCCCCAGTGCTCATTCTAGCTCTCCTGCTACTGGGCCCTATGACCTTAGGCATATCTTTAGTTTCCATCAGCCTCAGTTGCGCCATTTGTAAAATGTGGATATTGTTTGCCTTCTTTTTCCTTATAGCATCATGTGATGTATACATCAAATGCTATGATTACTTGCTGTAAGCATAGTTCCTTATCCCCCAAAACCTTAAGGAAAGAGACTGGGACTACATCTAATCTGCCGTAGGGTCCCTCCGCCCACCCGCTGGAAGGAAGTCTGTAAATGGACTCGCTCTCCCCAGCCACTGCTCTTTCGTTCTCCGCAGGACTTCCTCATGGAGACCTTCATCATGTTTAAGGATCTGATTGGAAAGAATGTCTATGCCAAAGACTGGATGGTCATGAACATGACGCAGAGCAGGTACAAGAGCACGGGGCCGGCCCAGAGGCGTAGACTGAGCGCCACGCTCCGCTGTGTGCACCTTGGGAGGTGCTGTAGGCGCTGCTAACTGTGTCTCAAAGCCATCATCTGTAAAGTAATGTTCTCCCCACTTCCGGCCGCGTGCGCCCACGATCTCCATCTCACCTGGGCCTCAGGGTTGCTCCGCCCAGGTCCTGTGGCCTCTTCTGTCTGCAGTCTCCTTCCCACTCTCACACGGGTCCCCCACATCATCTTTCGGCGGCTCCATGTGGCCTCCTCAGCCTGACCTTCAGGGCTCTCCCTCTCCTCCAGCCTTAGCTCCCACAATCCCCCCAGGGTTACCTGCGCTCCAGGCAAACGAGCTCCTGGTCCCCAAGCACACACGGCTCTGCGCTTCCACCTGAATTGCCTCCCCGTGGTCTGTGGCTGTCAGCCTTCCTCCCATCCCCTCAGCCTCTTCTCAGTGTCCCCTCTGGCTGAAGCCTTTCTGTTTGTCTGCTCCTCCTCTGGTTTTCTATACGCCTTTGAGATCGTCTCATAAAATTCTTTTCATGTTCTCTGTTAGCTCATGGTTAATGTACAAGTTCTAGGTTTCTCCCACCATGGCTTAACCTTCTGAAGACCAGCCTCCGTCTGTCCAGGGAGCACCTAAGCCACGCCTTGCCATTACAGGCCCACAGCAAGTGCTTGTTGAACAGAGCGAAATAAAGCAAATATATATTATATGAAAGGGGGCATGGAATTAATGAGCTAAACCATGCGAAGCGTTATTATACGCACTATGTGCTGTTAACTAACTTCACACTGTCCTGGTACCTGGTTAGAAAAGCCCCTCTCAACTATGTACCAATTAGAGAAAAATTACATGAGAAACCTTAGACTCTAAAATGAGGAGAAGCACCCTAGCACAGAGCGATTCCTCGCTCTGAGGCTCACCCAGCCTGAGTTGCAGCCTCAGCCCCATCCTCCACAGAGCTCGGCGGTGCTGTGGTCGGGGATTCTGCCAGGCGGTTCAAGAAACGGAATGCCTGTGCTGCTTTTGGTAGACTGCTCTGCCCACTGATAGAGATTGTATGGTCTTTTCTGGCCAGGCCATAGTTATTTGCTGGCTTTTTTTTTTTTCCTACAGTAAGGATTGAACCTAGGACCTTCACATTAACCGGCATCCCTAGTCCCTTTGGGATTTTTAAATTTTAGACAAGGTCTCCCTAAGTCACTAAGTTGCCCAGGCTGGGCACAAACATATTATTCTCCTGCCTCAGCCCCTCAGAGTGCTGGGATTGCAGGTGGGAACCACTGTGCCCAGCCTAGTTTCATTGTTTTTTGTTTTTTGTTTTTTGTGTGTGTGTCAATACTTTAATACTAAATTTACTGAGACATCGTGGGATTAATACAAGTTACCATTAACACAGTGGGGGAGCTGTCTCCAAGGACACAGAGTCCCCTGCTCTACCCAGCGCTTTCCTCCCCAGGGTGTTTCTCCGCGCCGTTAATCAGTTTGCTGAGGTTCTCACAAGATCTTTCATGGACCAGGCAAGCTTTGAACTTCAGGTGAGTGTCTGACCCACCCAAAGATCCCTGGGTTTCTAGGCCAGAGCAAAAGAACTTTCCATTTGGGAAAGGGTTGCCTCAGACGTCATCACTGTCACATAAAAAGGTTTTCCTGTGTTTTTTCCTTTCCCATAGCATACATTCCTGTCATGTTGTCCTCTAAACAAAATAAGGTTTTTCCTTTCTTTCAAATAACATGTTTTCACAGAAAGGTAAAGCATAAAATGTAACTAAGAAAGCAAAAATAGGAAATCTGAAACCAGTTTCAGTGGTGTATACCTGGAATCCCTACTGTTCAGGAGGCTGAGGCAGGAGGATTGCAAGTTCAAGCTCAGCCTGGGCAACTTAGTGAGACCTTGACTCCAAAAACAAAATAAAAAGGGCTGAGGGTGCAGCTCAGCAGCAGAGCATTTGCCTAGCCTGTGCAAGGCCATGGGATTGGATTCTCGGCACTGCAAAAACAAAAATGAAAAAATAAGAATATCAAAAATACAAATATACCAGTTTCCCTTCTTTGCAATGTGTATGTTCCAGGACCAGCAGGGGTTGCCTGAAGCCACAGATTAAAGTTTAATTTTTATTTATTTATTTATTTTGTCTTTTTGAGACGGAGTCTTACTGTGCAGTTCAAGCTGGCCCTACGCTCACTTTTGTAGCCCAGGCTGGTCTTGAACTCACAACGATCCTCCTGCCTCAGCCTCCCGAGTGCTAGGATTACAGGCATGCACCACCACGTCTGGCTTAAAGTTTAATCTTTAAGCTGGGGATTTAGCTCAGTGGCAAAAGCGCCTGCCTGGCAAGCGCAAGGTCGTGAGTTCGGTTCCCGGTACCGGAGAAAAACCAAAAAAAAAAAAAAAAGTTTAATCTTTAAATCTGACACAGTAAGAGATTAAAAATAATAACTGATAATGATATGGAACAATTAATGCAATAGAAGTCTAATGATTGTGGTCAGTCTTTCCTGAAAGAATCAACATAAAGACTGGTATTTTCAGACCATAGTTGGCTGCAGAAAATTTAAACCTCAATAAGCAAAACCACACAGGCAGGGGGTTTACACTTACACTCTGCTGTCAGCCTCTTGGGGTTGATCGTGTGTATATATGCGTAGATATCCATAGGCCCAAGTATGGATTTCTCCTGTACCTACAAATGGGTCTGTTCTCAAAAGCAGTTCCTGTGTATTGTATTTGAAAGCCCAATGTAACTGCAATATGAATGACGACTAGCTCCATCTTTCTTCCTTCCTTCCTTTGTCCAACAAGTATTAAGAGTATTTCCATGTACAAGATGCTATTCTGTTTCCAGTGAATACACAAGGTGCCTGTTATTGTAGAGCTCATATTCCACAGTGTGTTTTGTTTATAATATACGTTTTGTGCCATGTGCCTTTGTTTGCATCTGTAGAACTTTTAAATTGGGCCATCCTAAGTAGAGGATGCTGTGTTCACATTCATACTTTTATTTAGAGAGAGATGTATATGTGTGTAAAGATGTATGCGTGCACCAAAGTAGAACTGAGCTGTGTAATTCTTTGGTAATTTGTTAATCTACTTTCTTTACTTTTTCTATGGCCTGCGATTTTTTTCAGTGGTGCTAAATATTTATGCAGTATTTTTAACTGGTGAATACAGTCCCTTACATGGGTGGGCCATGATTTATTTTACCAAATTCTTCTTAAGAACATTTTGATAATTTCCATTTTTCTGCTATACTAAATAGTACTATGATGACCTTCCTTGTTTTAGATATTTTTTAATTAGCCACAGTTACTTTACATGGAAAATTTTAGAAGTCTTTGCTAGTTCAAAAGTTTGGCAGAATGTTAGGGCTTTTAATACATATTGCCAAACCACCTACTATAAATAGGTATACTTCTTGGCAGCAGTGTTTCTTTATCCCAGGAGAAAAGAAAAATGTAAAGTTTGAATTTTTTAAAAAGCCTAATGTTGAGACCCTAAATGCAGCCCTGAGTCATTGAAACCCAAGAAAGAACAAAACGTCCTGTGGATTTTATTTTGTTTTATTTTTTATTTTTTTTGTGAGTCCCTGGTTAGTGCCTTTCTACCATGTGGCTCTGTCTTGTTATGACTCTTGCTAATGCTATTTTCCATTTCTTTTTGCCCACACAATTCACTGTAAACAGCTCTGGAACAATTATTTCCATTTGGCAGTAGCATTTCTCACCCATGAGTCCCTTCAGCTTGAAACCTTCTCCCAAGCCAAACGCAACAAAATTGTGAAAAAGTAAGTGTCCTTTTAAAGTTGCTTAAGATTGGGAAGATGATTTGTCTGTTTATATTCAGAGTGATGTGTTTGGTGTGGCTGAAATTACCGTTCAGTGACTATCCATGCCATCATTGAGGTAGGTCGTAATCATTTACTTCATAGACCTAAAATTCCTCCAGCTTCACTCTTTTTTGCTCAAAATTCCATCCTCCTTCCCATCAGTCATCCCATGCTTTTCTAGAAGCTACCTGGATGGCCTCCTGTGCCGGGAACACCTGCCATCTGCTGGCAGCTCTTGCAAATTGCAGGCTTAGTGCCTCCCAGACAAGGCCAGCTCCTTTGGTGCAGCCAGTCTGTCATGGTCACTTCTACAAAAGAAGCCCAAATTCCAACACAACCTACAGATGCTCTCCACGTTTCATCTCTTGGAATTCAAAAGGGAATTATGTGCAAGACTAAGGAGAGGTTAAGGAATGTGTTGAGGAGAGGGTATGGGATGTGTTCCATTGTGTTTCCCTCAGGTCTGTTTTAGGATGAAGAGAAATTTTTAAATACGGTTTTTTAAAATACCAGCTTTTGAAGAGATTTCCAAAGAAGGAATTTGAAAAAGAAAAAAAATCCTACTGGGAGCAACTGCAGTGTGAGAAGAATAGTATAGAGCAGTGACCATACGACCATAAGATGTCCTAAAGGCCTGATTTAAAGTATATCAGCAACACTTGCAGTATTCTGCTTTTGACTCCTAAATTCCATTTTCTCACTTCCCAGCCCCAGATGTGGTATGTGGTATGGGTTAGACTCGGGCATGAGAATCTTTTAAGAGATTTTTCAAGCAATTTTGTTTTACCTCCAGCCAAAAATCATCGCCTCCTAGACCAATGTTTCTTGAGTAACGCAGCTCTGATAAGGAACCTTTTTTTAGACATTATTTTCCTACTCACACCTCCATGAAATTTCAGAAATACAGATAAACTGTGTCTGTTGATGTGCTACATGAGTTATCTATGCTGCCGACATAAAAACAGCCGGGCATAATGGTGCATGCCTGTAACACTCTAGGAGGCTCAGTTAGGAGGATTGAAAGTTGACCCCAACCTGGACAATTTACTGATTCAGTGACACTATGTTTCAAAATAAAGCACAAAGGGGCTGGGGATTTAGCTCAGCGGCAAAGCACCTGCATGGCAAGCGCAAGGTCGTGAGTTCGGTTCCCGGTACCAGAGAAAAACCAAAAAACCAAAAAAAAACAAAAACAAAACAAAACAAAAATAATAAAGCACAAAGCGCTAGGGACATAGCTCAGTGTAGAGGCCCTGAGTTCAGTCCCCAGTACTACAAAAATGAATCTATGCATAAATGGACAAACGGATGAGTAAATTATAAAATACAGTAAGATTTGTTTTTGCTCCCAAGAACCAGGTTTTATTCCTGTGGGCAATATTGCCCCCACCAAGAATGCATGGTCTAGAGCAGTGGTGGTGAACCAGACTCTTTGTTATCACTGAAAGCTCTACAAGGTTCGCCATCACTGGTCTAGAGCTTTGTAGTACGAGAACTTTGAAAAACGGGCTGGTGTGGATGAATATTACCCAAGTATGAGTACAGAGTGTCACCCTGTGTGCTGGCCATTGGTCTCATCACTGTAGAAGTCATACCTCACTCGTCTTCTTTCCCTCGGTGTTCAACTCTTCTCTCATCGTTTGGACTCATCTTCTGAGTTATTTCTCAGCATTTCCACTTGGTCCCTTCTGCTGTTAAAGTTGCCTGGTTGGAACTTGTTTAGGTCCTGACCTCGTTTCCTCAGTGCTTCTGTCTTACACGTGACCCTGAGAGAAGTGGGCTGCCTTTACCGCCTTCATCCTCATGTACTCAGCTCTCTGTTTCTGCGAGTTCTGCGTAGTCCACCAACAGATCCACCAAAAAATACTAGGGGGAAAAATTACATCTGTACGTAATATATAGAGACTGTTTTCTTGACATTATTCCCTAACTAATCCAGTATAGTAGGTATTTATGTAGCATTTACACTGAACAAAGTGTTCTAGGTAGTTTAGAGATTACTTAAAAGCATAAGGAGAGATGTGTGCAGGTTATGGGCAGATACTGTGCCATTTTATATACAGGAGGTGAACACTGCAGATTTGGGAATTACAAGGGATCCTAGAGCCAATCCCCCGCAAACACCCAGGGACAGCTGTATTGCATCCATCTCGTTTCCGCTGCAAACCTTTTCTTGGTTTATGATCTTCTTCCTAGATATGGGGACATGAGAAAGGAAATCGGCTTTAGAATCCGGGACATGTGGTATAACCTGGGTGAGTGTCTGACCTCGAGCAGGCCCCAGCACGGTTCCTGTGTAATCAGCATCCCACAGTGACTTCTTTTAATTCACGTAAACCTGAGACTTAATTGGTTGTGTGTCCAGAAGCAAAAGTTGATTTGTGGGTTCCACACCTTCATCTCGACTGGGACATTGACAATAAACCACCCATTACTATGGTGTCCATGTACCATCAGAATACACTATTTCCTCACTCCGTTCTGAATTGAGGTGGTTTACCCACAGAAAGCTTTTCTTTTCTTATGGGCCCTGTGGAGGAAGATTATAACACTTTACTGACCGTGAAGTAAATTTTAAATATTTTCATTTACTTTCATTTCAGGTCCTCACAAAATCAAATTCATCCCATCCATGGTGGGTCCTATTCTGGAGGTCACTCTGACCCCAGAAGTGGAGCTCCGGAAAGCCACCATCCCCATTTTCTTTGACATGATGCAGTGTGAGTTCAATTTCAGTGGAAATGGCAATTTCCATATGGTAAGGAGTGGGGGACCCTGGACTCTTACTAATGCACATGTCCCCAACCCTTGTCTTTCTATAGAGAGAAGCAGTGGCCTGAATAACACAAATCAAACCCCGTGTAAAAACTCCTTTTTACATTTCATTTTGTAAAGCAATTAGTGACATAGTCAGACCTCCCAGCCCACAGCCTAGAAGCGATGTTTTTGCTCCGTGTTTTTCTAAAGCAGCCGTGGCTCCAGGTGATGCAAATGGACTGTGTGCTCTTGACCCTGTCTCCCGCGGGGTAGTAGTGACTTGAGGGAACAAACCTGTCTGCTCTAGGAAGCTGAGGGAAGGGTGTAGTGGATGCAGCTCCCATCTGTCGCTTTCCAGCTTTGAGGACTTCATCAGTTTGCCCGAGTCCTCTCTGTGCCTCAGTTTCCCATCTACAGAGTGCATTAATACTGAGAAGATTTTGGAGCTATGAAGCTCAGCAAAAGCCACCCCACTGCTAAGACAGACAAGAAACAAAAATAATACAGATAATTAAATCATTAAGCTATTTGTGTATGCATAGGTGTAGCAGAAAGTAACATTTCAGGTTTGTGGTTGTGTTGTGTTATGTTTTCAGGAGGGCAAAGCAAAGGACAGAGTCGCACCAGACTGCTGCCGTGTTTTGACAGGGCCTTGGTGTGCTAGCCTTGAGTGATGGAAAGTGAAATCCTCCCCGACCTGTGTCGTAAACAGTTCACCATTCAGTAGGGGGGTTGGGCTAGATCTGGGAAGATTGGACGTGTGTCCCTCATGTCCTTTGCTAAGGAGGCAGCATCCTTCTGTGAAATCCCCACTGTGCTTTCAGTTTGAGAACGAGTTGATCACAAAGCTGGACCAAGAGGTGGAAGGAGGCCGAGGAGACGAGCAGTACAAGATTCTCCTGGAGAAGCTGTGAGTATCCCAGGGACAAAGCCCCGAGCAGGCGGTGTCCCTGAGCAGGGGGCAGAGCAGGGCCTCTGCTGCCTGTACACGCACTCAGGTGTCCTGGCCGGGGCCGACAGGATTTGCAGCACCCTCCGCTGACACTGTTTAGCTGGTATGAGTCAAACGCCTGTGTTTTCCTGGCCACCGGGCCCTGGAGGACAGAGCAGATGGAAGAGCCGAGGAGACATGCAGAGCTGTGGCATTTTGCCCAGTCTTTGAATTTTTGAACTTAGCAAGGGTGTTAGCACCTCTAATTATGGCTTCAAAGCGACCATTTAAAGGAAAAACATTTCAAGGTCTACTTTATATTTTAAAATACTTCATGTTCCATAAAAGACCTCTAAGAACAAAGCGGTTCTCTCCCCTGCCAGCTTGGTCTTCCCACTGCCTGGCCCCCACCCCGGGCAGCGTGTCCATGGCTTTGTCTGAGCTCGCAGGTCACCTCTGCCCTGCTCCATTCCTCCCTGTCCACACACACTGCCCTCTCCGTCTTGCCCTCCCCATTGTCTTCCATGCGTATCCCAGAATGGTAGGAGTATAAGTGGTTTCAATCCCACTGGATGTTGGTGTCAGAGACTGAGCTTCCACTCGTGTCTTCCCCACTTACTAGGCGTCTGGCTTTGCATCCAGTGATTCAACCTACCCAGCACCTCCTTTTGTTCGATCAAGGAGAGTAGCATGTTTTTTAAATAGCACTGTTAAATGATATTTTTATCAGATGATAAAAATGATTACATGAGATGATACGGCCAGGCATGGAGATGATCCTCCATCAAAGTATACACTGTGGAGTTCATGCTTTTAAAAATGTCGGTTGCTCTGTTGTTGTTATTATTTACAAATCTTCCATCATTCCCTGGGAATGTAACAGCTCTAGGCTCGATCTCTCATGTTGTCTGAGCTTTTATAATACTGACCAACTGTATCATCCTCGGCGTATTCATCTGGTTCTTTCTATTTTTCACCACCTGTTTTGTGGACCAGACTGAGCTAGAGGACAGAGAATCCCATTTTGTTTTCTTTTTTTTTTTTTCCTAAGATGCTGTAAGGAACCAGCACCCTAAATAGTCAGAAGTACAATGGAATTGATGAGTCGCTGTGTTTGACAGATCTAGAAGTCTTTCTGATTTTGTTTTTAATGATGTTCAGTAAGCCCTTTTGGAGATGTTTTTATCCTGCCTGACCTTTAAACCTCCAGTCTGTGGTGTTAAGCTATCCTGATCCCATATGGAATCAAACAGACCACTTACATATGTATAGGAACACATGCAATATTTACACATGATGAATTCCTCATTTTTAAAAACTCCTACAGCTTATATTCCATGTGAAAATCTTTGTTCTCTCTGTTCTTTCGGGATCACTGGTTCAGAAAAGTGTGACTGCACCAATCTCCAACGCCAAGAATAACCCTGCAGCCCGCACTGGTTCTTTGGACCCATTTCTTTCCCGCTTTTTTTTCCTTCTTCTTCTCAAGTTCTCTTTTAATCATCCAATCTAAGAATCTGCAGTACTCTGCTCCACAAACTTCTTGTATATCAACCAAAGAGAGAATTAAACCACACGTTTAGCCCCAGTCTGCTTATTTACAATTCTGCATTTCTATCTTTTAAAAAAAGTCTTTTCTTGGAAGAACCACGTCTTGATGTCCACCGGTTGCCTCTGGGCTCTGTACCAGCCCAAGGCTTCCCAGAATGTCCATGAGATGCCAGGCTTTGTGGAGAATAAAGACACAGGAAAGACGGTCTTACACAGCCCGATTACAGTCACCAGACAGCATAAATGAGCCCTGTAGAGAAAGGTCCTTATTTCTGTGATGTCCAATGAAAAAAATCACAGGTACAAACTGACCTTCACAGAAGGACATGGTGGGCTAGGAGTTGCGCCAAGTCCTAATGCAAATGTAGGCGTTGAGGGAGCAGAGAGGCAGGGCCTAAGCGAAGGTACCAAGAGAGGGTGGGTGGGGCTGGGGATTTAGCTCAGCGGCACAGCGCCTGCCTGGCAAGCGCAAGGTCATGAGTTCGATTACTGGTACCGGAAGAAAAACCAAGAGAGGGTGGGGTTCTGCCAGCCATGTGTGCACCCATTTAACTTCATCCTGTGTCACTGAGTCTCATGCCACCTGCTGCAAGGACTATGGTTGTTGCTCACAAATGTCCTAAAAGGACAGGGTAGCAACTGGGCACTTGTCTCTACCGCAACCCCTCCAGGCTCCTAGAACATTGCCGGAAACATAAGTACCTCTCCGGCTCTGGGGAAGTCTTCGCCCTCCTGGTCAGCAGCCTCTTGGAGAACCTGTTGGACTACAGAACCATCATCATGCAGGACGAGAGCAAGGAGAACCGCATGAGCTGCACCGTGAATGTGCTGGTAGGTGCCCACCCACGCTGGGAGGGCCGGACGGTGCTGCCTGGCCACCCTGCTGCCCACAGCACGGTGCTAGGTCCATCTCACAGGTGCACAGGCTCCCTGGGTCACCTTTATGGGTCAGTCTGTGCTGCTGAATCGTATAGCAATGGCTGACGCAGCTTTGGACTCACAGATGCCAGCAGGTGTGGGCCTTGATGAAAACTTTGGAAACAAAGAAAATACAGCATCAGCACCCAATTCAGCTCTTCCTAAAGACCATCCTCAACCTGCATCTCTATTTTACTAATAACGTGGTGGTTGCTTTACTGCTGGAATTATAGGAGATGGACAGAACCTTTGCACCACTTCAGCATGAGCTCAGAGTCTATTTGCTTAGGTTTCTCATATTTCTGGAAGTGTGGTCCTATTAAAAAGTTGTTTAACTTACCTTCTGTATAACTTGTCTTGTCTTAGGGAATTTGGTAAAGGAAATGATAAACTCTTTGGAAAAGACATGGTTAAAAAGCTTTACATTTACATTGGCATCTTATGATCCCCTTTTCTTTGGGCAGAATTTTTATAAAGAAAAGAAGCGAGAAGACATATACATCAGGTAAGCGGAAGGGAACTAAATGCTTCTGCTTTTTTTGGCCATGGCTTTGTGATTTGGTCCCTCAGCCACAAATACTATGCTGCAACACCATGCTTGCTGCTCTGAGAGACTCCATTTCTCCACTAGAGTGAACTCTTGCAGAGAGAAACACAAATAAGTAAACGTGAGGGAGCATGTGAGTCAGGTCCTGTTAGGGTTGAAGGAAAGACAAAGACTTGGTAATGTGGAGAGGCCCAGCAGGGAACAGACATAAAAATTCACCTACCTTGGAGGCTTTGTCTGGGGCCCTGAATCCCTGAAGAAGAAACACATTGGTGTGTAAATTATGCATGCTCTTGGGGCAAGGTTCCATAACTTTCACCTCCTTCCCAAAGGGGATGAAGGCCGGGCTGGTGGCACATGCCTGTAGTGAGGCTGAGGCAAGAGGATCCTTGCGAGTTCAAGGCCAGCCTGAACTGCATAGCGAGACCCTGTCTTAAAAAGACAAAAAGACGAAAGGGGATGAAGACCTGAAATGTAGTTAAGTACCGCTGTCCAAAGGAAGAGGAGAAGGAAGAATAAATAGAGTGGGGAACTTACAGGGTGAAAAGCAGGTTAATGAGAATAAGAGATGGGAAGTGACCGACTCCTGTGCAGTAGTAGAAGAGAAGGCTGAGCAGCAGGCTGGGGGCATGAGCTCAATGCTAGATCCACCTCCAGGCTGACAGAGTGCCTCCTGTCTGCCCTTCTTATCAGATACTTGTACAAGCTTCGAGATCTGCACCGCGACTGCGAGAACTACACGGAAGCTGCCTACACGCTTCTCTTACATGCTGAGCTTCTGCAGGTAAGTGGGTCAGCGAGCCTGTGTGGACGGGGTAGAAGGCTACTGCAGAGGTCCCGACCCTGTAGTACCGCATTCTGAACATTTCAAGAGGAGAAAGAAAACCTTACGCAAAGGAAATCCTTTATCTAAGGACATTTTTCTACCTTCTGGACAGGAGTAGCTACTTTTCAGTCCAAGCTTGGGGAAACTTCATTTATCATGTATTTGAAAAGCCTTAGGAAGCAGAGCACAGCTGAAAAAGATGCTTGGCAGTTGACATTCTAATTAATGAAAGAAAGCACACATTGATTAATATATAAAGAGTTTTGTAAAACTGCACTAGATGAATTATAAATAAAAGTACCATAGAAATACTTTCCTATTTATACTCGCTCCCTGAGTAGAATTATATTGTGGCAGGATATAAAGACCCATATATTGCAAATTATTTCCAGCCCTGACCACCGCCTCTAACTTTGGATTTGTGCATAAGCCGTTGACATCAATCTTTGAGTAACTAAGATGCACACTTAACCATGTCAATAGCAGGCCCCTTTATTTCCCGCTTCTGCCCCTCCCAGCCCATTCCTACCACCTTTTTCTTACCACGTCACTAAATGGCATCACCATCTGTTCATGTGCCCGGGCAACAACCTCATGTGCATGTTTGATTCTTCTCCTTTAGTCACTGCCTTTCGTATTCTCCATGAACAGTTTAGGGGTTCCAGTGACCAGCGGAATGTCCCATTAACCTGCCCACTTTTCTTTATCTTCCTTCTTCCCCACCCCCAGCCTAAGCCACCAGCATATCTCACTTTGAGTACTACAGTGGCCTCCTCTGAGGCCTCTTGGTCTCCATTCTTATCCCCAGCAATTAATTTTATAATTAACTGATTGTTTTATGGTGCTAGGAACTGAACCAAGGGCCTCAAGCATACTGGACAAGCACTCTTCCACTGAGCTACAATTTTATTTTATACTAAAGTAATCCATTGTTCTAAGCTAGGAAACAAAGGCGTTCCCTGCTTCGTACTTCCCATTGGAAATTCACTGAGGTCATATCCCAGATCAGGACACTAGGGAGCTTACGTGCATGGGTTAGTGGGTGAGGCTTGTTGACTGTGGGTTTCACTATAGGTTGACCCTGAAGAAACCCTGGGGCTTCTAACTCTAGGTCTTTTCATGTGGGCCGCCAGAAAGTTAAACTCTCCTACCCTGGTGTAAGGTATGAGGAGCTGACACTGCTTTTTTCTCAAATAGCTGCTCGACAGGGATGACTTTCATTAGGTATAGTTCATATTTTCCTGGCTGACCTGAGACCCTAGCTCATCACGGGTCCACCCTTGTGCCCCGCAGTGATCACCTGCATGTAATCACGCAGGTACCATAATCACCTGCATGTTAGTTTCGGGTAATGCTTGCGAGGTTGACTCTAGCTTGTCGTTGCAGTTTCTGTTAGGTTGGGCATTTTCTATTCTGTATGCTTGTCTCATACTCTGAAATCTGTTTATTTTCAGAGCTATTACTTTTTGTTATCCAGCTACCCACTTCTCCTATTGTGTGCCGTAGTTTGTCAGTGGATGGCATTGTACTGTGAGAAATACAACCATGACTGCAAACAGTGATAGGTTTACCCTCTCCTTCCCGTATTCAGAGTCCTAACGTGTTGCTTTCATCTGGTTGTGTTAATGGCTCTCTCTTGACACTAGTCACATTGGTTACCAGTCTTCCTTTAGTCCTTATTATGCTGGGAATGTTGTGTTTGGCCCTTTGGCATTGCGCTTGTTTTGGTGCTAGTATGTTGAGATTGTGTGTGTGTGTGTGTGTGTGTGTGTGTGTGTGTGTGTGTAACTTTTTCATTAGTAAAGAATTTAAATTACAACATGGTTGAGTCAAATATATATGCATATAGACACGCACATATATATATATATTTCACTGATACTTTGTCAGAAATATTGGTTGCACTACTCTTTTAGTTATTGAATTTGATGCATTAATTGCTTATGTTCCTTTGTTCCTTTTTAGTGGTCCGACAAGCCCTGTATGCCCCATTTGCTTCAGAGGGACAGTTACTATGTTTACACCCAGCAAGAACTGAAAGAGAAATTGTACCAAGAAATCATATCGTATTTTGACAAAGGCAAAGTGAGTATTGGCTTGTTTTTATACCAATAGAAAAGAAAATGACTGTAATCGATGTAGTTTTGGTGCTAATCACCCAGTCAGTGCAGAGTTCACAAGTTTTTTCTTTTTCTTTTAGCTTTTTATTTTGTGGTAATGAGGACCAAACCCAGGGCTTCCAGCTCGCTAGACAAGCATTCTACCACTGAGCTAAATCCCCAGCCCTGAGTTCACAGCTTAAACAAACCATCACCATGAAAACCTCCCTCACTTTTGATGGGGTCCCCAGACCATCCACACTTCTGGCCAATGGGCTATCAATTTGGGAGTTCCCATAATCCCCAGTAAACAACAGAACTCAGAAAAGTGCTATATGTGACAATTACAGTTCTAATATAAAGGGTTCACATCAGTACCAGTCAAATGAAGAGGCATCTAGGGTGAAGTCTAGAAAGGTCACACACAGATGTCTTGTTCCTGTCCTTTGAACTTGAGGCACATCGCCTCAGCAAGTTGACATCCTCACTAGGCATGTTAGCTTATGCCTGGGTTCCCAGTACTCAGGAGGCTGAGGCAGGAGTACCATTTCAGGTCAGGAGTTGGAGTGTAGCTGGGGCAGCACAGACATTCAACTCAAAAAAAAAAAGGGCTGGGGATTTAGTTCAGTGGCACAAGTGCCTGCCTGGCAAACACAAGGTCCTGAGTTCTATTCCCGGTACTGCAAAAAAAAAAGAAAAAAAAAAATCAACTAAAAAAAAAAAAGTTGACGCCTTTGCCAAACCAGGAAGCTCACCTGAGCCTCCGCTGCAGAGCTGTTCATGCATAGATGTGATTGATTGAATTACTGGCTAATGATTGAATTCAGTCTCCAACCCCACCCCACAGAGTAGAGGACAACAAAGGGGTAGAAGCTGCAACTCCCTGTTTACCTGGTTGGTGTTTCTGGCCTGGCCAGCCTCCTTCCTGAGACTATTAGCATAAATGTGGGCAGGGCTTATCCGAGTCACCTCATTAGTATAGTCTTGTGTGGTATGGTGCAAGGGGCCCACCCCAAAAATAACAGACACTCCTGTCCTGGGGTGACCTCCAAGGGCCTCTTCCCTAAAATTCACTGATTCTTTAATAATCAACAGTGAGTCAATGACTTTTTATTATCTCCTTGTGCATCTTTGCATTTGAGTATTTTTTATGAGTGAGAAAATGAATAGATACATTGGGGTCTGAAAGGCAATGAAGATACTTCCATTGAGGACACTTTAATAATGATGAATAGAAGGGGCAGGCCCACATTTTCATAAGCCTAATTTCCTTTTAAATTTTGCTGGACGCCAGGAGCATCAGTTGCTATGCATTCTCAAGAGGTTGTTAATAAAACCGCGGCACATGCCTCATTCACGGGTCACCCTGGCTCGGTACCAGAGGCTGGCGGTAACAGGCAGCTTAAATGGCTTCAGGAGCAAGAAGGTAGAATAAACATAGAAACGGGGCCAGGATGTCATGGAGCCTGTGGAAGCATGTCCCCTGGGAAGGCGTTTAAATTAAAAACGGAAAAACAAAAGTTAGGGGAAGAGTGGGACAAAAGAAAGATGTGTCATGCTAGCCACACAAACCTCAAATTCAGCCTAGACTGTTCTCGGGGACTGTCTCTTCCATCCTTTACATTTGTGTTATTGGTAGAATCTAGTTAAATTACTGAATAGCAAATAAGCTAAATAATCCTCATGATAGAATGTCATCTATTTAGTGCTAATTGCTGTTTTGGATACATTTAATTCTTCCTATAACCCTAGTAGGTAGATGCTATCTTTGTTTTATATGTAAGAATCTTGAGGCCTAGACAGTAGGTATATTTGCTCAAACATTTGAGTTCCTGAATGCTTTGTCCTCTTAAAAAAGTACTGAGGATCCCAAAGCACTTTTGTTCATCTGAGTTCCATCTACTGGTATTCGTACTTTTAGAAATAAAAGCAAACAATATAAATATTACTTACTCGTTCTTTCAACAACAATGACAAACCTATTACCTGGTAACGTAGATCATATGTATTTATGAAAAATTACTGTACTTACCAGAGAATTCCTAATATCAGTTGCACTCATTTTGCAGATCTTTATGATGTCTCGGTTAGTGGAAGCATTGGGATGCTTTTATCTGCCTCTGAATCGCTTCCACTATGGGATCATATACTGTGTGGCCTCTGGAATAAGCATGAAAAGAGATAATACTAGTATTGTTACAAAAGTAGTTTTGACCTCCTGGGCTCCTTGAAAGCTCTTCAGGACCCTTCCCCAACATGGTACTGAAACTTTCAGATTCTGGCTTGAGGTTGCTCAACCCATAATGTATATGCAAATATCCAAAGCCAAAATACCCTGCAGTTGGAAGCCTCTTGGCCCCAGGCATTTGGGATGAGGGATGCTCCGACGGTAGCATCCTTGTGGCTTTAGGAAAGAAAGATTTTGTTGCCACAAGGGCTTAAGTGTGTCGAGAAAACCCTCCGACTTTTAGCCCACCTGACTACTGCCTTGGGCCTGGCCGCTGTCTCACCCTGCTTTCCTTTCTCTGGAGATGTGGGAGAAGGCCATCAAACTGAGCAAGGAGCTGGCTGAGAACTACGAGAGCAAGATATTCGACTACGAGGGCCTTGGCAGCCTGCTGGTGAGTCTGGGCCGACAGGGCTGCTGGGACGGGTGCTCCGGAAAATGTTCTTTTAGGGATGAAGGGAGTCAGGATCAGTGCTGCTCTTCCTAATGCAGAATGAGCTTGCTTGAGATGTAAAAACGTGGCCCCAAAGTTCTGGTCACTGTGCTCCAGATTCCCTTCCCAGGAGGGCTCAGGGATGGGAGACACTGCTGCCTCGAGGGGAGGCGGAGCACCATGCCTCAGTGTCTGGACATCTCTTCCCCACAGCGCCCTCCTTCCCAGGGTGGCTGGTTTTCCTGTGGATCCTCTGTGTTCCTGGCTCACCTCCTCTTTACTCTCACACTTGCACTGAATTCTATAAAACAGCCTACATTTCAGATGCTTCCAGACAGCTTTTGTTCTGAGTTAGCAAGACCCTGTCACAGAATTTTAAAATAGAAAAGGTATTGGCTCAGTACAAAGGCCCTGAGTTCAACCCCGAGTAGTACATGGATGGATGGATGTTGGCTTTCCTTAAGCCACAGCCCTTGTGGTTTAAAGAATTAAAAGATAGGAGTGAAAGACAGGGAAAGCACAACGTCACCACCTCTTCTAAGGCACAATGTCACAACTTCCTCTCAGACTTGTGCAGGTGAACCAGGGACTTCTCCTGGAAGGTTCCTTACCTTCTTCTGTGGCATATCTGTGGTGACGTACCGTGACTCTCAGAAAGTGCTTCCTAGGCCTGTGGGGGCCCTGAGCTCCCTCCAGCAACTGTGAAAGCCACGCATTGCCTCTGTCCTGGGGAGCACATCCCGTACACAGCTTTCCATGCAGCCCCCGGGATCCAGGCCTCTGTGCTGGGACCTGAGATCCAAAACTTCCCTCCCACAAAGCCGGGCCTTCTGCCCCTGGGCGTGTTTTCTAAAGACCTTTTGTGTCTCTGAGCTACATGCAAAACAACAAAGCAAACAGACTGATTTTTTTTTTTTTTTTACACCATCCTTGTAACCTCCCTGTGGAATGTCTTATTTTGTCTTTCAGAAAAAGAGAGCATCGTTTTATGAGAACATCATTAAGGCCATGAGGCCTCAGCCTGAATACTTCGCCGTGGGGTACTATGGACAGGGCTTTCCTTCTTTCTTGCGGGTGAGGAGCCTGAGGGTGGTCTCCAAGGCCAGGAGGCCATAGGGTACAAAGGAGGGAAGAGATTCCCTGTTCTTCCAGATGGGCCGCAGCGCTTTAGCAGGAGTGCCGCAGCACCCCCTTCGTTCTCACCCTGGGAGGTTGGGCAGGAAAGCGCTGACCTCTTCACCCTGCAGCCCCGGGCCCACAGCCTTCTGCCCGGTCTTTCGTAAGTTCCTGCCCCATAGAGAGAGGAAAGAGCCGCAGCGCTGGCCTGCTGCTGCTCCGGCTGGGGATGGGTGGATTGATCTGGTTAGTTACTTATTTTATTTCCAGCCAAAGCTACTTGGAAAGCAAATATTGTACAAGTAAGACACTTAAGAGTCTTTGCACAACAAAAACAGTGTAATTGTGACAGGACAGTATTTTTCTTCTTTCTCAAAAATTTCTATAATGCGGTAGGGTGTTGTCATTTAAAAAACAGAAAAAATGTTGTCTTCTACAAAAAGAACACCTCTTTTAGGTCTGAGGATGGTTTGAGCAACTATTATTCATCATCCTTCCTCTGATGAAAAAAAGAAAAAGTGAGAAAAGAAAGCCTTTATATTCCCAGCACTGCTCAATGGAAACATAGTTCATTTCATCATTCAGTATCCCCTGTGTATCTGTTCTTTGCCAGGCACATGGGAGGCACTAGAAATACCTTGCTGGTACACTCAGAGCTCTCCTGCCCTCATGGATTGTACAAGCAAGTGGGGGAGGTGCTGAGTAATTAATGAAATTTAAACTGTAACCAAGAAAGGTATCCTGTGCTGTAAGACCGTGTGAATGGGGATTATTTGTCCAAGTGGAGTAGAAACCTATCTCTTCACAATGATTGTAGGGAATTGTATTAGTCACTTCCCCTTCACTGGGGACGAAGTACTGTACCTGACACAACTTAAAGGAAGAGAGATTTATTTGGCCCATAGTTACAGTGGGTTCAGGCCCTGGTTGGCTGGCTCCAAGGCAGAAGTGGCAGGGTGAAAGAGCGTGGCAGAGGACAGTTACTCAACACATGGAAAGCAGGAAGCAGAGGGAAGGGAGGAGCCAGAGACAAAAATAACACACTTTCCGGTCACACCTCCAGTGACTCACTTCTTTGGACGAGTCCCTACTTGGCAACAATATATTCAGCCATGAACTGAACAAGGCATTATCCACTGATGAGTACAGCACCCCTCCATGGCCTAGTCATCTTCCAAAAGCACCATCTGAATTCTTGAGACTTTGGGGGACATTTCAGATCTAAACTATAATAGGGATATTTGTAGTAGCTTTCATCAAAGACTGGATCCATCCCAGATGTCCGTCAACTGGAGTTGGAGAGTGTGTTGGTTTTGGGGTTATTACAAGGGGAACAATATAATACAGGACACATATTTTATAAGATTATTTATAATAATTACCCAAAGAATCATACACAAAAGAGTGCAGGAAATCTGTCCACACACTAAAGACCAAAGAATCCAGCTGAGGGCCTGGATCCCATGGCAATGTCCTGCATGAGTTCAGCTGAAGACCTAGAGCCCATAACAGTGCCTCCCATGAATCCAGCTGGAGGCCTAGAGCCCACAACAATGTCTCACGTGGGCCTGATTCACAGATCTACACTGGGAAGGCCCAATGGTCAGTGATGGAAGCGAGAAAGTTTCTGCCAGAGAGATGAAGGATCTGTGCTAGCAGGCTGAGGGATCTGCACTGGAGCCAGGAAGCAGCACTCAATAAGAAGCAGAGCTCCCCACCAAAAGTATCGTAGCCATCCTCAGCAACAGTGAGGTCCCGAGCTCCTCTGATGATCAGGACAGCCAACATGACAAGCTTCTCCAGGAGACTGAGCAGTGCACCATCTTCCCCTCTGGAGCCAGGAAGTGATGCTCAAAGTGAGGACCAGAGCTCCCCCAAAGTGAACCAAAGCCATTCTCAGACACAATAATGTCCTGAGCTCCTTGGATGATGAGAACAGCTGAATTCATCAGGAAAGTCAGCATGACAAGCTTCTCCAAGAGAACCAGCAGCTCTTTACAGCTTCTAACAGCACCCAGCAGCCTCTCTCAGCTCCCAACAGCCTCTCTTCTTGTCCATTTCTGCCTCTTAGGCTGCTGGCAACACTCCTCAGGTGGGCCTCCCACACCCAGCACCACACTTTCTCAGTTCAGCTTGGGGTTACAGGTTGACCACCAATTGTCAATCCACTACAGAGGAATAAACTGCAGTCTCCCTGTGCCATGGAATACCACTCGGTAATACAAAAAATTAGGCTTCTAAAACACTGTCACAGAGGTCAGTCTCAAGTGTATGATGCTAGGTGGACAAGTTAGACTTAAGAGGCTCCATGCACTGGGACTTTATGTGATACTCTTGTGGAATAGTCTGTATCTTGGTAATGGTCATGGTTACTGTTGTCAAAACTCACAAACTTTACACTAAAAAGGTTCATTTTATTGTATGTCAATTATGCATTAAGTTTTTGAAGAGTCAGGAAAAACTTCTTAGGGCATTTCTGCTTCAGCTGCAATCTGAAAGGTGAGCTGAGAATTGAGGAAGTAAAAGCAATAGGAAAAGTGTTCCAGGCAGAGAACACAGCAGGTGGGAGCCTGACAAGGCCCAGGGAGAAGAGAGGACCATGCAGAGCCAGGAGGTGAGTCAGGAAGAGACACAGAGCCTTGTCTTTTTGTAGGGTGTTTTGTTTGCATGCCAAGAGCAGTGGGGAGCCAGTGCAGAATTTTCACGTTGGAAAAGTCGTCTGGCCTTGGTATGGAGAATGGGCAGGAGCTGTGTGCTGACAGGCTGCTTATAAAACATTACAGATGTTCAGGCAAGAGATGACAGGCTGGATCGGAAGTATCGGGTTAATTACCCTTAGTTATTGTGAGCTGATCTGGCCCGCAATCTCCCAAACAAGTGGACACTGAAGGCTTAAATAAATGAAACAATTGAAATGATTTTAGGGCTCCAGGAGGGTTCAGCCCTCTCACAGAATTCAAGATTCTCTGGGTTAAGACGAAGACTTTCCTGGGTGGCCCATATTTATTAGTTTTTCAAACAAAGGAGTGGAATACTGAAGAAAATGCAGGAATCTGGGCAGGACTTGAGAATCCCCTTAAGGACTTCTCCAAGTAATACTTTATGTTAATTTAGGAATGCTGTGTTATCTCCAAGAAGGCCTTCTCAGCAGGAGTGAGACGCCTGCAGGTACAGTGTCCCATAGTTAATTGGGGTTGGAGCCAAAAGTCCTCAGCTGAGGCCTTATCTTGTCCTTTGAGGCATCCCAACTTCACAGGCCAATACAGGCCTCAGCAGGGACCGGTGACTCATAGAGGCTCACTTACTATGAGTCATTTGCCCATCTCTGGACAAGGGCCTAGGCCTTGGGCAAACTTACCCATAAACATGAAAAGCCAATTGGTTAATATTAAATCCTGCCCAGAGCCGCTTCATAGTGGTTTCCATCATGGGAGGTGGTAGTGGTGGATGTAGGGAGAAGTGGAAAGATTCAAATGATGGAGACAGTAGGAGGATTTGGTGATCAGTGGGCTGTGTGGTTGAGAAAAAGGAGATGTCAAGCATGGTCCCTAGGTTGCTAGCCTGCACTGTTGGAGAGGCAGTAGAACCAGCCAGTAGCACAGCAGAACTGGTAAAGAACTGAGATGTGGGAGAGGGACTTAATCATTTATTGAATAAGTATTTATCAAACTCCTACTGTAGGCTTGGCCCCAATACAGCCATGGAGGCCAAGCCCAAAATGAACCCAAATGCTGGAACTCAAGTTTATATTCTAATTTGGAGCAGCTATGATTGAGGTAAATCAGTAAGACTAGGCGGTAATGGCCTAGAACATGGCCTTGTATGTCTATGATCCAGTGAGTGTGGTGGGAGACATGGGTCAGGGAAGGTGAAGAGAGACTGGCATTGAGAATGGAACTGCAGTTTTAAATAGAGTGAACAGGAAAGACTTCAGTAAGACAATGACATGGGAGCAGAACCTAAAAGTGTGTTAGCCATATGATACTGTAAGAGGATGAGCGAGGGTCCTTGATATGAGACCAGCAGGTTCAGAAGCGATAAGGCTGGAGCATTAGGAACAAGAGGGTACCGTGAGAGTGGGGCCAGAAAGCTTCGGTACCAGGCTGCAGAGGGCCTCTCAGGCCATGATGAGGGGGTTGTGACAGTTTGGTGTGAGATGCCTTTGGAAGCTCTAGTACACAAGGCAACCGTCCGCTCCATGGATCTGGAACTTAAAGAATAGTTCCAGGGTAAAGACTAGTAGGTGAGTTGTGTAGATTAGGGAATGCCATTGTTGTGGGTGAGATTGCCCAGAGAGAAAATAGAGTGAAAGTGCAGAGGGTCTCGAAGGGAGCCTTACATGTTTTCTAGACTTAGTTTCACCATTAATCTGATTAAGACAAGAGAAGCCGCATATGCCTCTTGGTCCATTGGCTTCTTGTATCACGTGAAATGAGGACTGTGAACTAGGAGCCATTAGAAAACTGACTCAGAAAATTCAAAATTTAAAATTCCCTGAAATCTGATGCTTCTTCAGTGTCATGTTGGTGCTCAGAAAGCTTCCCACTTTGAAGCATGCTGGATTCTGGATTTGGGGATTAGGGACGCTCAGCCGGGATCCTGTTCTCTAAGGCGGTGCCAGTGAAAGCGCTGGTCCACAAACTGATAAGATAGATAAGTAGTTGTGTTGGTTTGGAGGATATTTTGCAAGGGAGAATATAATACAGGGCACATATTTTGTGTGATTATTTATAATACTCACCCAAAGAATGATATACAAGAGAGTGCAGGAACTCAGTCCACGCACTATGGACCAGGAATCCAGCTGAGGGCCTGGATCCCACGGCAATGTCCTGCATGAATCCACCTTAGGACCTAGAGCTCATAATAATGCCTCCCACAAATCCAAGTGGAAGCCCAGAGCCCATAACAGTATCTCACGCAGGCCTGTTTCTCAGATCTGCACTGGGAAGGTCCAAGGGTCAGTGGTGGAAGCTAGAAAGTCTGTGCCAGCGGGATGAAGGATCTATGCCAGCAGGCTGACGGATCTGCACTGCAGCCAGGAAGCGACGCTCAATAAGAACCAGAGCTCCCCCGAAAGGTACCACAGCCATCCTCAGCAACAGTAAGGTCCCGAGCTCCTCTGATGATCAAGATGGCCGAGTCCCAATGCAGCAAGCTTCTCCAGGAGACCGGCAGTGCACCATCTTCCCCTCCAGAGCCAGGAAGCGATGCTCAGAGTGAGGACCAGAGCTTCCCCAAAGTGAACCAAAGCCATTCTCAGTGCCAGCGAGGTCCTGAGCTCCTTGGAGGATGAAAACAGCCAGGTTCATCAGGAAAGCCAGCACAACGAGCTCCTCCAACAGAACCAACAGCTCCTTACAGCTGCTACCACCTCCCAACAGCCTCTCTCAGCTCCCAACAGCCTCTTTCTCCTCCTCCAGTTCTTTCTCTTATGCTGCTGGCAACAGTCCGCAGGTGGGCCTCCCACACCCAGCACCGTGTTTACTCAGTTCAGCTGGGGATTATAAGTTGACCACCAGTTGTCAAACCACTACAGTCGTTTACACCTGAGTACAGATGAATGTACTTGTTTCTCCAAGAAAAGTCTTGCTGTGGAAAATACTAGCTAACCTGAACAGCGTGCCTGCTGATGTCATAGATTTAAACTAGGACACAGCTTCCCATTTCCTCGCACACCTGCACAGACTGTTGGCAGACTGGCTGTGGCTGTGGGGCCGTGCTATGAGGAGCACTGTGCCAACTAATTTTTATGCCTGTGAAGCAACTACTCAACCCCCAAGATCTTGTCAGGTGTGATGCTGTTGGGCCTGTCTTAGATTCTCAGGAGAAGTGGGTGGGGGACTGAGGTGTGGCTGGGAATCCCGTGCCTTCCTCAGTGTCTAGAACCCTCTCTGTGGTTACTGAGTTCTCTTGTCTCCTCCCTGCAGAATAAAATCTTCATCTACCGGGGGAAGGAGTATGAGAGGCGAGAGGACTTCAGCCTGAGGTTGCTGACGCAGTTCCCCAGTGCTGAGAAGATGACCAGTACCACGCCCCCTGGAGAAGACATTAAGATGTCCCCGAAGCAGTGCATCCTTGCTATGGGGAAAGTGATCCTGTGGCCTTTATCCTGGGGCAGCCTGGCTAAGCCAGGGAAGCCCAGGGTCACACAAGCCCTTCTGGGTAGGGTGTGTGTGCCCTGGGTTCTCAGGACTCAGCCTCCCGTGCCATGTAAAACCTTTGGGGCCTTAATATCCTTAGAGAAGAGACGAGTAACAAATCTTTAATAAGACGGGATGCATTTTTTAGCCAGCTGGGAATCTCGAGGAAAGAATAGACTTCCTGTTCTAAAAGAGTTTGGGATTCTTTTATAGTCTTGGAGACAGTGTATAATTATCCCTTGGTATCCTCAGGGGATTTAGTTCCCAAGTCCCTCAGCCTTCACCTTGTGGATTCCACAGTCTACAGATGCTAAATTCCCTTGTATAAAATGGTGTGGTATTGGAATATAATCTACATACACCTTCCCTTATATTTTAAATCATCTGTTCGTTACAGTACTTAGAATCTCTAACACAATGCCAGTGCTATGTAAAGAGCTATTGCACTGTATTGTTTTAGGGAATAACGACCAGGGAAAACAGTCTGTGCGTGTTTCGTACAGGCACAGTGTAGTAAAGAATATTTCTGATCTTCAGCTCTTTGACTCAGATACAGAACCGGAGTGTGGAGGGCCTGCTACGTCTGCACTTGTGACACTGCAGGGAAGAAGCTATTTCTAAGACGCATCATTGAATCAGAGACTGCAGCCTCACCCCTGAGTCCATGCTGAGGCCTGACTTCATTGCCTCCCAGGTGTTTGCTCTTGGGTTTTAACATCTCTGACCCTGAGGAGTCCTCCTCTGCAGAAAGGGAATAATAATAATATCCACCTTGCAGAGTTGCTGTGGACTTGGAGAAATAACAAATTTAAAATACCTCGTGCAGCCCCCAGCAAGACACTTGATAAACAGATGGTAGTCAGAGATCAAAGCAATTTCTGTGCCCCAGGCTCTGAAGTCTGGCTGCTTGAGAGGGTGCTTTTCCAAAAGCAATTACTCTAAACCATTTCTAACCACCTATTTCCTGATATTTCATTGACACTTATTTTTGTGTGACAAGATTTGCCAGGTGCTTGGCCGCAAGAAATGTCCTAAGAGTAATCACTTCACCAGACATTTAGGTGACGCCTCTGGGAACCCCATTTTGCGGGCGGTTGAGGGACTGTTTAATGCCACTGTGGCTTCCGACTGACAGTCGGGAGAGCAGGGACACTCACTGGTGTCACAGCTGCCGGGCTGGTCTCTTCCTTTCCTTAACGAGGCCCCAGACCTGCAGTGCTTCACCGTGAAGCCTGTGATGAGCCTACCGCCCAGCTACAAGGACAAGCCAGTGCCGGAGCAGATCTTAAAGTAAGTGGTTTTGTTTTTTTTAAATAAAAATTTCTCTTCCATCCTTTATTTGGAGTACATCAAAAGCAAAGCTTTAAATTCATTACAGTTTGGAAGACCAACTGCCTAATCTATTTGGAGTGTAAGAGCAGAGCTGGGTAATTCAAAAGGATGTGGATTTTGTTGTTTAGACAGAGCGGCGTCAGGAATTTCTGTCTCACGGGTCAGATCCCGTAGCTCTCACTCCCGCTCAGAAGCATCGCTAGGACTGGCTGGTGCTAGAAGCTGAATCTCATCTTTTGAGATGCTAAAGTCCTACTGAGACTGATTACAGAAATGTAGGTGTAAATACCTTACCTGTTAACATTGTGAGCTGTGAAATATGCTCATAAATAATAAAAATAAGATGATGAATAAAGTCAGAGCATTCACTCCTCAAGGGTCAGCGTGGGCCCTGGCGGCTGTGAGAGAGTGTTGGGGGTGAACCTCAGCACCAGAGGACTCCAGTGTCGTGGAATCCACAGCCAGGAGCACCTCGTCCAAGAAAAAAGTGTAGCACTGTTTCTCTTGTCCATCCCCAGTTACTACAGGGCCAATGAAGTGCAGCAGTTCAGCTATTCCCGGCCGTTCAGGAAAGGAGAAAAAGATCCAGACAACGAATTTGCTGTGAGTCCGTAAATTCACCTTCTAAAATGAGGTACAGTGGTGCTGGAGGCGTCCATTAGAAACGACAGCACCCCTGAGAAGAGAGGCTTGACTGCTGATCACCTAGATAGCAGACTGTCGTCTCAATTGGGGACTATAGATCATAGGACCGGAAACAACTGCTCACATGACCTTGGGCAAGTCACACCTCCCAGGCCTCTGTTTTCCCTCTTTAGGGATGGGGGAGGACCAAGTAGACGATCCCAGTCAATCTTAAACATCCAGAATCCCTACACCGAGGAGTAAATGTGACCCATTCACTGGGAGACATGTGGGAAAGGGTTCTCGCTTAACTGCCGCCCGCCTCAGTGTGGGGTGCGGTGGGTGGCTTGCACCTTGTCCTGGAGCTGACCAACATTTTTTGTTCCTTCCTCAAAACAGAACATGTGGATTGAAAGGACCATGTATACGACGGCCTATACCTTCCCTGGTATTCTCAAGTGGTTCGAAGTCAAACAGATTTCAACAGTGAGTCATTTGAAACTGGAACTTAGGGGGGGAAAAAAAACTTTCTGTCTGCAAATATAATAACAGCCTTTGTTAAATTCCCTTTGCAGTTTGCACCAGTGGCCAGCTTTATTTTTCAAAAGAGAAATAAAAGGCGTGATTGTAGAACAGGGCTGCTTTGTAAAACTGATGTTCCAGCGCCACCCCTAAAGGTTACTCGCAGTGAATGACTCTTTTATGGCTGGAGGAGCATTGTGTCCCCCAAATCGGCAGTGCCCAGAAGCATTTCTGGAATGCTCTTGGGAGTTTCCTGTCCGTCACATATCCCCTCCCGAAGCCTCTTCTCTTCTTCTACTCTTAGCAAATCACACCCCATCCCCTCACTTCTTTCCTTTATCACTGCCTCAAGCAGCCCGCTTACTTTTAAATATGTATTTAAGCGTTGTTATTTCCAGTCCCCTTCACAGTGGCCCTCTTCTTGTCCCTGCTCCACCCTGGTTAGCGTCCCTGAAGAAGCTTCGCGGACTCCTGCGCTGGCCTCTCAGGCCCATGTCCCTCGCTGGCTCCTGTGAAACCCCACGAGGATTCCATGTCCTTGAGCTCGCAGCCCTCCTGTGGCTCCCTGGTGCCTGCGGAGCAGAGCCCAGATCCTTCACATCCGTGGATGGGCCTCTGTGACTCAGCCATCCCTCCTCCATCAGTCTCCCTTCTCCTATAAACTGAGAGCTCCATGCCAGTGCAGTCCTTTGTGTCACTGGCTCTTTTGCTCTGCCCGAAGTGTCCTCTCAACACAGCTGAATCGACAACTAACTCCCGTCACGATCCAGTGTGGCACCTCCTCCTCCACAAAACCACCTCTGGAACACCCGAGCTGCATTAGGTGCCTTTTGTCTGTGCTCTCGTAACCTGGACATCTTTCCAACCTATTTTGTTTGCATGGTGTCTCAGTTACTGTTCTCTCGTTTACTGAGACAAAATACCTGACACCCACAATTAAGGAAGGAAAGGTTCATTTAGCTCACACTTTGTGGAGGTTTCAGTCCATACTCGGCTGGCTCCAAAGCAGGGTGGCACATGGCACAGGGCAGCAGTTCCTGGCTGCAGAAGACAGCAAAGCAACAAGAATAAAAAGGGAGGAACTGCAGCAAACAAACCTCTTTCCCTCCCTTATTTTATATGCAGATTATCCGCCCCAGGATGGGTGTAGCATTCATACCCATAATCCCATTGGACTATGAGTCCATCAAAAAATCCAGAATCCTGCCCCATGACTGCATGAGGCTTTGGGGGGACATCTAGACACAAACCATAACACATGGCTTCAGTCCCTGGTAAACCACAAACTTCTCCCAGCCATAAGTTACAACGGACTCTCCCTACCTGCAGGTTGCCCTCACAGAAATTAGACAACTAAAGATTTAACCAAGTAGAACGCGCACCTTGTAGTTAGATCTAAGATGGTTGCATCTGCGCTGAACATGCATAGACCTTTTTCTTGCCGTTATTCCCTGGCTGCAGACTTTCTTATCCTCAGTGGCCCTAGACCCAACCCCCTACAGATAATGAGGTGTGACTGTATATCCTAATCACACTGAACAATGACTGTATATCTTAATCACTTGAGTAACTATGGTGGATAGCATGGTACTTAGCGTAGTTGCTCAAGAAATGTTTTGTGGACTGGAGATGTAGCACAGCAGCAGAGCACTTGACTAGCATGTGTAAGGCCCTGGGTTCTATCCCCAGCAATGCAAAAAAAAAGAACAAATCTGAAGTTTGCTGTATTCCTCAGCACCTTCTTCAGATAAATCACTGTTCAAGCATGGATATCATTTCTGGATAGAGACTCTTGAATGAAGTCTGGACTAGGTAGCCCTGTGGCTGATAATGGGTCTTTCTAGAAATCTGGATTGGAACACACATCCATAGTAGGAGTTCTTGCTGTTTATTGCATCTGATTTTGTTTTCTTCTAAAACTCAGCCTGAATATTATAATCCATCCTATTATTTCTGGCTTCTGTTAGCTATAGAATCTATCTGTGGTCACTTACATGTAATGTGAGCATAGGGCTTCCAAAATCATTTGCCTTTTGTCACAGAGGTAGCATCAAACTCTGGGAAGGGGACCTTTTTGGTGGTGCAGAAGTCTCAGATCTGCTGTTCTGCTCTTCTGCTCTCACAAATCTCAAACATCTGAGGATGCTTTCCCTAAGAAATAATCCTTGCAGCAGCTCCAGTTTTCTCAGATGTTCTGGAGACACTTTGCTTGAAGGATTAATCACTACCTTATCTCCAGTTTTGAAGTCATTGTCTTACTTTCTGAGGAAATTTTAACCAGCGTATCGTCTTTCTTACCAACACCTCTGCAAGAAAGTATGGGATCCTAGTAAGCATAATCTTGACAAGCAAAACTTCACTCTCCTGCAGCTCGTGGGCATTTGACCCCTCTAGAGGGGGATCACTGAGCTTGTTTCAGTCTTTGCTGTGGTGTTCACAGCTGTCCACTTTCCTTATACTGTGCCCCTCAGGAGGAAATCAGCCCTTTGGAGAACGCCATCGAAACCATGGAGCTGACCAATGAGAAGATTAGCAACTGCGTGCAGCAGCACGCCTGGGACCGCTCCCTCTCTGTGCACCCGCTCTCCATGCTGCTCAGCGGCATCGTGGACCCAGCCGTCATGGGGGGATTCTCCAACTATGAAAAGGTGCGCAAGTCCCCGAATCCCAAGCGTCTCAGGCCTCCCTCGCTGCCATTATGCAGCCGGTGAATTTGTTTCCTACGCTTTCTCTGATGTTTCACTCTCCCGTCGGTGAACAGGCACGTAAATTATCAAAAATATTATCTAAGAAATAATAGATGTCTCAGAGGGCAGCAGTAACCCAGCCAGGGGTCAGCTACTGCATCAGGGAAGGAACTCCAGCTCCATATGCTTCTGGCCCATGCACCCGCTCTTTCCTCTAAGAATGGACAGGTGCGCTCCAGCATTCAGGATGTTCTGGGAGAGGAAGCTACATCTACGGGGAAGGCAGAGGTCCACTATTTAGAATAAATTGCTAAGAATCCTTGTCCAGGCTTTTTCTGCCATAGGACAAGTGACGGCCTTGGATCTACAATGAATGGAACAAGTTCAGTGAAGTGGTGTATCTGTTATTCTGAAAGCGGATAAAAGAAATACTAGCCACATTTTGATTCATTGCCTAGGGTGAGATGTAGCACCGTGTAAAACGGAGGTCATGCATTCACTTCAGGTTAAGTACAATTCAAGGAGGCAGGATTCAGAATTGCTGTGGTATGTTTGTGGTGGCTAAATACTTCCAGAGTCCTCTTAAATATAAATAAACGTTAGGGAACAGAATCCCTTGCTGTCGGCTGGAGCAGAGGGGGCAGGAGAAAGCGTTGGGACAGGTGACGGTGATACTTGGCTGATGCTTTTCTTCTGTGCGTCTGTGATGTCCCGCAAGAGCAGGGACTTGGCGGTCCTTCACTCTGACGGATTTTCCCCGCCTGTCTGTGCTCTCAGATGACATCTTCACCTCTCAGCTCCAGGTACCTGCAAATGAGGAAAATACCTACCTCGCAGGACTGATGTGCGGATTAAGGGTGACTCCCGCGTACACTCTTGCTGCACTGACAGCAGGGATCTGTTCTGAGAAATGCGCCATTGAGCTGTTTCTCACTGAGCAAACATCATGGGCTGTTCTTCCATGAGCTAAGTCATCACTCGGTGATCAGATGTTAGGAAACACCGTCGTTCACTTGCTCAGTCATCGACCAAGACTTCATTATACAGTGCATGACTCCATAAAGGACATCATCCAGGCCTGGGGTTGGGGGCCAGTTTCCTGTCTGCTTCCTCTGTCCACTGGGAGCAGAATGGGCCATTTGGGTGTCAACATGGTGCCACCATGGTACCACCATGCTCTGTGGCTGCTGCCGTAGAAACAATCTTTCATCTCTCTTTAACTTTTTCGCTGCCCTTAGTCTTACTGTACTCAGCAGCTGAGAAAGACTCAACACCAGAAATAAATTCTGGTTGGCTCATTTTCAGTTTCAGTAACCATTTCCAGCATTACAATAGAAGTCAGTACAAAAATGGGATCCAGAATACGTTGCTTTTTTAATACCACAGTGCTTTGAGTGGGTATTTTTTTCTGGTGCTAATTTTCATGTATTTCTTCCAAGCATTAATGGTTCACAGAATGCCCCTAAACCATACATTCTCCTGTGCAAATATCTGTAAGTAATTTCCTAAGTTTTTTCAATATGATAATCTTCTACTTAAAAAAAAAAAAGAGGTCATCGTAACGGTACATGCCTGTAATTCCAGCACTCTCCGAGGCTGAGACAGGAGGATGTAGAGTTGGAGCACAGCCTGGGCAACTTAACAGCTTAGTGAGACCCTGTCTCAAAATAAAAAATAATAAGAAAGGGCTGTGAATATGGCTTAGTGTGAAGGCCCTGGATTCAAGCCCCAGTACCAAAGTGGAAGAGGGGAGCAGAGAGAAAGAGAGATTAGTCTATCAGTCAATCAAGGGAGATCAAGATTACAAAGATACATAAACAAGTAAGTTTCAGTACTTTTGGCTAAAAGTCTTTTTTTTGTCTTTTTGAGACAGGGTCTCGCTATGCAGTTCTGACTGGTCTTGAACTCACTTTGTTGCCCAAGCTGGCCTCGAACTTGCAACAATCCTCCTGCCTCAGCCTCCCATGTACTGGAATTATAGGCATGTGCCACCATGTAGAGTTGACCTAGCAAACTCTAGAGAAGCCAAGACACCTGGCTTCTTTGGCTAAAAGTCTTAATTTATACTTTTAATTAATACATATGACTCTGCACCTTTCTAAATATGAGAAAAACCTTATCCTTGATCACGATGACCTAGGGCCCTCAGTCAGGGAACCCGTCATTACATACCCAATACAGCTGACCTGTTCTGAAACAGGCCTTTAATAATCACTTCAGTGATAGGAACACAGGGGCTGTGGGCACAAATCATCAGTTCTTTATGTTGCTGGGTAATCATCTCTACTCAGAGATTGCTCACTCAACCAGTGCTCTGGTGCAGTTTATCATTTATCAGCAAATTGCTTTCACTTTCAGAAATTGAAACTACTTGCATTGGAAGTGATACACAGATGAAAACCTGAGTAAATGCTACTTTTCCATTTATATTGCTGTTCCCTGTAATTATAGTTCTGGCTTGAATGAGGCGCTTTGCTAATGCACGCTAATGCTTCCTTTTGCTGATCATCTAGATGCATATGTTTATATTCTCTGTTTTGTTAACTTTTCCAGGGATGCCATAGCAAAGTTTCTCATCATGTGTACCTTAGAGCACCAGAAATGTGTTCTTTCACCTTTCTGGAAGCCAAAAATCTGAAGTCAAGGTGTTAGCAGGGTTGGTTTCTTCCAAGGGCTGTAAGGAGAGTCTGGTCCATGCCCAGCTCCTGGCTGTTTTGTTGGAATGCTTTAGCTTGTAGATAGATGTCTGTTGTCATTTTATGTCTCCTTATATAGCATTCAGATTTCTCTTTTGCGCAAAGACATCAGTCATAGCAGAGTGGGGTCCACTCAGCCCCGAGTATGAGCTCTGCATTTTTTTTTTTTGGTACCAGGAATCAAACTCAGGACCTTGAGCTTGTCAGGCAGGTGCTTGTGCCACTGAGCTATATCTCCAGCCCAAGCTCTGCATTTTAACTCATAACATCTGCAACCGTGAGATTTCCAAATAAGGCCACATTGTGAGGTCCTGGGGATGAGGACATCAACCTGTGAATTTGGGAGGATGGGGAGGGAGGACTCAATTCAGCCCACAAGAGTTTGTTCATATTGTTTGTCATGTAATATGGATCAATCACTTTTATAACTCTGTCCTGTTTCATATAGTGGGGTTTTGCTTTCACAGAAGTAGAGGAAAAGTGAACATGAAGGTTGGTCTTGAATACTCTTCCAAGCCAGGCATGGTTGCACGTGCCTATAATCTCCGCATTCTGGGAGGGTGAGGCAGGAGGATTTACAAGTTTGAGTCCATCTCAGGCAAATTAGCAAGAATGTACCTCAGAAAGTTGTGGGGAGGCTGTAGCTTTGTGCAAGGGCCCTGGGTTCTGTCAACTGAATACTCTCTAAAAGAGCATCTTCAGAAATGAAGGTTAGAGTCCTGGGAGAAAATATATAGCTCCTGCTGGAAATATCTACTGCAGATGTCGCTCTCTCTTTTTTAATCAATCCTGTCCTTAAATATTCACCCAGGTAATCGTTTCTCGGCCTTTTGGCTAAGATCAAGTGTATTCACCCAGGTACAGCCTGTATTTGGAAGTTAGGTTTAGGGTTTATTTTCCTATTCCACAGCCTTTCATAGTGGTTCGTGTTTATTACAAACGTGGAGTAATGAGGGCAGCCAGCCTGTGACAGCCTCAGAACATCCTCAGATCTGGATCTCATTTTGTTTTCAGAATAGCCTTTTGCTAGGTGATTAGTGAAATATAAAGACTCTCACCTTCACTTACTACCGGGAAAAAGTGTGAGACAGCCAAAGTCAGGAAAGAACAGAAAAGCTCCCAGCCCCATCTCCTACCTGTTAACATTTGGGTTTTGTTTTTTCTTTTTCCTAATAATATCTATATAGGTAATTTAACTATTCTGTTCTTTGGTCTTTTTTTCATCCTTTGGGAACACTGTATTGTAATGAGTGATATTTTGCTTTGCTGGTGATTATTATTTGCTTAGTATGTGAGCATGGTGGTTCTTGAGAATGAGCTCTCACAAGGAATTTGCTTGATTCCAGAAAGACCACCAAATAGGACGTATTTTTTTTTTAAATTGTCCACTGTGGGATAGTCATCCCAGGAAAGGAACAAGTTTCTAGTTAGACTTTGCCGGTTTACCAGAAGACGTTTTTCACCTCTGTACGCTTCCTGCCTCTGTGTTAGAGCCCAGTGCACAGATGGGAACGTCCTGTAATCAGTGCTTATGCATGCTGTGTTTTTAGGCTTTCTTTACAGAAAAATACCTGCAGGAGCACCCTGAGGACCAGGAGAAGGTGGAGCTACTGAAGAGGCTGATAGCATTACAGGTAAGTGGCCAGGGAAGCGTGCAGCTGGCCACAGCTCTCCAGGAGCAGCCGCAGCCCAGGCTCTGAGCTGCTGTCCGGGGCTTCGGTCTACTCGGCCACTTCTCGGTTACTTTCCTTTTTTTCCCCTTTAAATTCTGTGGAACTACAATCTATCTATGCGTGTCTGTTTGACAGAGAGGGTGAGGAATGGCTTTGACTTGAACTGCACAGTGAGAAATGTGTCTTCTTAGAGCTGAGATCAAAACCCGTCAGCTGCTTTCCTGGCCTGTGTGTCCAGCCGAGAGATTTTCTTCCTCACTGTTTCAGTGGATAATGATAGAAAATGCAGCCATCAAATTCAGTCTGGGGCCAAAACCTCTCGGTGTCCATGCACAGAAATGCCCAAGCTTAGGTGGATTTGCCTTCTTCAGCTCTTCCCGGGGTTGGGGCTTTCTTGTATCCTCGGTGTCAAATTCTCTGGCTCATGGAGCAAAGCACCTGAATTCCCAAGCTCTCTGCTGAGAGATGAGTTCTCATTTGAAAGCATTGCCTACCACTTAACCCGTCCACCCCACCTCTGCCCTTCCCCAGCCTCCAAACCTGCACCATCCCTCTTCCTAGACCATACTTCATTCCTTTTGTGCCCTTCCTTCTAGATGCCTCTGCTCACAGAAGGGATCCGGATCCATGGGGAGAAGCTGACGGAGCAGCTCAGGCCCTTACATGACCGGTTGTCTTCGTGCTTCCGGGAACTCAAGGAGAAAGTAGAAAAGCTCTACGGGGTCATCACACTGGTAGGCTTTGTCTAAACAACGCTCTAGCTTTTTCTACTCTCTTCCACACCATTGTTCAGGTTTTCAGATGCCAAGTGAGTCAGAATAGTTTGGGTTAGACATGAAAATACGGGCAGGGAACAGAGCACATGTTCTGCTTTTGATGACCTTGACCTGTCCTTGTGCTAGATAGAGGTTCTCAAAGTGGAATGTCCACCCAGCTAGTGTAGGGCTTGTGAAAACACAGATCGCCAGCCTTTCTCCCCAGAGTTGCTAATCCCACTGATCCGTGTGGGGCCCAAGTTTCTTTCTAACGAGTTTCCGGGTGACCCTGAGGTTACAGGGCTGGCCACAGCCCTGAGAACCACACAACTTGCGGTTGAGGTTTTCTTAATCCCAGGCACTGGCTATTCCTATAGATTAGTTTTTCCAAACCTTTTCTATTTTGGTAAGTTTACAGCCTTCACACCTTTAAAGGGGAAAATAGTTGTAAACTACATTTTGTAACATATACAGCTGGTTCCATGGTTTCTTTGCCAGGCTTAGCACATTTCTGCAGCTGTAATGTACTTTTCCCTGGCTGAGGAGTTTGGTGAGGGATTCACATGCTAACCATTCTCTCTAAAGGAAAAGGAAAAGGTTGTTGTCTTTTGCACACAAGTTCCAGACAGCAGGACTAAACCACTGCATGACTAAACACAGGCATTATCAGTTCCAGGCCACTATTAGCAAGTAAATGGCCCATGGTGTCCTGTTGGGGTAATTCCATTGTCACATTTCTCGTGAAAGTCATCAACAGATTCACCAGGTTTGGCTACAGGTCTACAAGTTTCCTTAGGTCAGTGTGTCATTAAAAAAACAAAACAAAACAAAATAGAAACAGTGTGTGTCTGCACCAGGTCACATGGGCTGAGTCCCAGGCTAGCTAACCCCAAGGGGTCATGTGTTTTTCAGCCGCCCAACTTTCCAGAGAAGAAGCAGAGCAGCACAGGGTCCCTGGTGCTGCCCTACATCATGTCCTCTACCCTCCGGAGGTTGTCCGTCACCTCGGTGACTTCCTCGGTGGCCTCCACCTCTTCCAACTCCTCTGATAATGCTCCTTCCCGGCCAGGATCTGATGGGTAAGCTGGGATCGTTACTCACCTGGAGGTGGGGTGAGGCCATATTGTTTTTGTCTTTGATCTCCAGAGTGAGACTCGACCCATGTGGGCACATAAGTCCTCTGAGGAAACTCACTCAGAGCACACAGGTATTAGCCTCCAGGTCATTTCAATTTTTAAAAACAATTTTACAACTTATTTTATGAATTGGTAACACAGTCACATAGTATGAAATTCCAAGGTGGAAGAAGATATATCATGAAGAATCTCCAGGCACCCAGCCACAAGTAGCACTCTCTGGAGATGGCAGGTGTGATGTGTAGGGGCCAGTGTCTCTCTAGCTGCTTTTTGTAGGGAGCACAGCAATGCCTAAGTGCATATTCTTTCCCAGTCCCCTTCTTTGTGTGTGTGTGTGTGTGTGTGTGTGTGTGTGTGTGTGTGTGTGTGGTACTGGCCGTCAGACCCAGGAGAATTCTACCACTGAGCTACATCCCCACTCTTTTTTTCTTTTTCATTTTGAGGTAAGGTCTCACTAAGCTGCTCAGGCTGACTCTAAACTTGGCAACCCTTCTGCCTCAGCCTGCTAAGAAACTGAGATTACAAACATGGGCCACTATGCCCGGCTGCCTATGTTTTTTAAACATAAAAATAGCATTCTCTTTTCCTTGCTTTTTTGGTGTAATATATCTTGAAAATCACTGCAATTTCAGAACACAAGGAGCCTCCTCTTATGCTTTCTGTAGCTGAGGGAATTTCATATGTCTGCACCATGGTGCGGTCACCAGGGGCCAACTGATGGACGTTTGCTTGATCAATTTCCATCTCTTCCTGTCACTGCAATGTGACAGTGCATATTAAACTCCTTTTCCGTGTTCACTAGTCAGCCTTTCATTTCTGCTGTGAAATACCAGAGGCAACCAGCTTTGTAAAGAAAAGAGGTTCCCTTAGCTCCCGGGTTTGGGATCTAAGTGCAAGAAGCACAGGGCGGGCTCAGATAAAGGCCCGTGTCAGATGGCAGCAGTTCATGTGGAGAAAGGACCACCTAGGAAGGCAGGAAGCAGAGGGACAGGGACGGGCAGGCTCTGTCCTTTCATAGCAACCCTCTCGGGGTTCCCAGGGATCTAAAGGTCTCCCACTGGATCCATCTCCCCCGCCAGGACTACTCTCCTGCAGACAGAGTCCTAATCACTGGGCCCTGGGAACACAGGAGGCCACATCTACACTGGAGCCCAAGTATTTCCAGCTGAGAAACACCAGAAATGAAATGGCCCTACCAAAGATAGATACTTGCACTTTTAAAAATTATTCCTAAGCAGACTTCCCTATGATTAGACCAGCTCCTACTGGCTACCCTCCCCCTTGCCACCATACTGTCTTACCAGTGCTGTTAATTTTGAGGCCAGGGATATAGTTCAGCACCAAAGCGCCTGCCTGGCAAGTGCAAGGTTGTGAGTTTGATTCCTGGTACCAAAAAGAAAAATCACAGTAGTGATTTTGGCCAATCTGATAGGTGAAAAGTATCAGGTTTTTTGTTTCTGTTGTTGTTATTATATAAAATATTTTCTTGTGTAGGTATTTCTGTGTGAAGTTTTCATTTGTTAATAATTACTTGTATTTTATTTACTGTGAACCAAGATCAAATACTTCGTATCTGCTTTTTTGTTGGATTGTGGACCCTTTGTGCTATGAATTTCTCCTTTGTGTTTTGACTTTAATTGTTTTTCCAACTTTTTATTGAGTTGTGCTGATTTTGAATATAGTCACACAAGTCAGTATTTTATTTTTTGACTTCTTAATTTTATGGCATGAAGGACTTCTCCATTCTAAGACAGTAAAAAAGATATTGGTATTTTTCATCAACATTTAGAGTTTTTCTAGCACAATTAAATCTGTCAATTCTTTTCTTTTTTTCTTTTTTGGTACCAGGAATTGAACTCAGGACCTTGCGTTTGCCAGGCAGGCACTTGTGCCACTGAGCTATATCCCCAGCTCCCAAATCTGTCAATTCTTTGGAATTTGTTATAATATTAGTAGTGAGAAATGGAGTCAACTTTTTTCTTTTCCAAATGGTTACCCAATTCTCTTCTTCTAGTGAACAAACTATATTTTTTCATCTGCTAACTGGAAATGTCAGTCCTATCACAGATCACATTTGTGTATTTTGTGTGTGGACTTTTTTTCCCCTATTTTCTTGATGTTCTAGTCCATTCATGTGCTAGTATTATGCAGTTTGAATTACTACAGATTTAAATCATTTTTAATTTTTCATATTCCTTTTGAGGATTTATTTCACTAGTTTTTCTTTTTTCTCCACTTTTGGATTAGCTTATCTGAAATCCTATTATTATTTTTGTTGGGATCATGCTAAGTTTATGAACGAACTTTAGAAAGATTAATGGTTTTTTAATGTTGAAATTTCCTTGCCAAAAGTATGGACTGCCTTCCCATTATGTTCAAATTTAAACATTTAGAAGAGATTATTTTACATTCTTTCTACATAAGGTTACTACTTTCAAATAATTACAAAGTTAATGTATGTTCATATAGAAATCATTTAAAGTACTAGAAACATAAAAGAAAAATGCTTTATACTTTGTCACTCAGGTAACCACTATTAAGATGTAGTTATTAATACAAAAAAAAGTGTATGTGTACTTATCCCAGTGGCAAAGCATTGCGTACGCCATTTTGTGGGCTATTGCTTAATCTAATATAAATGATGAATATTTGTACATCAAGTATTTCAAATGGTGTTGAATATACATCATCAGTCAACTTTTTGCAAATTTTAATTCCATATTATTATATCATATAAATAACCTGCCTGGATGACACCCTACTTGGAAATCAGATGTTTACTATTTCTTTTATATATATATATATATATTTTTTTGTTTTGTTTTGTTTTGTTTTGTTTTTTGGACCAGGAATCGAACTCAGGACATTGCACTTGCCAGGCAGACACTTGTGCTGCTGAGCTATATCCCCAGCCCTATTTCCTGTATTATTTACACATCTTTTTCTGCTAACATAGATATCTCTACCTAGTTCCAGCTATAACCCAGGCATAGTTCAGCACCTTGCTTTTCCTCCTTGTCTTTGCATAAGTGTTTCCCAGATAGGTGTACATCTTTCTGAATACCAGTTTTTATTCATTATTTTATTCATTATTAGGGCAGCATGCCACTGTATTATACAATGTGCCATCATTACTCCTCCTACCAGCCGGGCATGGTGGCACACGCCTGTAATCCCAGCACTCAGGAGGCTGAGGCAGGAGGATCATTGCAAGTTCAAGACCAGCCTGGGCTACAAAGTGAGCTCAAGGCCAGCCTGAACTGCATAGTGAGACCCTGTCTCAAAAAGACAAAAAAAAATGATAATAATAATAATAATAATCCTTCTATTATAAAGTGTATAAGCTGTACCATTATTTCTAAACAATCATAAAAGTTCATTTAAATTTTAATGCAATAATATATTAACACAAAGTATTTTAATAAAAATGATAACAGATGTTTGTACATGGTAGTCATACATTACCTTGGCAGGGGATGGATGTTTTTACAATTCTTGATGTTAAATACCAGTGCCCGTATATAATGCCATATGCAATATGTGACTTTATTATTTTTAATCTTGAGAGTTTCCAGATATTAAGTAATGCCTGCTTCATGTATTTGTTTTCTTTGATTTCTGTCTTTTATTCCTTGCATTTTTCATTCATTGCGTACTACTGCACCTTACGTGAAAAATCTAAGGAGAAAGTGATGGGTAGAGATTATGGAGCTGTGCCCTTCTAATTTGGGAGTGAATTCTCCCTGCTGGGGACTCAGTGTTCTGTGATCTGTGTCCCTTTCCCTGGCTGATAGGTCAGTCCTGGAGCCACTCTTCGAGCGCAGGGCTTCATCGGGTGCCAGAGTTGAAGAGCTGGCCCTCAAAGAGGACAGCGAGACCCGGACGGCCAAGTTCAAGAGGAAAGACTGGAGTCTGAGCAAGTCCCAAGTCATTTCAGAAAAGGCTGCAGACCCTGATCTCATGGTAAAGAAGAAAATCGGTCAAAAGAAACAGAAAGCGCCAGAGGTGCTCAGTGCCGGTGCTCAGGGCAGGCGCGTCACCGAGCGCTCCAGAGCAGGGTCCGCAGGTGGACAGAAGCAGCCTGGCTGCGGCTTGTCGGTAGTGCCGGGTCACAGATGGGGAAGGAAAGCACGTGTGGAGGGTGTCGGGCTGTAACTCAGAGTCAGCACAGGGTCTCACTCCCGCCCCGCGACCTGTCGGACTTGAGGTTCTTGCCACTGTGTTCCGTGAGTCACTCGAAACCTTGTCATTTCTCTTCTTTCATCTTAAAAAAAAAAGTAGTTCTTTTTCTTCCAGAAGCCGCATCAGGTTGTTAAGGGTAGTGAGACCACCTTTCCCTGAGAATCAAGGCGGCTCATTGCTAACCTAAATGATAGCCCAGCTGTGGTCAGAATGAAACCAGCGGCCAGCTGGGGACGAGTCCACGGCACAGCATTCTCAGCGTCTCTGCCATGGTGCCCAGCGTATGCCCAGCCTTAAAAATGGTTCCTGGAATTAACCCGACAGAATGTGGCAAGTGGGGAGGAGGCAGAACGAGTTTCTTAACAGGCGAGGCTGTCCAGAGCATTATTAGGCTCAGCCTTCCTCGTGGAAGAATACATTACTGTGTTTTCCTCCTTGGTGCTAGAGCCCAGCCAGAAAGACACAAAGGCCGAAGAGTCTCCAGCTGGTGGACAGTCGGTTAACACCCTTTCACAGCTCTTCGCCGCCTCAGTCCACTCCCTTGAGCCCACCTCCACTCACTCCGAAAGCGACCAGGACGCTAAGTAAGTTTCATACGCCTGTTACATTCTTTATCTTAAGGGGTGGAATATGTTTATGAATTGGGGCAATTTTCAATCAAGCCAGCCAAAAATAACACAGAACTACTGTAAGGTTGATTCAGTTCAGTGTCCACAGATACAGATGGTTTTGGGAAAGGATCCTTGGGCTGCCAAGATCATTAAGTTTTTCTGAATAGTGGAGCCACCATTTTCTGAATGGTGGCGCATGCCTGTAATCCCAGCACTTGGGAGGCTGAGGCAGGAGGATCGTTGTGAGTTCGAGACCAGCCTGGGCTACAAAGTTAGCTCAAGGCCAGCCTGAACTGCACAGAGAGACCCTGTCTCAAAAAAGACAAAAAAAAAAAAGTTTTTCTAAATAGTGATCCAAAGGTTCTGAATATCCTTTATGCACTTGCAAAGGTATAAATGAGATAGGGTCAGGGCTGGGGATTTAACTCAGCGGCACAGCGCCTGCCTGGCAAGCGCCAGGTCGTGAGTTCGATTTCCGGTACCGGGGGAAAAAAAAAAGAGAGAGAAGTAGAGATAGGGTCAGATTAGAATCATACAGAAAGGGAGTCACTTTTGAACCAGCTAATTACTGAGTAGCTAGACCTGTTTGCGGACAAGAAATAGACTCATTCCACATACTACTTGCAGTCTGGCTTAAGGAACTGGCAATGCCCAACACTTAGGAAAAACTACAAGGTATCTATAGCGCAGATGCATGATGGAAGGATACATCTACCATTGCCAAATGGGAGTAAATACTTAAGCAAGAGTTATACTTAATTAGATAAGGTCTTCTGGAGCACTTGGATGTATCAGATGACAAAGTAATACCCCGAGTTCCAGAAATGTTCTCATCTGCAGCTTAATAGAAAAAAAATCTCTGAACATGGAAGTTTTACTTCAGAATTTCTTGTGAAGCCTTCTAGTGAGCGAAGGTTGCTATCTTTATCACGAGGGTGAGCAACCTGCTTCAATCTGTCTGTGAAATCTGTCTAATATTACTTCAGCAGCTTGATTGACCAGGCTGCTTTAGGTGTTACTGTGACATATTTCTCTGAGATTCATGATAAATCCTTCTGTCTACCTCCATTTGCTTTGTGTCGTTTCCAGGCTCCCCGTCTTTGCAGACAGATGGGCTGGTCGCTTCTGTCCCACCTCCGCCTCCGCCCAAAAGCAAGCCCTACGAGAGCAGCCAGCGGAACTCTGCCGAGGTAGGGAAGTACAGTGGGCAGTGCCGCAGGACTCACTCCTGAGGAGACCACGGTGTGTTCTCCAAGCTGTTGAGAGGACAGGCTTTCCTGCACACTTGTCACTGTCGGGATTCTCGGTTCTTTCCCCAAAGAGACAGGAAGGAGCGATGCAGGCACACTTTCTCATATCACTGCGAGCAGAACAATGCTCTGCCCCTCACACTGGGCAGCTGAGTGAGTCCTCGTTCCCACCGAAGAGTCACTTCTCCTGAGTGAGAGACAGTTGTTCTGGAGTGGGCTCAGATGGTTTCCTTCCTTCATTCAGCAAATATGCTCTGAGTGCCTTCTCTGTATGTGCTGGGTGCCCAAGTGTTGGGGAGTCGGGGGAGAGGGAGGAGAGGAAGAGAGATCAGTTCGAGAGGAACAGGGAGGACTTCTGGGTCACATTTACATCTTCACCTTGCAAAGGTCTGCGTAGATAGAGGCAGATCGATTCAGAGCTAAAGCAGAATGGGGCGGGGGCGCGGGGAGGAGGCACAACTGGGAAGAAAGAGGAGGCTCATTTCTGATTTCCTTTGTCTGCTCCCCAGATCGCTCCCCCGCTGCCTGTCCGCAGAGAAGCCAAAGCCCCGCCCCCACCACCTCCAAAGACCCGGAAGTCTGGCATCCTTTCCTCTGAGCCTGGATCCCAGTGAGAAGTTTGCTCTCACTCCGTAACAACTCCGAGTGCCTTGGACAGCTGCTGCCCGAGACCCGGTCTCCTGGGAGTGCATCCTCAGGACGCGGGGCTCTCTGCCAGCTGCCTTTCCTGACATGGGATGTTTACAAACCCAGCTCAGAACTGGGTTTGTTCTTTTGGAAGCTTCTCTTTCATGAATGTATGGGTCCATGTGCATTGGCTCCAGCCCGTGAGGCGTTTCAGGATTGGCCATGTCCCCTGACTGCCTTCCAGCCTCTGTTGCACCGTCACTGGCATCTGCAGAGGTCCGGACCAGTTCTGTACAGCCCCAGTCACAGACTGCTGGATGGACTTCTTGCTTTGCGTCTGAAATGCTGCCCTTGAGACTTCCTTACTCCTCCCACGCATGCATCCCTACTCCATCCAGCTTGTTGGACGAGACGGATACCAAGTGCACTCTGGGAGCCCACGTGAAACTTTCTCTTTCATGTCTACTGTCTCTTTGGAAGCAAAAACACATTTTTAATGGAGATTGGCTGCTTTCAGGTGTGAATAGCAATTACCACTGAAAAATGATGGGCTCACGTTCGAGCATGCTCCTGATCAAGGCCCGCACTGCCCAGCACTTGCTCCGTCTTGCTACAGATTCTTTGAGGCTCTTTTTGCACAGTTTCTTGTCCTGTTCCTTCCTCTGAGCTCAAGTCCCCGGCTCTACGAGACCTAGGAGTCCACGGCCAACAGCTTTTTGTCCAGATCCCATTTGGATGACCCAGCAGCCGCTGTCTGCAACCTGATTTTACCCTGGAGAATACAGTGCAATATTTCCCATTGATTATTTATTCCTCTTGATCATGGATTTAATTTGATCGCTTGCTAATGGTACTGATGTCCATACTCCTTTCAGAAGAATAAGCGGAATGTTTTGGATGACCAGATATTATATGCTTATCCGTAACTGCCTGAAGTTACAGATGCTTTAAGCTAGAAATATTTTAAAGGTCATGGGAAAAAAAACCTCCATTTCGTAGCTAAGGAAATAGAGGCTACATACAAAAAGTAGGAGTGTGAGCAGATTCGTACTCATCGCTCAGCTTGCTAACTTGGGCTACACCCAGATAATGCATAGCTCCAGAAGACATCTCTGACAACGCCTTGAATGCCAGCCCTAGTTGAAACAACATTGGAAATGCACCTGATACTTTTATAGTACTTAGGTGTTGATGGCAAAGGTCCAAATAAGGGAGGGCCCTCCAGCAGTCTCCCCGACCTTGCCCAGAATCCTGCCCTCCAAGGTCAGGAGAACAGAGAGAGATTTCAGCTGCAAGGCTGTGCGTCTACCTGCCTGCCTGCCTTCCTGGTCCCCCCCACACCTTTGTTAGGAGCTGCACACCTGTTCATGGCAAGGGTGGAAGAAGCAGGAACCTGGGAGCCAGGCCACGGGCATCACTCCTGGAATGTATATGCGTATTCTAGAAGTGGCACGGAAATCTTTATTCTCTGCCCCTGGCCAGGAAAACCTACAGTGTGATATGGGGTGGAGGTGTCGCGCAAAACATAGACTTCAGAATTAAACCTGTTTGGTTTCAAATTCCAGCCATGTCCCATTAACTTTGCAGACGCTTTCCAAGCAGCTTGAGTTCTCTGAGCTTTCCTTCCCTCGCTTTGCAAAATGGGGACAGTCGTGCCTTCCATCCGGTTGCTGTGAGCCCCGATGGGATGGAACATGGGAACGAGGAGCCCTCGTACAGTGGCCCTACCTTTTTCTGCTAGGCCGGAGTGAGATCTGGAACTCTCTAAGGCCATTGTGAATGCTCTTCACAATGAGCATTTTATTCAAGATGATTTGGGATGCAAGCGTGGGTTAGTTATGGACTTACGGTCCTTCTGCAAACATGCTGTCTTTTATATAGTTATTTATAACCAGAGAGAGTGCTAATAGGAATTGAAGAGGATTTTAAGTGAAAGGAATTAAACCCTGCAGAGAAAGATTAAGAAGGCCTCAAGAAGGCCTCAGAAGGTGCCCATCTGCCCATAAGTGACTTCTGAAAAGTCACTTTAACAAGCTGGCCAGAAGGGATTTGTCTTACCCTACTTGTCAGACTGCCGGTGAAATACAAAAATATAAACACGACAAACAGAAATCCCAAGCCTCCCGCCCGTGGTCCCAGCACAGCGTAAGCGAGCAGTCTGCCTTTGAACAGAAGCTGGGAGGTTCAGATCCATGGGTGCCCATCGGTGCCCGGCTACATTCCTTCCATAACAGAATCTCTTTTTCCCTGTGGTTCCCCTTCCATGTTAATGAAAATAATGGCTCTCAACAGCCTGAACATAACAGGTTCCACGTAATGTTTCGGGTACTGGATTACAGAGGACATAGGTTCATTTTATTGGGAAGTTACGCTGTAGGAAAGAGTCATATTTGATTAAAATTCATATACGATGTCGAGGAGCCTGCAAAGAAGTTCCTTATCATCACATTAAATATAGAATAGATGAGAAACAGGAAGAAAAGAGTTTTTATTTTGCTTGCTAAGATCTCTGGAATATTGAGAGACATTGAAGTTATCTCCCAAATTGTCAGAGCCTTTGTGAATGTGGGTTTATGATTGGTTGGTTTGTGGTGGTGTTTATTCTTTTTTCTTTCCCTCTCTCCCTCCGTATGACCTGATGACTTGTCTTTCTTTGGGATATTTTTGCAGTTGTTTCATTCAACATATATGAAGTTATTGGAGGTTAGATGAGAGACATAGCACTAGCCCTTCAGGACATGGCGGGAGACATATTCAATGCAAACAGCCCAGTGTACAGATACTGGTGTACACACTGTGGTGTGCTGTCGGGGCATTAGATGAAAATGAACCCTAAGAGGGGCTAGGGATTTAGCTCAGTGGCAAAGCGCCTGCCTGGAAGGCTCAAGGTCATGAGTTCGATTCCTGGTACTGGAAGAAAAACAAACAAACAAACAAAAAAATGAACCCTAAGAAAGACTGCTGGGCCATGAGCTGCTCCTCACCTCGGCCTTCCCCACTTGACTCCAGAGTCAGCCATTTCCTCCCACAGGGAGATCCACTAACACCATAGCCACACTGCATGTCCATAAGATAAAGCAAGGACTTGAGATAACAACCTGCATTTGCTAGCTCTTCCCCAAATGCAAGGGTCTTTCCCCTCTAGTTGCCTCCAGATTGGGTGTGGCTTATTCTAAAATGGAGGCACAATTTATATAAAGTGCACGTATTTTAGGAGTGCAGATGGGTGGGTCTTCGGACTGCTAGAAGACCGTGGTGGCTTCCACCCACGTGGTGGCTTCCACCCACGTCGCCACCTCTCAGGCACAGACGTGACTTTTTCCAGCACCCCAGAAGGTGCCCACCTGCCCATAACACCACCGTGTGAAAGCATTTAGAAAGTCCTTCCAAATTTGTGCCTTCCTCCCTGACACTTCTCAGGTATCATGAAAAGAGGAGAAAACAGTGCCACCACCAACACGAATTAAGACTATGAAGATTTTGTACCTTTTAACGAGTAAATGCTTGGGTACTCTGGGACCTGTTGCCTCATCCTTGAGGCATGATTTTTTTTAATCCTTTCAGTCCTTGCTGCTTCTACGCAAACAAAAGGAGAAGGTGAGTCAGAAGGAAACTGCACAAAGGCTTTGGTTTGTAAACTGGAATCTCCATTTTTTAAATCCCAGGTTGGTGCTTTGAGCCTCCCATACCTTGATGATTAAGATCAAAAGATTTGTGAATATTATAATAATGAATCTAGCACTTTTTTTTGCAGTATTGACACAAATTACCGTAATTGTCTGCAGCAACCTGTAAACAATGCATTCAGACTACAGCAGTCTTCAGCTTTCACCACCCTGGCCCACCATGTTTAGACTTCCGGTTTAGACACTAATAATCATGCCTGCCTTCTCTGTGTGATTTGGGCAGATCAGAAGTATGACTTCCCTGGAAACTTTCCTTCTGCTATAAGCCTGTGACTTAAATTAGAAAAAGTAGTTTCTTCTCGGGTGGGCTCAGAGTTGCACCATCAATTCTAATCTCTAGAAGGAGCGAGTTTTCCCTCAGGTTAAGGGCTCCCTGCGATTCTTCAGATCCGCCCAAAGCTGTTCTCTCGCCTGTGCTGCTAGGCTCGCCCAGTCAGTCATCTCTTGGGAGTTGCTCATCCAGCCTTTGTCCAAAATGCCCTCGCCATGATTTTCTAACTAGTTGGGTTTCAGACAGGGCCAGTTAGGAAGATACACATTGAAGTGGAAGAGTTTTATTCAGATTTGCTGTTATTTATTTTTTAAATTAAAAAATGGAACTGTATTTTAAAATGTATGATGTGTTTAGTTCGTTATTCCTGTTACATTAGTGAAATGAAATCATGACCCTTAGAATTTTGCCTTACCGATACGTCCCTCAAGACCTGTCCTACCCAGGGTCCCTCTGGCTCATTTCGGTACAGGTCCCGCTGGTTGAAACTTGTACTGTGGGGTCCTGAGCCATCATCTCTGCCTGGAAGTAATAAAACTGCAACGCCTTTGGTTCTTTCCAACGCTTCTATCTGTGCCTTTGGTATCTGAGCTGACAGATTTCTGATACCAGTTTCTTTAACGGATACACTCCATTTCCTTTCTCCTTCACTGTAGCCCAGGCAGAGGTAAAGAAAGATACGAGGAAGTTAGTATCTAATAACTTAATAAAGAGAGGATAGGAGCTAGTCCCAACCTAGGCTGAACATTAGTGTCACCTGGGAAGAGGTCACATCCTAAGTCTATTCTTTTGTAAGTTCAGAGGGGACAGTAATTACCACACAGCATAATTCTTCCACATCCCCTCATTTATTTCAGTGTTGACCAAAGTTGACAAATCACTGCCTTAGAGGAAGTGCAGCTTTGGAAAACTGGTAGTGTAGGTGTGTTTAGTAAAATCCCTGCTGGGATGGGCCAGGTTGGAGAGGGGGAGTGGCTGCCTGCGCTCAGATTAATATCCCTGTAGCCCCGGGCTTCTGTGTAAGTGGGAACGTGTGTGTTTGGACAGTGTCCCAGTGCTTTAAATCATCTGCAAGGTATTACCTTTTAGAAGCCATTGAGCCGGGCGTGGTGGTGCATGCCTATAATCCCAGCACTCGGGAGGCTGAGGCAGGACTATCATTGGGAGTTTGAGACCAGCCTGGGCTACAAAGTGAGCTCAAGGCCAACCTGAACTGTATAGTGAGACCCTGTCTCAAAAAGACCAAAAAAAAAAAAAAAAAAGCCATAATGTTCCACTCTGTGTGCGTAAGAGTCACGCAGACACCTAAACTGAAGGTGATTTGGGCCCTGAATGAATCCATACCATAGACCTGGGGAATCTTTGCGGGTCTAGGATCCCCACTGAGAAATCCTCCTTCAGCTGCTTCGTCTGATCTCATGCAGGGATTCCCAGCTTTTCTCCGAACTCCTCCTAGGATACTACAACTTTTAAAACTCTTGCTAAAATGATGATCTATTTTCAAGCCATTCTTTTTGCTACAGGATCATGTAAAGCCATGTCCACTGAAGAACTTATCTCATGAAATGCATCATTTGATGTGTCTCCCCGTCGTTTATCTTGAAAGGCTGCAGTCTGCTCCCCGACCCCTTCCGGTTACAATGAGGAGTGAATTTAGATTCAGGGAAATGTTTAACATTTTAGCAAAGGCACCATTTTCTCTGATCGCCTTCCCCTTGGTTCTTTGGGTCACCTGGATATCAAGTGTGCCCAACATGCTCACCTATGTAAGTTGCAAACCATCAGATGCCATCTCAAGCCTGTGACAGCATCAGGGTACCTGCTGAGCGTCTTTTTAATCCCATTCAGGGGAGCCCAGCTCCAAAGCAATTGCTGCAGATAAAAGGTTTGCCCCAGGACACCCGATGCTCCAAGTGGGATGTGTGAATTAAGTGGATGTGTTGTCTTTCTAAAACTATGTTCATTAATGTAAAGACTGTAAATTATATTGTTTTTATAAAAATAAATAATTACTGAGTCCTGACTTCTGTGCATTGATTAATGAAATGATGCAGTTTAGCTTTTGTTGCATAAGCGGATTGTGGATCACATCACTGCCTAGTTTTAGTAAAGTGGGAGGAGGACCCAAGTTAATTGATTCCGTTTTACAGATTCTTCAAATGCAGATACTTGGGAAACAGAGTATTGTGCAGTAGCACGTATTTATATTAAAACAAGACAGTTTTCTGCCCAATGATAGGGAGATGTTTCTGATGTCTACTCAAGTCTCTTAGCGCAGGTCCCTTCCTCTTCTGGCTTGGAAGGGCAGGGAGGTGGGGAGTGAAGAGGTTTCATTTGTCTGATTAAAAGAGGGAAAAAGGCCTGAAACTATCCCGTGTCAACTTGATGCTTAGACATTATCTGAAACTTTTCAAAAAGTCTCATGGCCACCTGGAAGTTCTGAGGATGAATGAAATTATTGGTGCCGTAGTGTCTGGAACCCCACGAAGAACCAGTCACTAGTAAAGCTAAGTTCACCAGTGAGCCCCAGCGTTGTTCACTTCCAAGTGATGAAGTAACCCAGCTTCCAAGGATGCAGTCTCGTTGGCCGCCTCTCCCAGCGCAGCACAGAGACTGGAACCAGACCGCAGAGTGGGTGTGAGAAAGCCGAGTGGGTTCCTAAGCCGAGCCTCAGCTCCCTTGCTTTAATGAGGACGCAGTATCTGTTTCCCATCTATTAGTGAAAATACTTGTGCGCAAGTCCCGACTTTGGTCTCTATGGAGCATTACGGTAGTGACACTGTTTGGCTGAGGGACATGGAAACACCACCCATCTCTAAGGGACTGACTATACACTTCCCTTTCTCATGGGAAATGCCAAAAAGAGCAGGCAGGTAAACACCACTCCTTTTAGACTTGGTCCCTCCTATGATATGGATGTGTTATGTTCCCTAAGGGCTCATGTGCTGGGCGCCTGGTCCTCAACATAGGGGTGTTGAGATACTAGAAACTTGAAGAAGGTGGAGGTCCTTAAGTCATGGTGCCAGGGACTGACGCCCGTCTCACGGAAGTGGATCTGGTTTTGGGAAACTGGATTAATTTCCATGAGGGTGGGTTACTGTAAAGTGAGGCCAGCATGGGGTGTACACAGCCCTCGCCACTTTGCATATGCTTTCCCCATGTGATGCCATCTGCCGTATCATAGCAGAGCATGAGACTCCAGATGTGGCCCTCTGCGCTTGGACTTGGCAGCCTCCAAAACCACGAGCAGAAATAAACCTCTTTTGCCAGGCATGGTGGTGCACACCTGTAATCCCAGCACTTGGGAGGATGAGGCAGGAGGAGCACTGTGAGTTCAAGGCCAGCATGCACTATGGAGTAAGACCGTGTCTCAGTAAACAAGTAAACAAACAAACAAACCTCTTTGTAAAGTACATAATCACAAGTATCTTGTTAGAGCAGGAGAAAATGGACCATGTCTCAAATCTCAGCGTGCACCAGTTGGACAGATCATACCAACTCCAAGGAGCACGGGACCAGGAATCTGCTGCGGACCCCACCCCGGGGGCCTCCCTGGGTTTCCAGCTTATTTCAGAGTTGCTGGGGACAACCTAGGGAAGGAACTTCTTTCCAAGTGGCAGGAAGCCTTGGGAACAGCTCCATCCTAACTTGTGTAGAGTGGTCAAAGACAGAGTTGTAATGCCATAGTCATTAGCTGACCCAGTTCTTCCTGCCCTGGTTCCCTGTCAATTTATGCCGATTTCCCTCCTGTGGGTGCAGGGCAGGGGTGGGTGTGAGCTGTGGGAGTGATCCCTTGGTCAACAGAAGACACTTACGTCATTTCCTCTTCCTGTCTGCCACCTCTGCACATGTGAGGAGGAGCTCCCTTTCGGGGGGGCCAACAATATCCTTCCCCTCAGAGCACCGAGTTAAAGACTTCACCTTTATATCACTTTACTTACAACACAGAACTTTATTGTGAAATATGTGCATATTGATGTAAGAATTTCTGAAATCCACAATGTATAGGTATTTTAGGGGTCACAAATTTTAATGTCAGTGTTATACTTAAATGTTGTTCATCCTTCTGACCCATTGGATTTAAATCTTTTTCTGCCCTGTTTCCTCTTCAATCAGACTTTCCTGAAAAACATGTAACAAATGTATCAAAGTTGACTTGACTAGCTGCATTTCATTACATTTTTGACATTTTCATTTCTAAAATACAGATCTAGGAGGAACAGGCCCATTTGTTACCATGCACTAGACAGTGCTAGGGAGCTGTGATACTGTGTCTTTTTAAGCTGCCTAATAATCATAAAAATCTACACTAATAATATTTAAGCATAGGATGAAAGAAAGCTGATTGAAGCCAGGTGTGGTGGCATACGCCTGTGATCCCAGTACTCGGGAGGCTGAGGTAGGAGGATCGTTGGGAGTTTGAGACCAGCCTGGGCTACAAATTTTTTTTGTTGTTGTTTTGTTTTTGTTTTTGTTTTTCTTCCGGTACCAGAAATTGAACTCACGACCTCGCGCTTGCCAGGCAGGCACTGTGCCGCTGAGCTACATCCCCAGCCCCTGGGCTACAAAGTAAGCTCAAGGCCAGCCTGAACTGCATAGCGAGACCCTGTCTCAAAAAGACAAAAAAAGAAAAAAGAAAAAAAGAAACGAAGCTGATTGATCAATTAGTTTGTAATGAAACCAGGCTACCTCTCTATTCTTTCATAATGTCGTGTGGGAAATTTCACTGCTTATTTATTTTTATCAGGGAGTGAGCAAAATTTAAAGATGAAAGGAAATAAAGATGTCTGCCTCTCCCTTTTTTCTTTATCCTGTGGGTATGGGAGTTGAAGTCACTGGAGAAAATTACAAGTTTATGTCTGATTTACTGACTCTCCCTGCTCCTGGGGCATAATTGGTAATTAACCATAATGCTTTCTGACTGCTGCAAATAAGTGGAACGTGGAGCTCAGAGAAAGAGCACTGTTAGGGAAGTCAAGATTTAATTTCAGCGTTTAATATTCTTTCATCATAAACATAGATTAGATTAGTAGGTTTCCATTTTAGTGGGAATTTAGCCTGAAGAGAAAACTAAAAATCAAGTCTGTGACTCTGATTTATAAATTTATGAGTATGAAAGTTTTTAATCCAAAGGAGGGAAAAATAAATCCAGACCATTTCTGGTTTCTATGTTTCCCAGTGTCCTGGTAAATCACGTCATAGAACAATTAAATGAAGTGGAGAGAGATGGATCAGCCTTGCAGGACAGTCATGGAGGGGGTTCGAGGAATGAATACACTTGAAGAAGTAAATACGTGGGGCATGGTGGCGCACCCCTGTAATCCCAGCATTGGAAGGCTGAGGCAAGAGGATCATTACGAGTTTGAGACCAGCCTGGGCTACAAAGTGAGCTCAAGGCCAGCCTGAACTGCATAGCAAGACCCTATCTCAAACACACACACACACACACAAAGAAGTAAATACATCAGTGGGAAGAAATTTGTTTTGTTGGTCATCTCAAAGGCTGGAGCCAGATTCACAGATAAAGGTTATAGAGAGATTTCAGTGCAACTTAACAAAGTTTCCAGCCACGAGTGCTATCTAACGAATGGGTAGGAAAGCCATGCACTCCCACAGGAGCGGGTCTCAGCTTTCAGGAAGATAAGCCAACCGTCACTAGAGGACGGTGGTCCAAGGTGGTCCCCAGGGGCCTTCCCCCATCTATTTGTGATGAATGTTCTCAACTCACCAGAAAGCCTCTCAGGTCCCTGAGGGGAGAGCGAGGCTGGTGGAGGGTACATTCGAAGTGCTGGGGTTCTGCCAGTTGATCAATCTCTTTGGCTATCTGAAGAAAGAGCATGTGATTCTTGAAGTAGCGATCAAGAAAGAAAATACTATTTTCCAGCCGGGCGTTGTGGCACATGCCTGTAATCCTAGCACTCAGGAGGCTGAGGCAGGAGGATCATTGCGAGTTCAAGGCCAGCCTGGGCTACAAAGTGAGCTCAAGGCCAGCCTCAACTGCAGAGCGAGACCCTGTCTCAAAAAGACAAACAACAAAAAGAAAATACTATTTTCTTTTTCCAACAAATTTGTGGAGGAGAAGGAAGGCCCAGAGGTTGTTGGGCTGAGTAACAGGCTGGGAAGCCTGCGGGGTTGAAATCGGGCAACAGGCATTCTTCGCAGCATGGGGTGGGGGCTGGAGACAAAGCAGACAGTAAGGAGAGATCATGTTCTCTCCTGAGAAATGATGAGAGTGAAGTGTTTTGAACCGCATGAGAAAACAGTACACAAAACCCATAGTTATGTAGAGGGTTGGCTTTTGTTTTCTAGCTTTCACTATCATAGTCCAGTGAAATTTGCTGCAATAATCATCTGTGGATTCTGGAGCTTCCTTATTATTTCCCGCAAAACAAATTCCAGTAAAAACGAAATGGTATTAGGCTCCTCTGTCTAAATTTGCCCTTCTCAGCCCTATGTTACTTTTTAATTAACTAAAATAAATGGCTTTTCTCCTTTAATTGTCACCCAGCCCTCAGAAGTCATATTTTATACATAACAAAAAATACAAAAACCAAGTACCCCGTGTTAATGCCGGTAATCTAACCGACATGACATGAAGCCCAGCAGGTTTTCCACTGTACGATCTTATCATGCAAAGTTTGCTAGTTGCCTCTGTCAAGGAAAAGAAGTAACAGTGTACATCCCCGGTGAGGGTACTTCCTGCACATCATGAAAATGCGCCACGGATATGATTGTTTCCTGATGCTGAGGATTCAGTCCTTCTTAGATATTTTTAAGGAAAAAAAGCAGAATGTCCAAAGTTTTCTTTCCAAATCTCGAAAAATCAACTTCTGCTAGAGAACTGGCTTCGTCCCATCGCTTCTAATCCCTCTGGCAATTTCATACACTTAAGAGTACGACCTATTATTCTATACTTGTTGGGATATTCTCTCGGCATCTGTCCTGTTACTTCATCAGTCCCTGTCTGATTTCAGAGTAGGAATTAGATTTCTATTTTGCACGAATCTTGTGTCCCCTGATATATGCAGGGTGGAGAACAGAGCTGTGCCACTGGGGCTCAAACTAAATGTTTCCTGTAGTTAAACTGAAGGAAATAAATTAAGTCGTCATTTTGAAGCTGAGAGAACTTACCTCTTGGAAAGAATCAACCAAGGTTTCAGCGTTTCTCTTTCCTCCAGGACGCAGGCCATAGGACCAGTGCTGGCCTGAGCCGCTTTCCACACATAAAGTCAACAGGACAAGTCCAGCCAGGAGTTTGGGAGTTGGCTCCATCCTAAGAAACAGTAATGGACTCTCAGAATAGTCCATTGGCTGAGTGAAAATATAGAGCTCTTAATAAAAAACCTCGTATCTGTATCATTAACCCTGCACAAGATGGAAGTTAGTGTCAATTCTTCACACAGGGACATGGAAATAAACCTCTGCTTGGTTGCCTCGAATTTCCTAGCCATTGAGGACAAAAATCGATACTTTAAACCATATATAGCACTTTTGTGCTAAATTACTCCATTTTTTAGTATTTATTTGATCACCCATGATCCATCATTTACCATATTCAATTTCTTCCCTTGTATTGCTCGGCTTTACCATTCCTGAGTTAAAGAGAACTGTCTAGCTGCTCTGAAAGTGGCCCCTCCTAGGTATCTCAGGCTAGTATAAAGTCACTTGACTTAGATGGCTACTGTATGATCCTAATGACATTTTACTCCCTCCCCTCTTGTCTTTCAAGCCTTATTGCTGGCTGGGCCCTCTGTAAGAAGGCACAATAGCTTTCAAAGTAATGGGTCACAGAGCAAAACCCTCTCTTGCCAAGGGAGCCTCTAATTATTTGATGAAATGTGTCACCAGATTAACTGTAGTTTGATGAACAGGCGGAAGTCAGAGTCAAACACTGGTCAATGAATTGCCGGATTCCCCAGAGGCAGCATCTCGGTGGCTGGCGGGATAAGGTCAATGCAGGACAAAGCTGCTTTGGCCACTATTCCACCTGGCCTTACCTCTTGGGTTATACAGTGCCCTGCAGACATGAAAGAGCATGCAATCTAAAAAGTAAAACAAAGTACTAGTAATAGCGCTAGAAATACAAAGCATTTTACCTGTTGGGAGGTAAATAGCCAAAGAACCCAAGCTTCTTTGGGATGTGTTGAGTATTGTGACTTCTGTCTTCCTTAGTCTCCTTTTTATATGAACCCTTTCTGGGGCATCAGAATCTTTCCTGCTGGTAAATTACGCTGCTTATGGACTACAGCTTATTTTAATAGGAAAAAATTTAATCCTCCCATAATGCCCTCTAATGGTGTATGTAATTAGAATACCTGCTGTTGTGTCTGTTAAATTTACTTAAGTCTGGCCATTAAAACCTCAGCTAAAACTTTTATAGCTGAAGCCACCATCCAGAGATTAAAATTTAGCTAGGCTGGATTCCCCTGAGGAAACTAGCAGCTTTATCAAGAAGTTACACAGAATAACGTCTTAGGTTAATGTTAAATGCTCACACTAAAAAGGAGGCTATACAATAAATATGCTGTGTGTTGAGTCGGGATATCTGTGAACTGGTCTGTTTGTAGACTCCTTATTTGCAAAAGGAGGATTTAAACCAGATAATCAGAGAGTTGCTTCTATTTTTAAAAGTGTGGTTAACCAGTGATTATTGGCACTAGGCGTATTCCAATTCCACATAGGATCCTAAAGGAGAGGGTGTGAAAATCCAGCCATCTATTTACTAGGTTCTCTCCTTATCTTGAAAGCCTTCCATAGCATCTAAAAGGTAAGAAAAAGCCTAGTCACTCGCTACACTGAGAAAGGCCATATTGAACAGACTTAGGTTGACAGATCAGTTTATTCAGTAAATGCTTATTGAGTTAAGATACACAAATCATAATAAATAGCAGTCATGTGGCATGTGGCTATAACTAATGTCATTCACTATAACTTCTCTGCAAAGTGCTCATCATTGTGCAAATTTCATGCTTTTAAAAGATGGGGTCCTTCTCTTTTGCCCAAGCTAGTCTCGACCTGCTGAGCTCAAGCCATCTTCCTAGTCTCACTCTCCTGAGTATTGGCATAACAGGTGCGTGCCACTGAGCTCTGCTATAGCACCCAGAGTTTATAGATGGTCCAACCCATGGCACAGATTTTAACTCATGGCATGACTCTCAACATTATACAAGCATTTAAAAAAGAAATTAAACCATTCGTGTTTATTACATTTACTTGAATATATGACTGTTACCTTAATTTGTTACCTGCTCTAGAACCCATGATAATCAAGGATTACATCCTACTTAATCATGTTAATATCCTTTAGTATTTAGTCTGCATTCAGTAAATATGGGTTTGGATGAATGAAGTCAATGACTGAAAGGAACTTTTAGCAAGATGAGGCCTAATTCTTCTATTTCTGCTTGAAAGATGTTTTATCTGATATAGAATTGTATCTTTATGTATTAAAGGCTGTAAACCTGGTTACATTAGTTATGCTGTAAGATTGTTTAAAAATACATATTAGATCATTTTAGAGTGGAGATTGGCAACTTCTCCTCAGACAGGATAATAAACCCATCAGTCACTGACAAAATCCCACTTGCAAGGATTCCGAATAAAGAGCAATAGTGCCTTACCCAAATAAATTACTTTGGTTTACCAGCTATTTCGGTGGAGGTTGTCCAGTCCACACGACAGCGTAGAGAAAGGAATACACATCAATGTGTAATGGCTCATAGAGGGAAATCTCAAAATAAAATGCCTCAAAATTACTACAATGATGGTTTCATAATCTTGCTGAACGACAGATGCAAAAACCTTTTCTTCCTTAATATAAAATCTCAGCAGGAAGGATTCCAGGTTAACTCCGGCTGACGAGTAATTAGGTTGTAAAAGGTCCTTTCAGAGAATTAATCTTCGGATAAGGTGCTTCAAACTAAAATAACCACTTTTCTTCAGAGCAGTGAACTTTTAAATTGTAAATATAGTACTGTTTCCTTAGGAATTTTATAAATGTTAGGGCTTTTCACATACTAAAGATGACTTAAATTGACTTTGGGGCAGATTTACAGTATAAACAAAAGATTCATAAAACGAACTGGAGAAAATATTGTCTTGATTTATAATGGAAATCTTTCTATTTTTTTTTTATTTTAAAGAATAAAAGAAGGATAACATAATAATAGGGGGGACTTAGCAAATTACAGACAAAATGGTAGGAAATTATCAATGGTTATCATTTTACATATTATTGTCTACAAAATAGTTTCTCAGGAAAACAAATAGACAAATAATAGTGAGTTACAGACAAAAGAGGTAGGAGATTATCAAGAGTTGTTGTACTATACTTTGGTATCTTCAAAGTGGCTTCTAAAGAAAATAAATAGAGCTATACATGAGTGACCTACTGAAAAATCATTAACTCTTCTCAATGGTTGTTGTAGGAAACACATAATAATAAACATACATCCATTTATGAAATAGGATAGGAACATTACAAACTTTACACAGTTATGGATAGATTAGTAGGAAAATATCAATGGCTGCTGTAATACGTGGTGGTATCTTCAAAGTGGTTTCTCAGGAAGACAGAGATATGCAAGAGGGACCTAATAAGGAGTTACAGCCTAAGGGTTGTCAAAAATAGCATATTACCTCCTCACCAGTGACTCCTTTCACTGAGGTATGATGGCTGGAAGGAAGGCCAGGATATAATGGAAATCTTCATAAGCAAAATGACTTTGTTGGGCATGGTGGGACACACCTATAATGCCAGCTGCTTGGGAGACTGGGGGCCAATTGCAAGTTAAGAGGTGAGCCTGGACAGCCTAGTGAGACCCTGTCTCAAATTTTTAAAAGGGCTGGGGAGGTAGCTCCGTGGTAGAGCACTTGCCTAGCACGTGTGAGGCCCTGGGCTCACTCTCGAATGTGGGGGTGGGGTGGACCCACTCTCAAATGTGAGGGTGTGGGGGTGGGAGAAAACTGTACATTTCTGACTAAGATTTCCTTGAAACCAACTTAGACTGGAAACCCTTCCCTAACCTTCCCCCCAAAACTATATATACAGAGGACATGCTTTCTAACTAGGGCTAATGCAAGTTTTATTATTTTGCTACTTTACTCATCCTTAGAATTTTTTCTCATACAGCTGTCAGGCAAAGAAATGTTTATGAGATGCATTACTTATGCAGCATAATAAAGCTAACTAGTAATGTTTGTCAGCTAAAGATCAAAACAAATTATTGGAAGGTAGTCTGAATGAATCATATTTTCTTGTTATCACGGTGATTTTGAAAAGAAGATCATAGATGAATCTTGTTTGAAGAACTGAGCTTCCTTTAGCGGTACCCTTAAAGAAACTAGTCCATAAGAAATGTTATGCTGTGTTTCATTTTTCACCCAGCCCCCTGGGGCTGGTCGTCAACCCACACTGAAGAGATGTCAGGAAAATAGAGAGTGCTGATTTTCAAAATCAAGAGAAGAAACACTTTTTCAACATTTCATATCATTTATTAATGCAGTATACCTTAGATCCAAAACCCGCAGTTTCTAAGTACACCGTTTTTAGATCTTTCAGATCCTTCTGCAGTTTTAGCTTTGTCTACAGAGGTACCCTTCAGTCAATGAACAACACATTCTATAATTATTGAAAATATAGTACAGAGTGAAATGATTTAAATATAATTTAGGCACATATTGATTATGAAAATAGATATCTCTCAATACAATACTTCTCTGTCTTGGTAAAAATAATAAAGCAAAGAAAATAATTCATTTCTAAAGTTGCTTTCCTTCACCTGTAAAGGTCCAATCCCCTCCCACTGTGCATAAGCGCCCTTTACTGTTAAGGAAAGCTTTGCATATGTAGATATAGAAGAATAAGCTACGGAAACACTGAAGATATGTCATTCTCCCCAAGGAGACAAAAGTGGTTTTCAATGAATCGTTGTCTCAAGTTGATGACTACAGGATTCAGAACCCATTTGGACACAGCTTATATCCCTGCTCTTGGGATAGACGAAAGGACACTAGGATATTGGTAGAGAAGGAAGGGCCCTATCTCTGCTGCTACAGAGAGATAATGACTCAAGGAAGTTGGGCTACAATTCGACAAAAACAAACAAAAAAGACAAGTAAAACAACCACAGGTGCTAACTGGTATTACGTCTCAGACCAGCTAAATTTATTAATATTTTGTGGTTATAATCATGCTGTCAACTTAAAATTCCACATCTCCCACTGTAGGGTTTGAGCTGCAATTATGTCACCTTTTAAATGGTGACTCTGCCATGCTTACTCGTATTATGTGGCTTTAATTGCAGTGGATTTGGATTTAATATCTATTTCAAAGCTGGCCAAGTTTAAGTCACTTGGTGTTTGAATTCAATGAATATTAATGATGCACTTTAGGTTTTTGGTTTTGAAGTATCTTCCTGTGCTTGTGCTGACTGTATGCGTGAAAACTAGACTAGTAGTGTAGACAGAAAAAACTGCCCGGTCCGGTGTTGAGTGGAACTTGCCTAGAATGAAATTCTGGTGAATGTTCCTTTAATATTTGTAGCTACGATGTACAAGGATATCTTTCTTTCCACTCTGTCTCAATCAGTAAGAGAGGGATATTTCTTAAATTTAGCTACTGTTTTGTTCTAAAAAGTAAACATATAAAAATGAACCTGAATAGAAAGCCTTAGGGAAACTGACCTCACCATATTTATATAGAGCAACAGATATTTAAAGAGGGGAGGCATCACTAAAGCTACCTATGAACCTGAACAATCTTTTCAAAGTTTCATAAAGTTTAAATATCCGTACTGCATCTAGGTATTTCAATAAATATAATTGCATATTTTGTGCTTTTCATAAATTAAAATTCTCAATTGCATCTTAAACCAAGATGGTATTTCCACATCATGCCTATTTAAAAGCAAATAGAATAGACACTATTCCGGGTCACAAAATCAGGCAAATCCCCTTACCCCATTCAAAAGGCAGCAATATAATCTACTTTTCCTACATCTATTAAATGAGTGCTTTTCTGTGAAACTTTCTGTGGGAAAATTTCAACTTTTTTCCCAATGCACCGCTGAGAACAAGCGTAATCCTCTAAATATTTTAAAAGTTCTCTTACAGTGTTTTATCTTCTAGACAACTGAGTGGGTGGAGAAACACGACGATAAGGAGAACGTTCTTCATCCTGGATATCTTCCTCCCCAAAACTCTCATCTGACACTCTGTGACATATGTAGTGGCGTCAGCATCTCTTCAAATATGGCCCCCTTTACGTTGGAACCTCTCAGGTTGGCTTCCTGGAGGTCACAGCCAGACAGATCACAGTTCTGTAAGACAAAGCAAGATCCATGGAGATTTAGGCCCTCAGATGTTTCCGTGTAAAATGCGTTCTGGGCTAATGGACAATGCTCTTATATCATAAATCAGTTTTCAACACTTCTGTCTGCATGTTAAAGTCAGATTTCCTTCTACCACAAATGTATAAACAAAAGTTAAAGGGAAGCGGGTCCCTTTGACAATTTAGCAATGAAATCCATGATGGATTCTAATGTAATAACTATTATCATTATAATTCAAAAGGCAGGAGATGGAGAAAGGCAATTTTTTAAAAATCTGAGATTTTACGTAGTAATTTTGTATGAGACTTTCTATTCCACCCCTAACATGTTTATAGCAGGGGACTGCCTTTTATTTTTGAGCCCCAAATTTACGTGTACAATTCAATGAGTTTTGGTAGAAGCCAAAACTCACTGGGAGCTGTGAGTTTCTTTCACGATCACAGAGGAAAAGATGAAAGCGAGATTCTCGCTGAGTCCCTGGGGCTGGCGGGGCCGACGGTTTGAGACCGGTGACTACATGCAACCTTTTAAGAGACCAAATGTCAGCAGCTGGCCCTCAACCGTCAGCTGGGCCAGGCCACAATCTGCTGGAAGCAGGAAGGCTTTCGTTGCTTTAACTACAATGACTACATGGTAATTAAAACCAAGGAAAAATCTATGTTCTCAGGTAACACTGACAAACGATATATAATTTTGCTTAAAATAGGATTACACTGTTGGCCTCAGACCTGTTTTTCTTGTCTTTAGGTTTATTTTTTTTTATTTTTTATTTTTTTGGTTTTTCTCCGGTACGGGGAACCGAACTCACGACCTTGCGCTTGCCAGGCAGGCGCTTTTGCCACTGAGCTAAATCCCCAGCCCCTTGTCTTTAGGTTTAAAAGCATCTGCTACTGTGTTCTCCTGAGCACTATCAGATCAAGGCAAAAACATTTCTGAAAATACCAACAACCTAAATTTTCACACACTGTCTTCTCTAATTCTATTGGTGCCAGATTTTTTTTTTTTTTTTTTTTTTTTTTTTGCGGTACTGGGGATTGAACTCATGACCTTGTGCTTGCCAAGCAGGTGCTTATGCCACTGAGCTATGTCCCCAGCGCCAAAGTTCAGCTTTTTTTTTTGTTGTTTGTTTGTTTTCCTGGTACCGGGACTTGAACTCATGACCTCACACCTGCCAGGCAGGTGCTGTGCCGCTGAGCTAAATCCCCAGCCCTGTGCCAGATTTTTTTACATACAGCTATATCATTCAACATGACAGCCACCACCCACATGTGGATATTTAAATGAATTAGAAGTCAATGTTAAAATTTAATTTTTCAGCTGTACTAGACACACCTGGAGTGCTCACTAGCTCTGTGCAGCCAGTTAGGTACCGTACTGAGCAGCAGATAGAGAACGTGTCCTTCGCTGCAGAAGTTGAACTGGACAGCACTGAGCTAGCAACAGTTGGGACAGCTGTGAAATCGGCTAGCTAAACATGCAAATCAAGAAGACATACAGAACACAATTCTCAGGAAAAAGATGACTGCACAAAATTAAAACCTCAAAGTGAGATTCAAAAAGAGTATGATGCTAATTTAAAACGGGCTTTTCAATGCGACTGCAAAGCTGTATACCATTCTTAAGTATGTATTCTTAAGTAATGCAAGAAATAATCTAGCCCACTGTGTTGTCTGAAATTAAAATGTATGAAAAACACAATCAATTAGATTAATAAAGCCTCTTGCTGAGAAAACCCACCAAAAAGCAGAGAAATTAAATCAACCCAGACTGAACGTGAAGAGTCTTCACATCCAGAACTGGCATCTGGGACTCAGATGATGGCTCCTGCTCTGGAACTGGTACTTCCTGGAAGGAGCAACTGAGAGGGAAATACCTCTCCACCTGTGCTGGCGTGTTACCCGGAAGTTTCAGCAGCCAACTACTCTGCTTATGACTTCCATGAATTTTGCATGAGCTTCTACAGGAACTAAAATTCTCTCAGCAGTGAACTCACCTCTAAATCAGTTCCGGCCAGAGTTGCTCCTCTGAGGTTACAGTTCTTCAACTTTGCGTTTTTTAAGGTAGCAACTCTCAGGTTAATTCCTGTCATCTGGCTTCCTTCCATATCCACACCTTTCAGGTTAGCACCTATGGTGAACATATATCGAGAGGAGATTAACTTAAAAATATCTCTAATTGTCAGCTGTCAACAAAACTGCAAGATAACTTAATGGAGGTAAGTGAAGACGGCCTGGAAATGAACTCTTGGAAATGAACCTAAGATTTCAGGCAACTTACGTCTGTAAAGAGTTCAGTGTTAGCAATCTGTTTACTTATGGTATAAGTTAATAGTTTCATTGATTTTTTTTTGTATGTTTGTTTTTTTGAGATAGGGTCTTGCTTTGCAGTCTAGGCTGGCCATGAACACTCTACGTAGCCCAGGCTGCTTTGGCCTCCTGAGTGCTGGGATTATAGGCAACGGCCACCAGGCCTGGCTTCATGAATACTTCTGAGGAAGAAATAAATTTTGTCCTATGATAATTAGCACTTTTACAATATGTCACCACAGGTTTACGACAAGGGGATAAATACAGTATCTCCTAAGTATACAAGTGAACAAAGTGCCCAATTCACAAACACAACAAAGCAATAATGAATTATTAAAACTAAAAATGATAAAAAATGTACTTTGTATAAGCTGTAATTTTCTTTCGGTCAGTGTAAGGATATTTTATTATATTAGAAAGTTAAGATGTTGGTGTTTATTTCTCTAACTAAAGTCTCATTAAATATTTAAGGCTTTATTTCCTCTGAATCCTCAGTTTTGATTAGTGTATGACTGAGACCATGGAAACATTTACCCACTTAGAAACTCTCCAAATATATTTTAGCTTTAACAATTATTCTATTGGCCTTTTTCCTTATGGTTGGTATCCATCTATCACAGGATAGATATATAAGAGGAGGATCTCACCTTCTAAATTGGCTTTAAGCCCAGAAGGATCCTCAAAGTTACAGAGCTTCAGGGATGCACCTTCTGCATTAGAACAGAGCATCTTGACTCCCTGGAGGTTTGCGCACTGCAAAGAAAATCGTCTTGGTTTTAAGGTTCATAATTTTGTTCTAACTTGTGTAAAGAGGAAAAACAAACTATAAAAAGGAGGAAAAGGCTTAATTCAATGCATTTTGTAATCAGTTATTTTCTATTTACAACAGAGGCTCTTCTAATGGAACCCACACAGAATTGAGAACATGTTAAAGAAATAATTCTTTTAGAGCTGTTTCAAAAGAAACAAAATGCTAAATTAATAACAGCACACTCGCTTCACATAAAATATAAGCGTTTAGGACAGACGAAGAAGCTGGGGGAGTAGAACTATGACACCCTATTTCTATTTTCATAAACAGCCCCCGGCACGACACTATGACAGCTGAAACGTATGAGCAAGGAAGGCATGCACTGGAGATGTCCTTCTCCTCCGTATCACTACAGAAATCAACAAACGAAATCTGTGATGTTCCAAGAGGCTACTACCACTTTCCCTTCACAGGCCGGGACACTAATGCCAGCAACTGAAGGTGTCACTTAGCCACAAGCCACTAACAAATTGCTCGTTTGGTGTTTCTGTACCAACCACTGCGACGCAACACTGGAAACACTGAGCACCCAGGTCCCCACGCACACAAACAGCAGAGAGTAAAAAGTTAGAATAATAGAGGCGACTTCAGCTGATACCCTACCCTAAAAGAATGTAATACCGTTGGGCCTGTAACTCAGAATCACTCGTTACCCTGAAAAACTTTCCTATCATCAGAGTGGAAGCTGAATGAGAAATTGTTTTAAAAATTGTAAGGCACAATGTGAACGACAGTTGTAGTTATCTGAAACCGTAAGGCTGATACCCTGTGGGTATACGCTACCCACACCCATCAGAAAAATACTTGTTTTATAGATACAATTTCCTTCAGCCTCAGTCAGTTCCACTGAAGGAGATGACATAGAGACCATTTCGATCACAGGTAACTGACAAACTCTAGCTTAGTCCTACCTGGGCCTGGGCCTAGGCCTGGGCCTAACATAAGGTAGCTCTGACTACACAGGCAGGATGGGAAGGCCCTGGAAGGGCCAATGTAACTACAGACGACTAGATTTCATGTACTTGAAAAAGAACAAGACAGAAAGTTGACACATACAAGTAAATGTCTCTGGTTCTCTATAATGCCCTGAAGTAAAACGCACAATAAATATCATCAAAAGTTTGCTAGGTTGTACCATGCCAGGATGTTTGCCAGGATGTAACGTACCATGGAATCTCATAAAGAAGCAAATATACCAGAAACTGTGGTGAGATTGTCTATGGTGAGATTGTCTATCTTCAACCACATAAAGCGTTTCATCTTGATTCATCAATTGATAGAGGCCACCGATGTTAAGACTGTACAGCTCAGCTAATGAAGTTCACATTACAAGTTACGAGAACTCAGCTTTATCAAGAGAGGCAGTATGTTCTGATGAAAGCAGTTGTCTTTTACTGTTGTTTTAAAAGTATAATACTGGTGTTATATTTTGGGTTCTTTGGGCGGGCAGCACTGGAAATCAAATCCAGGGCCTTGAGCATGCTAAGCAAGCACTCTACCACTGAGTTACATTGCCCAGTATTATGTTTTAAAATGGCCCTAAAATCATTAGAGATAAAAATATAGATATGTAGGTAGATAAAATAATGAGCTATTTTAAAATAATCTGTGGCAAGGCATAGACAAAACAAAACAGGTTATGTGCTGAGAGCTGGTGAAGCTGAGTGACAGTGGTACAAGGAGATTTACTTTGTCTTTTGTAAATTCCTTTTTTTTTTTTTTGGTACCAGGAATCGAACTCAGGACCTTGTGCTTGCCAGGAAGGCGCTTGTGCCGCTGAGCTATATCCCCGGCCCATCTTTTGTAAATTCTCAGCATTGTTAATATGAAAATTCTTTTACAAAAGAAAAAAAAAAGGCAAGGAAAACTTTAGATTCTAGTTCCAACGCTCGTAAAAACCAACCTTTTGGCCTTTGGCAAGTCTCTTAAATGTCTCAGTCTACAGAACGGCCAGGTCACACTAAATAGTCATTTCAGTTCTTACCACTTGACAAGCTCTCAGCCTTCTGTGAGTCTTGGGTGGGAAACTATGACAGAGAGGGAACAGCTCAGTCACCTCAGCAGGAACAGAGCGCTGCCAGAAAGGACAGTGTGACACAGAAAGGGCTGCTGGGCAACGGTAGCCAGAGACCACCCTGCTCTATAGCAGAAGGAAGACCGATGGGACCGTCTCCCAGGCCATGAGGGAAAGAAGCCAAGCTACAAACTGGCCGAGCAGTTCAGCAAGAGTGGTGGGGGCTGTAAGAATGGCCTGTGAGGCAGTCTCATGGGCATCATCATATTGTGGACCCTGTGGGGCATGGCTGTGAGGCAGTGGCCGTCATTGAATGCCAAGGACATTGGGAAGTTAGTTTTGACTCTCACAGCTTAGACTATCCGGGCTAAGACTCTGCAACAGGAGCCGTTTTCATCATGAATAACTCCCGTTACACCAGCTGATAAAGTAATTTTCTATTATCTATTTTGGCCTTCACATCAGCTACATAATGTGGATAGAGTAAGTATTATGAGTCCAAAATTACAGAGAAGAAAATTACGGCTCAGGTTCACAGTTCATAAAACTATAATTAAATAGAACTGCAAACCAGTTATGCCAAATGACCTTATCTGTCTTATACCTCTTTTTGCCCTTGGCAGAAAAAAAACAACAAGTTGTCTTTCAACATTTCACTTGAGATAAGTCCTTCAGATTTTTCTTTGTGCTGTGAGTCCTCTGCCTGTTTTGCTGCTGACTTGACTTTTTTTTATTAGATCTGATACAAAGCTCCGTGGAAAATAGTCTGTAACTAAAAAACAAACCCAAAATTATAACATTTCAATAAATAACTATCAATAGCAAAATGCTATACTAGGGGTAGTTAATTCCAAAGATGGTAGGAAAGAACTTAAAATTGTTATTGGTTCTACATATATTATCTAACCCCAAACTCATATAGATAATTGTTACATAAATACATATATCCACATATATACATGTCTGTAAGTTTATACATACATATATGAACACATATCCATATCCATATCTAGAGAGAGAGAGAAAAAGAGACACTGGGTGTGGTGGCGCATGCCTGTAATCCCAGCACTTGGGAGGCTGAGGCAGGAGGATCTTTGCAAGTTTGAGGCCAGCCTGGGCTACAAAGTGAGCTCAAGGCCAGACTGAACTGCACAGGAAGACCCTGTCTCAAAAAGACCAAAAAAAAAAAAAAAAAAAAGAGAGAGAAGAAGAGCACTGCTCTGATGCTAACATCCAGACTGATGCACACTATGGTTATTTCAAAGTATCTGACAAATAATTCTAGGGCAGTCACATTTTCCCCTTCCAAAAATGGGGTTAAGTAGATTGCAAAGGTCTTTTTCAGCTTTATACTTTTTTTTAGTATGTAGGAAAATACCAGTTCTAATAAATTTAGTATACTATATTGAGATCAAGAATCAATCTCAAGATTTCATGTATTAGTTGCTGAACTCTTTGGGACTATGGATATCAAAGTTGTAAACCCAGTTCATTCTACTTTTAGGGCCTTCAGTTTTATCATTAACATAGTAAATTATCCGCTTGCAAGTAAAAGCTCCTCTAAGAGACAGATATAATGCTTGAGACTGCTTAATAACCTAAAATTTTAATTTTTCTCATAACCAAAAGTGATTCTTACATCAAGCACTGATCCAGAAAGATCAGCTCGTTCAAGATTCGCACAGCAGAGATTTGCATGCGCAAGGTTGCACCGGCTTAAATTGGCCATTTTGAAGTTAATGTATCGAAGGTCCAAACGAGAAAGATCAGCACCACTGAAGTTTAAACCCTGAAATTAGAAAGCACAAACTATCGTAATGTTTAAACCATCTGTTTGCATTAAATTTAATTACTATAACTAACCACCTTGCTTTTTTAGAAGCAATTGGCAGTTCAGTGACTTGGAGTTTATTATAAAACATAAGCAAATGGAACTTACATACATGAAGTGCTTGTTTTTAATGGGTTCCACTTAAAAACAACTTTATACATACATTAGGACACTGACTATACTGTATTTATGTGCAGACATTTCTAAAGAGGAAACCCTATTAATAACATACCCACTGGTGTTAGTTCAGTTAAAGCTGATTATGATTAAAAGATTTTAATTCAAGAATTCAGGACTGTTTATTAAGAAAAAGTGCATATCAAAGCTACAATGAATGCTATAATACACAAAAGTATCTGCCACTGAAATTGTGCAAATATTAACTGTCTTAGAATTGCTGCATTTCCCAAAACTATTTAAAAACTGCTACATAAACTGTAATTAGACAATAAAAAGGGCTATCACCTCTCTTTCTGCTATCCATTTTATAATTAAGTCAGTGCTATGGCCCATAATTAAATTATCTTGCATGAAAACAAAACCAGAGCAAAACCAAAAAATATTGTAAATAAACTAAACCCTAGGAAGACGAAAGCCTTTACTCACAGATTTGCTGAAGGAAGTCAGTCATGTAAAAGTCTGCATTGATTACCTGGCAACGCAATTCGGACTTAGTTGGAGTTGCTAGCAGAAATCGAACAAATTCCTTTCGGGATATTGGTGAATGGTCCTCTGGTGGTTGGGAATTCTTGAAAAAGATATTAAAAAATTAGTGGGTCATTTTGGGAGAAATTTTCAGTAAACATAATGCCAGTCAAGATAAAAGAGCCTCACCTTTATTGCCACTTCTAGATGTTCAATCAGTGAGTCAATTCCAAAAAATCTGGCTTCTTCTAGCACACCTATCAGAACAAAAAGGATGTGATTTCAGAGGCAATTCTTTTTTCTTGTGTTGGGTACTGAAGGGTCCGAGCACGTTGGCAAGTGCTCTACTACTGAGTTACAGCCTTAACAAACAACTGATTTGATATTTACAGAATTCTCTGTGTTGAATGCTCACAGTAGAATTGAAATTCAACAAGTAGGCCACTATCAAGAGCAGACAAACAACGAATGCTTAGAAGGTATACACAGAATACTGAAAAATATTTTTAAAACAAAGGCTTTCTGTAAGATAGAAAAAATTTACAACAAAAGCTTTCCATCTTTCAAAAGCATTTCTTATAATTGAATAGGTCACAAGAAAGAAAGCTGAACACTACCTATTCCTAAGACAAAAGATTCAGTGATTTCACTGTGAATCCAATAAAAATGATTAGTGCACTTAATCTTAACATTTCATTTACTTTTTTAATGGAGCAAATCTGATTGGATTCGTCATAAATATCGTTTACTTACTGAATCAGAAAATGATAAAAATGAATAAAAGTTGAAGTCCGTTTCACAACAAGTCAGAAGTATAATTCAGAACTTTTCTTATAGGAAGATCAGTTTTTGAAGGAAGATTTTGAAATGATAAAAGGGATTTCACCTATCACTTGGTGACCTGGTATGCTTATTGTCTCTCATCATCAGACTGTGTGGGAAGAAATCTAGAATCCACTGTCTTTTAGATGAAGCCTCCATCATTTAGTTGAATAGCACCTTATTTTTCTCATTGATGAGACAAAATACCTGACATCCAAAGTTAAAGGAGAACAGGCTTATTTAGCTAACAGTTTATAGAGGCTTCAGTCCATAATTGCTTAGCTCCAAGGCAGGGTGGCATGGCGGACAGGTATCACAGAGGAGAACAGTCCATGGCGGGCAGAAAGCAGTAAAACAAGAAAGGACCACAGCTCCTTCTATACTTTATTTCTTATCCAGGCTCTTTAGGGTGGGTAGCACTCGCACCTTAATTCTAGTGCCTTTGGGCCTAGCATCTCACCATGAATTAATCCCAGCATGACACGCTCTAGATCCACCCACCTCTCAAAAAGCCCTACTTATGACTGCATGAAGGTTGGGGGGCGATTTCTAGACACAAACCTTAACAAATGGTTAAAAAAAACCCAAAACAACGAAACCAAACAAAAAAACTACTAAGGAATTAGGAATTACAAATGAAGTATGAGACATAGTTCCTTCTTCAAATAGTTCTAAACTAATAAAAAACTGCAAGGAGTCATTTGGGAAGAAGATAATGATCCATTCTTTGAAAACCAAATTCCATGTCCACGATCCAACTATAACACAAAGATGACCGACGGCCAGCACACTGCTCAGGGACACTCTCTCCTGTCCATGCCGGAGTGGCTCCTTCCAGGGACTCCTCTAGCGAGACAGCCACTTTATGGGCTCTGCTCTGGGTATAAACTTACCACAAAGAGGTTCTAATGGGCCTTGCTCTCCGTTTGCCAAGATCTGGGGAAATCAGAACTTCTTGGGTAATGTAGTTTAGTGTTTTTCTAATTCTAGGTGTAGAATTAACCTTAACAACTTCCAGAAAAGCTTTATAAATTAAAACATATATATGGGTCACTGAGAAGATGAAGTTTTAGTGTATTTTCTATTAGTAGTAGCAGGACCTGGATTTGAGACCCAACTCTGCTGGTTACTACCTTTTTGGTCTAGGTTATTTATTTACTTTGAGATAGGGTCCCAGTATACAGTTCAGGCTAGCCTCGAACTCTCAGTGATTTTCCTGCCTCAGCCTCCCAAGTGCTGGGATTACAGTTGTGCACCATCACGTGTAGGCTATTTTAAAGCATTAAGCTGCTGGGCGCAACCTGCAGGAAACATGAAGAGTTTGCATGGAGAATGTATAACTTTTTTAAAGTCTCTTGTGATAACCATTTAAATTTGAAACTAATAAAAAGAAAGAAATTATGAAGATCAGAGCAGAAATTAGTGAAATAGAGACTTACACACACACTCACACACACACTACAAAGGACCAATGAATCAGAGCTGGCTCTTGGAAAGGATGAAAATGTGTCTGGGATGGGGGGAGACAGGAGCAGGGGATCAATTTCATCAGTTTCTGCTCTGATCTATAATTTCTTCCCTTCTAATGTACACAAAGACTACGGGCCTGAAAGAGTATCTGATATCTGTTTCTATCCCTATATATACTCATACATGTGTGAAAACTTACAGTTTAAATAAAGAGTGGAAAAGATATACTTTTGCTCTGTGAAAATATACATTACATATAAAAACAAAATTAAAAAATCCTAAACTTACAAAAATGCGAGAAATCATTGAAAACTCACCCAATAAGTTAATGCCATCATTTACAATGAGCTGTCCATGACGCAAGTAGTTCAAAATGGGTTCAAAGTACTCAGGACTCCGATCAATTAAGAAAGCTCCTCTATGATCTTGCTTATTTCCCCAAACACCTGTGTGACCATCACAATGAAGAAAGCCCCCCCAAAAAACCATAATAGTTAGAATTTATGGAAGAAAAATTGCATAACATACCAGCAAGTTTTCACTAATGCAAAAATTGTTCATACCACTAGAGTATATTCAGGAGCTATAGAGTCTACACAGATATAAATAGATTGTGAAAACAATACATTATACTCACCTTTGTCCTTGAACATGTGGGCCAGCATACTGTCAGGTTCTTTATTCACTAAAGTGCTCCTAAGAATTCAGGGAAAAAAATTGATTTCTCCATGTGTCTTTATAAACAAACACATTTAAGTCAAGAGTATACTTGCTTTCAGCTGTTCTTTCAAAAAGATGCATGCTATAACCTGGTAGGAGTAATGCTGGGAAACAAAAATGTGCAATAAGTTGCTATTTATCGAAATCTCTCCTAATCTGGTACTTCCTTTGATTTAAATACCATTTTATTTTTATTTAAATACTAATCTATTCTTCTAGCCAGGTACTATATCACAGTATTGTTCATGATCTAAATAAACTATTTCTCTGATTCCCTTTAGTAAGTAGTTGTAATCTCTATGAAAGTCAATCCTGTTAATTTTTACTTGCATTTCATGTATATTATTGATACCAAAAGGCATACTTCTAAAAGCTGGATTCATGCTTTTTATGCCTTCTCTGAGGTCACCTGGCAATTATGTTCTACTTTTTCTCTAAAAAAACTTATTAAGAAATGTTTTCACATCATAGTGTATATTTAAGCAGCCATTTGATTGCCTTGTAAGGATCAGCAAATTAAAGGAAAGAACAAATGGTATATATAGGGCCTTTCATGCTTTCTTGCACGCGCACACATACACCTACCGTGTAGTTGTAAAGTACCGCCCTCCAACATTTAATGTTAGCCAGTCTGTGTGGGATCCTAACAATCCTTCCAGTGGTTTAGAATCTGTCTGAGGATCTAGACATGGTAAGTAGAAAATAAAAATATTAAAATTGGAGATTTAGGGAAGATGTTGTGATTTCTGCAACTAAATCAATCATAAAGCATATGAGTTACCAGACTGCAAAACTCCAACCCACAGGCAAAAGGTACTCACAAGGATACCTATAGCAAGAGGAGCAACACCACATCCCCAACACTGATGAAGGAAAAAGCAGAGAAATGCAACAGGGTATGTGATGAACCTAAGAATTCCAAAGCTGTCCAGAGGTGCTGCTTTCGTGGCCGGACAAACCTGAGAACAGCCGGCTGAAAGGAGGAGGAGCATGTCCATCCCCAAAGTGGGTGACACCAGGAGCTTGCAGTGATATCTCAAAGGGCCAGAAGTTATCTCTCAAAACTAACCAGCCGAAGCTTTTTTCTCAGGGCAAAGCTCCACAGGATGACAAGATACTGGGGAAAAGATTCCAAATAGAACAAAACAAAGATAGCAGAGAAAACAGGAGTCCCGAAGAAGGTAAGATGGTCTAACAGACCAGAATTATATCAGAAAATGATCCTGTAGTTCTGACACTTTACAAAACAACAGAGAAGGGAATTCTAGGGTCACGAAATTAGAAAAACCTTTCGTAAGTTACCCCTCCATTTTCAAATTAAATAAAACAATTTCAGGTGAAAATGAGTAACAGGAAATGACTGAGATCAAATCCTTATAAAAATATTAAATAGACAGGAAAGAATAGGAATCATATTACTACAGACAATAAAAATATGCCAGAAAGAAATGTCCACAAAGTAAATAAAAAATTATAATCTAATGTTCCAAAACACGCTAAAAGTAGTAAATAACCATAAAGTATAACAGAAACCAGAATTATAAAATTCAGAAATGAGGAAGTCAAGAGAGAATTAGAAAAATTTTTAAAATGAAGATTAAACCAGGACAAAGATACTAACACAATGTTATAAGGGAAATATGAGGTGAAAAAAAGCTTTATAAATAAAAAAGAGATAAAAAAGATTTATAAAAGTAGGTTTCAAATACAAAAAACAAATGTAGAATATTTAACTTATGATAGGAATCCTGACAGAAAATCAATGCAAGACTAAGTAGGTAATTTAAAGTTATAGGACATATTTCTGAAATTAAAAAAAAGAAGTATTTATAGCTGTATTAAAAAGGACCTACCACATACCTGAGGAAACCAACCCAGAACACCAAGAAATATTCTACTAAAATATTGTGCATTAAAAAAAGAAAAATCCTTTAAAAGATCTAAGAGAAATAATCACATAAGTGAGATCAGACTTTTGATAAAACTACTAGAGAACAAGTTTCAAACAGACAACCACTGGAGAAACTGACATAAGGATTGGAGGTATGCATTATATACACTTGAAAAAGTGAAATTAAATGAGGGCTTTCAAGGAGAGAGTATAGGTATACATGGCTACACATTCTGGCAATGTAGAAATAAAATTACTGTTAACAGGCAGTGAAAGGAGCCAGGTACGGTGGCAATACTTGCAATCCCAGCACTCTGGGAGGCTGAGGCAGAAGGATTGCAGTTTAGGCAACTAAGACCCTGCTTCAAGAAAGAAAGAAAGAAAGAAAGAAAGAAAGAAAGAAAGAAAGAAAGAAAGAAAGAAAGAAAAAAGCAAAAGGAAAAGAGCTGGAAGTCTAGTGTAAAAGCCCTTAATTCTATCCACAGTACTACAAGAAAAGGAAAAACAGTAGAAAGGATGACAATATGCAAAACATGTTTACCTGCTTTTAGTAAACACATTGGTATTAAAAGCACTGGGATTGTTATTCTCATAAACTTATGTGGTTTTTGTGTGAGATGAAGTAAATAATGAAACATAATCCTACCACTGGTTATACTGCTAAAAAACAGAATTATTGCTACTGAAGAAAGGATACAAGATACAAGAGAAATGTTCAATAAAGTCCTGAACTGTAACTGTCTATAATTCGGAACATAAACCAGAGTATTATAAACCCACAATATTTTATCTATTTATACCTTAACTCATATATGATATAAACTGTATAGACCATATTATGTAACATATTATATGTAAATTTTATCTCTAGCTACCTATATACTTCCCACTCTGGCCATCAAAAGGCAATTACGAACCCAGCGGCCAAAAGCTGCCCTAGTGCTCAGATCGTATCTTGAAATCATCATTAACTCATGAAAAAAATGTTGACTCAGGTCTGTGACAAGAAAGGTAAGATGAACCTGGATAACGCAGAAGGTAGGAAACTCTAGAAGACAGATGGAGTTCTGTTGGAAAGACCTGAAGAGTTCCACTAGCTATGTAACACCATCTGAGCATTAGTGAACGTAGACAAAAGAAACATACCAAATATGTCTGAATCTAAGAGCTTGTGGCAATACACAAAATAAATTCTAATGACTTTTGTTTTCTTTTTGGTGCTGCGGAACTCAGGCACGTGAACCAGGCTGCCATCTTATCCTGTCTTCACTGTTTAGTAAGTCACTATTTGTATGCAATGAACTAAGCAGCCACTGTCCGTCAAACACTCTTAGCCTGACGGATAAGACAACCGGTAGTCTTTGCTCATGGTTTTAAGTACAGACAGAAGCACATGCACTTACTCGTAAGTTGGCAACACCCTGCGCAAAGATGCTCGAACTATCGCTACAAATGTGTAGGCACACACTGAGGTGTGACTGTAAGGTACCAGAAACATAAACTGCTCATTAAAGAATACTTGCTTATTTAAGCTTCAGGCCTGTCTTTTGAGACATTCCGAACTGTATACACTTTCTTCCAAATCTAAAGGCAGGATGCAGGTATTTCCATGTCACATGTGCCAAGACATTTTTTGATTAATTTGCTTTGCTCAGCAGTGAAGCACTGAGATTTTTTTAATGTTAAGCGTTATAACTCTATTTAAAGCATTTACCAGTGTACCTGTTTTTGCTTTGGTGAACAAAGTTGGTTTTTAAGAGAGACACTTACCAATAAATGGCTCTCCTTCACACACAAACAAAACATCATCATCCCTGGAGAAATCAAAATTCAAAAAAGCCACCATCAAAACCTAGAAATCATATCGATTATCTGCTGACTATAAGAACTATTCCTTAGAATTATGCACAAAATAGTTTTTGCTATCAATCTATGTACAAAGAAACTCAAATTCCAGTGCTCTGTTTAACCCCGACTTAATGTTTCTGGATTTAAATGCAAATAGCCTGTACACAAAAAGATATACAGGTCTTGTGCACAAAAGTGTTTTTGAAATGGAAAGAAAAAAACCCATACTACGCAAGTTACCTGAGCTTGGTTTCTTTATTGTTTTCTTTTCCTACTTTTAGAGACAGGATCTTGCTGTGCAGTCCAGGCAGGCCTTCAACTCGCTATGCAGCCAAGGCTGACCTCAAGCCTGTATCCATCCTCCTGCCTCAGCCTCCCTCGTGCTGCATTACAGGTATGCACCACCATGCCCAGCTTGGCTTATGAACTGATGAATGCACTATTTTGCTTAAAATATGTTTAAAACCATAGCCGACTTCTTTTTTAAAACTTTAATTCTTCACCCATAGACAAATTATTAGAGGTCTTTCCTAAGTCATTAGCTGCTTGTATGCTTTGGAAATGCAAATAAATTCTCATATTAAATCCAGGAAAAACAAAATTTGTACTAAGTCTGCTATACATATTCACTATGTTTCCATTAAACACACAAAGTAAATGACTGCCTATAATGTACGGCTCCCCATAATCAGTGAATAGCCTCCTCCCCAGCACACCCCAGCCCATGATTAGCTTAAGTGGATGATCAGAGACTACTGTGAACAAGAAACCAGTAAACAGGTCCATCATGTATAGCTCTAAAGCCTTCAGTTATGTCCTCCTATGTTGTTTCCTATAGGATACCACAGGAATATACTGAGTTTTTCTTAAAAGCAGAATTTGTGTTAGGAAATTAGTTTGATATAGATTATTCAATATTAATTATTCATAGAAACTGAAAGATAAATTGTAAGACAGAAATTGAAAAACTAAAATTCTCCTAGTTGGATTTTTTTTTTGTCTTTTTGAGACAGGGGCTCGCTATGCAGTTCAGGCCAGCCTTGAGCTCACTTTGTAGCCCAGGCTGGCCTTGAACTCGCAATGATCCTCCTCCTGCCTCAGCCTCCTGAGTGTTGGGATTGTATACAGGCGTGTGCCACCATGCCCGACTTGGATTTAAAATGCAGTTTGCTTTTCCTGCTTGCACATAGGGTAAAAGTTTGTTTTCGTTAATAAAAATCAACTACTAAACTCTATGAAGCAGGTAAGTCACTGAAGTTCTTAGATGCTTAGTTTCCTGTTGTTATACTGAAGGCAGGAGAAGGATTAAGTCTGATAGCAGCACATTCTACTGAAAGATTATTTTGACCTGGATTTTAACGGGGATTAAATTTTATATACAGCTGTAATTTAGGGCATCATTATCTTCACACTATCAATTAAAAAAACTCATGCTCTGCCAGTCAAATGAGATAACTCAGGCAAGGCAACTACAACGTAACTGCATAGTCAGCACTTAATTTTGTGTTCTCTTTGCCATTTTGCTGTTGTTAAACTGCTTTGTGCTCCAAAATTCTCTGACTCTTTGAGAAAGGAGTGAGGTGAATTCATTTTAAAGAGATAATCTTCCTAGGATATTTAAAAAAAACAACCATAAACCCAAAAAATGTACTGCTCTGGTAGATCTCTGGGGGTTTCTCTCAGGATTTTATTGTATTTAACAAGTTTTCCAAACTAAGGTCTCTGTGACATTTGTAAAATTCAAAACATTCTTAGGAAATGAATTTAATAATGAGCAGGCACATAGAAAAGAGATCAATTAGATTTTTAACATTAAAAACTGTATGTCTTATTAGATTATATGTGGAAAGACTATTGATATATGAAACATAGTAAGGGTTTCTATCCAATCAATATACCTCAAGTCCAAATCATATAAATTCAAAAGAGCTGATTATAACTAATCACTTGCCAAAACCCTATCTTCTTAACAGCGGTGAAACCACTGCCTAAGGGAAACACCCAAGAAGCCCAGGGCACAGTTGACAGCTTAGAAAAAGGTGAAGGTTACCTGATCAAAGCAATATCATCAATCAGTCCACCTTTCCCATTATATACACTGGTAGCTTTTATACCGAGTTTACTGCTGGCCACAGAAAGCAAGTCAGATAAAGTTCCATATACAGCAACCACCTGTAAACACACCAGATTAATTTGAACAACTTATACAATACATTTCAACATCTATAAAGTATAAACCATCATATGATAAACAGGACTGAAAGGTCAGATTATGAAAGCAGAAATTTCAAGGGTTCTTAACTGTGTCCCTTTTTCTTTTATGACTCATATGTTTACTTCATATTGAAGAAATCCAAAACTAAAAAAGAAATTGCTGCTGACCAAAACCAAATTACAATCTTGAAATGTGGGTGTTCTAGTTGCAAAATAAGATAGACCTGTGCTTGAATCTGGATTCTGACATTTTCCAGCTATCAACTTGGGACAACTCTTCTTACCTGTGCTGTTTTAATTAGTAATAAAGAAAACAGTACAACTTACTTTAGGGGGTTAATTGGAGGACAAAATGAATTAATGGCTAAAAGCTTAGAATAGTGCTTACTGGTATACACAGGCTGATTATCCTTTATCCAAAATGCTGGGGATCAGAAGTTAACTCAGTTTCAGATTTTGGAATATTTGCATAGCCTTAGGGCTGAGCATCCCTACTCTGAAAGTCTGAAGTCCAAAATGGTCCAAAATTCAAATTCCAGATCAGGGTGTTCAACTTTATTTTTGTATCCTTCCTGAGCCAGCGAGGCCAAGCACTTATAAAATGATCATGGCTAGAAAAGTTATTTGCTCTGAGTGTGTCAAAACTCCCCAGTGTGCACCTGTAGTTTCCATGTCACTGTGATTATCTACTTTAATAACCAGGCACTAAGAATGCAAGCATTTTATGGAGTAAATCAAGAAGCTCATATATTTTGAATTTTATAGTCCTTTCTAAAGTTCAAATTCCATGACAAATGAAAGCAATCTACAAGTTGGGAAAATAAGTGATATGTATACCAGGCCTAATAGGTTTGGCTACTTTTAATTTACCTTTTAACATCATTTTTAAAGTGTAACTTATGCTATTTAAGTCTAAAATTTAAAACCTGCACAGATATTTAAAACATTTTTTTCTTATATACTCACATTACATAAAACAATATTTATTGAATTTATGTACACTGATTTACTCAAATAAAGCACCAATCACAATTCAGAACTAGAATGTAGAACCCATTTTACTCTACTTATGCTCTCAGTTGAATACAATTGAAAAGTTTAAATGATTTTGTTTCTAAAAAAGGTGACATAACTGATTCTAAGGCCAAGAAGGAAAATATTAAAAATGGAAAATTTGGACAATACCAAGTGCTGGAGAAGATGTGGACCAATGGGAAGGTTTATGCATTACTGCTGTGAGTATAAATGACCACAATGATTTTGATAACCAATTTGGTATTATTTTGTAACATGAAACATTTACATACCCTAATTCCTAATAATTACAATTACGTATCTACACACAAGTACATGTATCTATACATAGGTATATGCACATACATATATATAACACATATGACACATACAATTGTAACTACATATATACCTTATAATTGTATATATACAACTATACAGCATCCGCTAAAACAAAGTATACTGTCAAGAAAATAAAAACATATACAAATATTTTAATACTAAATTTATTGAGACATCATCCTGCTGGGGATATAGCTCAGTGGCACAGAGCCTGCCTGAGACATCACAAGATTAATACAAGTTACCTTTGGCCTCTTCAATTACAAGAGGTGCTCAAAGTAGTGGCTATTGGCTTCTAGAAATTTATTCGTATGGCAAACTGAGGAAGTGAGAATACATTTTTTGGCAGACTCTGTGTATGTATTACATATACTGCACATAATCATCACTATACACACACATCCTGTACAGCAATAGTTCCCAAAGGTGTGGTCTGGGTAATACCTGCAATGACAACCATCTGGAATTGAAGAGATGCTACACCTAATCCCAGCCAGATTTTGTGGAGATGAAGGCCAACAGTGTGTTTTCTCACGTCTTCCTAGTGATTCTGACGCATGAACTACTGCCCTAGAAAATGCTCGCCCACATGCACCAAGGTACACATACAGGAATATTCAGGGCAGCACTGTTAATGGTGAGATACAAAGACAAACAACCAAATAAATGTTCACTGGCAGGAGAACAGAAATTGTGATAGGGCTTTTATATAATAATGGATTTTAATGGGGTAGTAAAAGTGAATAAACTATTGCTATGTGGAGCATTATAGATGGATCTGTTACAATATTTCCTTTCTAATCTTTATGTATTTTAATATTCTTTCAACACCAGTGCAGAACGAAGATCTGTTTCCTAGTCCACAATGTCTGCAGTGTTTGGCATGGTGGCTCACACAGAAGGTGCTAGGGTTAGGTGAATAAACACTGTATATATAAGGAGAAGGTCTATGATTTGATTCCTGGTACCTCCCTCCCCAAAAGTCTGTGATTTGCACAGTTCATTACTGAGTATTTTGAAGTAAAAAAATTAAATGGCATTGTGTGCAAGACGTACAGGAACTTTGTTTGCACTGACATCAGATTGCTCAGAAGCCACGTACTACATTTAGATGTCAGACTCCATTTCTACTTCCTAAATGCCAACTGTTACAGGGTATTAAAAGAGAAAATAGGAATTATGAGGCATATGGAGAAGGGATGAAAAAGCACAAGCATAACTGACTCTTTTCCAGTGCTTTAACAACAAAAGCCGTGTAATAAGTATCCCCGTTTCTTAGAATGATGGTCCTCAAACATTTTGACTATGAACCCATTGGTCAAACATTTTTGGGTGTATGCTCAAGCCTTTGTATATTAATTTATAAACTATGTACTATTGTCAGAAAGAACCATTTTCCCAAATGATACAAGTATTTGTATTTACTTAGACTACGAATTGGCCAGTAAGAATCCCTGAAATACTCAGCATCAAGTTTACTGAGATGCTGCTACATAGAAAACTGACTTTAAACATTAAAAATTTAAAAAGAAAGACAAGAACTCTGAGGTCATTTGCCTTCACACGCTGGAAAATAAATTTAAATGTCTTGCTAATTAGGATGACCTCATCCTATCACTGGCTAATATTTCAAGGAACACTGTACAGTAAGAGAAAGGTTGACTGTTAACAGCGGTTACTAAATAGAACTTCACTCTTTAAAACTTGGCACTTTTTGGCTGTACGACCCAAAAAGATTCTTTTATTTTTAAAATCTCATGGTTTGGGCTAAAAGCAGCAGCTCTGCCATTTTATCACTGATTATTTGTGCTTACATGATTAACACTGTCTTCAACCTGTGTCTTTGAAGGAATCTTCCAAAGTCACATGGCATTTTAGTCCAGGCTAGTTATGATTAGATGATAGAAATCCTAGCATCCTCTAAGTTTTATATCACATCTCATGCCTAAGTAAAAACAAGAAGGTGCTAGCTATCAACCTTTCTCATAGTATTCCACAAGTGGGTTTTCCCAGATTAAAAAGCCCATATCTTTAAATCAAATAATATAAACAATAGGTATGTTTCCTCTTAAACTCCAACCCAGGAAATAAAATAGAAACTAGATAAATAAAGAGATAATGTGACACAGATATGCCAACTAGTAGACGGGAAATCAAACTATTTCAGAGTAGCACTTCATATCCTGCATGGTCATGAGTATGTGTGTCAGTATCACATCAATTTTGATTACATGTAATCACTATACATGCACATATATATAATATACACACACTTATACACATATACACATGTATACATTCACAAGAGGCGGTTATGGATTATTTTGCTCTTTTGTTAAGAGTTATTATATTTTTTGATCAGCTGAAGTGCAAAGAAACACTGACAACTCGTATCTCCTGTTTGGATTTTATTTTATTTTTATTTTTATTATTTTTGTCTTTTGAGAGAGGGTCTCACTATGTAGTTCAGGCTGGCCTTGAGCTCACTTTGCAGCCCAGGCTAGACTCAAACTCGCAATGATCCTCCTGCCTCAGCCTTCCGAGTGCTGGGATCACAGGCGTGAGCCACCATGCCCAGCTAGATTTTATGATCTTTGTAACATAAACATAACTATTTGAGATGCATTTTTCCTCATCTTCTAAGACTCTCTAGCAAAATACTTTTAAAATAAATCAAGTTTCAATCTACAAACCTATCCTACTGAAAACTAGGCTGGCTTTTTATTTATTTTTAAAATTTTTATTAGTGCATGTTTGCAGTACAGGAAGTCCACAATCATCCTGGGGAGTAGGTGCATGGACAGGATACAGCTTGTTTCTTTTTAATCTCCTCCCCTTCGTACCCACCCCTTCCTCCCTCCTCCTCTACACCCCTTTCCCGTTTTCATTCTTGTTGGTATTATTAATCTTAGCTCATGTTTATGACATACCACTGTACTGTTTACATCCACTGAGGTTATTAGGTTCCTGTACATGGCATATCTTTATTCTACTTACTTCCCCTTCCTTCCATCTCCCCTCACCCTCCATCTGTATCCCACCAACACACATGTTTAATGAAAATGTGCTATCTGTACAAATGGAATACTACTTGGCTATAAAGAAGGACAAACTGGAGACATCTGTAGGAAAAGGAATGCACCTGGAAAATATAATGATGAGTAAAATAAATCACACAAGCTTAAATACCATATAGCATTTCTCATGAGTAAGGCAAAGTACAAAGAACGTGGGTAAACGATGGGTAGAAGGAAATAATGATTATCTCTTGCAAATGGGAAGAGGTCTAGCATAGCTTTCTAAAAAGACATTAAAAATAGTATGAAAAGACGAACTCAGCCCATCTTTGACAACAATAAAATTTAGTGGATTTAGAGATAGCTAAATCAAATTTAGTAGATTTAGTGATCTGGAACACAGCCAAGTATTTATGCTAGGTCTGAACATTCTGTCTTTCCTGGAGTGACATAGCTGAGATGTTAGATAAGAAGGTCAACCAGGAGTCTGCTTTGGAGGGCATACCACATTCTTAACTTCGGACATACTAAATCTTTCTTCCAGCAGCATAAATTTTAGGTTATGAGTAAGAACTAACTACAAAACAGACTTAGAAAAAGCTAAGCATCAGAAAAACGTAAACTTTGTGAAGCCTACTGAATTTGTGCCAAAATTGTTTCTACGTGAGCATTAAATGTCTGAGACCAGAACACAAAATTATAGTCAACAAACCTCACCGCAGTTCAGATTTTTCTGGGCATGTTTACTCCAAACTGCATGGTACTCGGAAAGGCACTCAGTATGCATGCTCTTGGCAGTTTTGCTACTTAAAAATGTAAGTTTCCAGATCGTGCAGGAATCAGAAAGTAAGCTGGCAAGGTACACAGTGAGGCCAATTTAACTTTTACCTCAGACTGCGAAGGCTGAGCTACTTCTGCGTGTCATTTAGTCGCACAGTAAATGCCTTCGACAGTCAAAATTTTCCAAAGAAGCTGAGCAACTTTCATGGGTGGGGCAAGAGGCAGAGGAGGAACGGGAGTCCTTGTGGCTGGCTCCAGCGCAGGGCGAGGACGCAGCACCACACCCTCAACCCGGGCCTAGCACAGCCAGGTCACTGTCAAATCAATCAGCTGGGCCGGGTGTCAGCGTCCTCTACGGAACCAGAACAAGGCGGAATGATACAAAAGTTTTGCACGGCGGCGGGGCTTGGGGACGGGGCACCCCGCAGAGAGGGAGCAGAGCCCCCGAGAGAGAGCAGAGCCCCCTTCGGGCCCGCCGCCGACCTGCGATCTGCGGCCGCGGGACGGTGGCTCCTTCTCTCTCCCCGGCCGATCGCGCTAGCACCTGGCCTCGGGCAGCACCGGCGCCCTCCCGGGCTGACCATTACTCAGCACCGCCGGGGACACAGGCGCCCTCCCCGGCCAGGCGGCAGGCGGCGGGAGGCGCACCCCGGCGCCCCGGACACGCACCCCGCT